ATCGATGATGACGTCCTCACGACGTCAGAATAATATACATACCTTTCAATCAGGGTTGATGTTGGTTCAAAGTTACACGTTTATACGACAAACCGTTTAAAGGAAAACCCGCGTAGAATTATTGTGCGGAAAATAACATACGAAAAAAGACAGAAGTATTTACACAATTTTAAAACAGCGATCGGATTGTGCTCAATCACTCCAAGACAATACCAAAGCGTGTATGATGGGGTTGACAACCCCATAACCCAATTTTTCGGTTTGCCACTTTAAGATACCATAAAGACGTGACATCCCAGTCTTTTTTATCAAAGGGCTGATTTGGAAGTGCAAAGTGATTTTAAAATTCATTTCATCGAAAGTGGCTGGTGAACCGATTCAGAAGTTTGCCATTTTGTATCATTTCATTTGACCACTCACTTCTGCAACTCCAGGACCTTCCACAACCTTAATGTGGCTTTGGCTAGCTAGGGTAGATTATTATAATTGGCTCTAAGCTGGTTGTTTTTGGTTTATGAAAATGTAAATGTTGTGATATATTCAATTTTTTGGCTGGTCCCAGATGGGCCAGCTTATAGTCATCTTCGTACCTGACTGAATTACTGACTGACTTGTCAATTATCTCCTTTACTTACTGCCACTTGTAAATTTGACTGCATACTTATATCTCACTCACTCAGGCGCGGATCCAGAGGCAGGGGGGGGGGGGGGTGTTGGGGGTCAACCCCCCCCCCCAGCTCTTTCAAAAAAAAATTGTCCATACAAATTCCTAAAAAAATAAGTCGAAACACCCCCCCCCCCGATGTGACACCCAATAAAATTGTTAATGGATATATAATTTCTGCCTGTTGAAAATACGGGACACCATTCCGTAATCTAGTGTTAATAATCGTCGAATTTGAACAGCGCCCCCTATTGAAAAATGGTATTTTCATATTTTTTTGCTGATGAACCCCCCCCCCCCCCCTTCGAAAATTCCTGGATCCGCCCCTGCTCACTGAATATCATTTGTAACTTAAATTTACACTGGGATGGTATGGGAGCAGTATTGTTATTACCTGATCGTGTTATGGAAAACGTCGAATCTGGTGACTTTCATTCTCGTGTTTTGAATTTGTTTGATTTGAAATTTGGGACCAAATGTGCAAATGTGTGGGAAAGAAGTCCATTTACGTCACCGAAGAGTGAAGCAGGGCTCCGGTTTATACGAAGCTTCAGGTCCATCACAAAGGCCTACTAAGCTTCGAAAGAAGGCAACACTTTGTTGATTTGTTTACCTCAGAATAACCCACATTCAGGGTCCTCGATGACAAATGTGTCAAGGATTTCGAAAGGTTCAGTTGGGTTATTAATGCACATAATAATACACTGGCATTAAGCCAAACTGGGACAGAGCATTGAGTTGCGGGGTGTTTTTAACAGATATTCCCGGTTCAATGGAAGTATTGTTACAAAAAGGACTAAAGCAGGACAGGTTCATAGTCGCTCAGTTCTCAGGATACCCATTTAGGATAAAAAAAAAAAAACATCCGGAATTCGGGTTCTTTTCGGGTAAAAAAATTACACTTCTTCGAGTCCTTTTTTGTCAAGTTTTGACCCTGAAAAGAGTTGAGCCAAATGAACGCGGATTCCGGGTCACCCTGATGTTGATGTTTTTAGAGTGCACTTCCACTCTTTCACTTTCATGAACCATATTTTTTTTTAAATAACTGGTTCTGGTACATCTTCAAATGGTATTTAAATTTCGCTGTCAACATTTAACATTTTAAGCAATTTTGTTAAAGGGAAGATACAACATTTGCAAACATAGAAAAACGCGAATTGATCCAATTATCACGAAATACCTTGCTAGATTGTTAGGGAATGAAAATCTAAAGCATCCTGTAAAATGGTGGCTCCTGATGTGCTGACGTTTTCAAGAAAAATTGTATTTTTTCCAACGCTGGTCGGCCGACCAGCGCTGGAGAAAACTGGCTATTTTCAAAAACTACTCCATATTTCTTATATTTAGTTATTCCACATTTTCTTTGCAATTGATTACTCACCTGTGAACGGGTACAAGCCAGCTAAATTGATACTCTGACAGTACAATTCCCCAAAGTCTATAAATTACTCCATTTAATCAAAGTAGGGTTAGGGAACCAGACTACAAGAATATTATTGATTTTCTTGGTTTTCCCCAGCTTCTATAAGCCAAAAACAGAAAAAAAGTCTGTTTAACAATATTTGCTAAAACATATAAATCCTCCAAATGCACTTATTTCTGAAAATTGCAGCAAAAACCAATGTTGTGCATTCCCTTAAAAGGTATAACTTCATCCTGTTGGCATGTCTTTGTTTTGCTTAACATTTTGCTTTCTGTAGTTGATTTTAATTCATAATTATTGCTAACTTTAGACCAGGAAAAACATGACGGCGGCAATGAAAAACATGACGAAATTTTTTTTTTATCTCATCTCACCCGCGGAGTTTATCTTTGAATAATTTATATTGATATTTTAGAAGGAAGGCTGTGTTACGTGGATTAGACTGCTTGGAACCGTGCATTAAAATAAGCCGGAAAAGTGTTGAGTTTTTACTCAGAAAAGGGTTGAGCCAAATAAAACCCGGAATTCGGGTGTTTTTAGAGTTTTGAAGGGGAAAAAGGGCAAATGGTTTAAATTTTAAATGACATAAATTAAAAAGAAAACATTTACGTCAATGTTAATTTTTTCTACTGGGCCGAAATTTTGCCACAGATTACTTGCGATATAGGTGACCCTCCATGGGTCACTTAAGGGGTGAGGGCGGGATGCTACGGATCTACCTTCAGCTGATGCTCGCAGTGGCTGCATTCGGCTTTGCAAATGCGGGTAAGTTTTCTGTAAGAGTTGAAAAATGTAGTACCTATGTCCTAAAGGGGCATACCTGTACGTTTGCATGCACTCTAAAAACTCCCTTGGCATATTTGACAAGGAATATTGAGGGTTCTTTTTTCGCCAAAAAAAGTCAAAACCTTTTGGGACAAGGATTACACTTCTTGCTTGCCAAGGTTTCTGGGTCAAAATGTGAGTCAGAGAAGTGTCATTTTAATCCGAGAAGTGTCACTTTGGTAAATTTGGTGAATCAAACAAATGCATTTTTTGACTGTTAATTTTGACCCCGAAGAGTATCAGCCAAAATGGAACCCGCATACGGGTCAATCTGACCATGGACTTTTTTACAGTGTATAAGTCAATGACCCTTCGAACAATCGTGACCTCGTTCTTGCTTCTGAAAGGTTTTTTTTTCGGACAGAAATTATTGATATTAGAAACCGTCCACAGAGCATCAGTTGTCTTTTAAACTACGAAAAATTTAAGCAGCAGAACTATAAACCTACTCGTTGTGCGAGACTTCAAAGTTTAAGGAATCGTTTGGATGTCGGACCCAAAAGAGTTCTGGCTATGACGTAATTTGTACATGTATTGTGTCTATTCCAACCATAATGGAACGTTTTAAGCGACTGATTGTAAAATAGTCTGAACTCGCATGCTCGCCAACAACAGCAAAAATGTAAACAAGTGTTTGAAAAAAGTTCACATTTTGGAGAAAGGTGGGGGGGTGCCCATTATTTAGAAAATCCAAAATTTTGAACGGAACTACAAGCTCACAGTCCTGTGCACGGCTTCCACCCATTTTTTTACAAACCCTCAAGTTCATGGCCCACAGCATGCTTAAATACTGAATATTTTGAGGGCATGCAAATCGTGATTTGGCCGGCGCAGGCAATCGGACCGATTTACTGGTCTGCAACCCTAGAACCACGCCTGTTCAGGGTATTATACCTGCGTACGTGCAATAAAGGTATCGTAGAGGGCGCTCAACAACCATGTAATGCGGATGTTGGTATTACGGGGAAAGAAAATTCGCCTGCGGGCCAGGTTCGGGCTTGGCTTGGGGCTCAGGCTCAGTTCGTAGGTTCGTGAGCTGAATAACGGCGCGGGGTGTTGTGTGCAATGAGTGCATTTGGGCTTTTTTCCTATTTTGTTGCTTAGGCCAAAAACAAAAATATTTGGTCTCTGGTCAGAATTGACGCGGCCACGCGCGGCTTTTCTTTTTTTCTTTGCTTTTTTTTTTCTTCTTCAAGCTTGGATTGTACAGACAAGGTGGGGTACTATTTTGCTTTTTTGGTGTTCTCATGTACATTGGTGTCCTCCATAATTTGCCTTGGTGCTTTCGATCATCTTCCTTGGTGCAATTTCCCTCTCCTTGGTACTCTTTGGTAAAACAAATTGAGGAGGGGCGGAAATAGAGGGCGCTGTTGGAGCTACCGCGGAACATTTTGGAAAAAAAAAAGATCGACGCGCATGAATAAAATCGACGCGCGCGCTGACCAGAGACCGACTTATTTTTTTTTTTTGGCCTTAGTTGTAGAAAGAAATTCAACCCCATCATTTCTGGAAAAAAAAACCCGCTTAGGCCAAAAAAAAAAAGTCTCTGGTTTCTGGTATGGAGCTTGCCCCAAAAGTGGTGCGGCGACGCGGCTTTTTTTTTTTTTTTAACCTGGTTTTTTTTTTGGGGGGGGGGGCTTCAAATGTCGGCTGATGACTGCAAATGGTGCCCGACTAAACTTAGTGCAAGTATATGGGAGTCCAGAGAGGCCACATAAAGCTTATTCTCGATCATAACCCCATCTAAAAACACGTTAAAATTGTGCAGTAGCAGAATTCCAGTCAACTCAAACCAGTGAGTTTGGCGGTTTTGAGACATCATCTTTTATTGAAAAAAAACCTTTTTCATTTTGCCGACGCGCATGGCTACGGCGACGCGCGCGCATACCAGAAACCGGAGACTTTTTTTTTTGGCCTTAGTATTTAACGACATAATTATTGCTTCGCACACTGGGCTTCCGTAGCTGCTGAGCGCTGGTGCCACTGTGCGCGGGCTGCGTTCCGTGCGGCAGTGCGCGTCGCTGGTGCTCTGCGAGCCGTGTATATAAGCGCGCTGCACGTGCATCGCGGGCGCCTTCCCGCCGCTTGCTTTTGCTCCGTGCGGACGAAAGCATGGAGGAAGGCGAAAGCAAGTACGCTCTGCCCGGCGTTGGTCGCTGGCTGTTTGGATTAGGCTGCACCCCGTGAACCCTAGTTACGAGGTGAGTAGCTGCATCTTAGGCTTATCGGTCCCGATGTCTATTGGTACTAATTACCCGATTGGTGATTGTTTGATTCTAAATTACAAAATCCCCAAGACTGAGGTAATCATCATCGGTGTACGAATCACGGTAATCAGCGCCTATGATAACAGGTGAGTTACTTTAAATAAATCAACCAGTTGAAGTATATAAGCCTGGTGTGGTGCATAATCCTTGACGTGTCTACCTGGGTGTGGTGAGCGTGTGTGCGCGGTGTGCAGACCTAGGTGCCTGGAGGTTCCCCTAAACGAGTCCGCCCCTCAGGCCTCTGCGGTTATCGCTGGTCGTGGAGGCCATAGCCCATTATGTAGTCGGCGGCAGACGCCGCCTGGTAAAGTCCGCTACATTATCAACACTTATTAACTACACAATAATCGAAATATATATCTTCAGCCTTTTACCTCAAGGTATATATTTAATAACAATTATAATGTAAAGCTCAATATGTGAAATACATGTATTTCACATATTGAGTTTATGGACTCTCCGTGGCAAATTTTTGATGGCGCACTGCATTGTGAATCGCCCGAATTGAAGAGTCCTAAGTTTCTAATATATACAAAGTTCAAAATAAAATAACTATTGGAACACTTGTATTCAGTAATTTAACATTAACATGCATAATCCTCTAAAAATTGTAATTAACTTGGCAGTCAGATGTTTTATTTTATGCTATCAATTATAGCATTTTCTGAATCGGAATACAAGTGCTCTTTAAGTTCAGCTCTATAATTCAAAGTGTAATACATAACCTTTAGCTGTTTGAACTTTGAATTATTGTCAACATTCTTTTCAGTCGCTTATGAAATATTTTGCCTTTGCAACAAATACAAGAAAGAAATGGAGTTTGACAACAAAGACTTTTGAATGGAAAAGGGCAGTCTTTGCAATATATTTGTGGGGTGTAAAAAACAACCTTACCCCTATGCTTTTAGGGCCTAATTTCCTCTGAATTTCACTGAAATACTAGCTCACAGTCCTCGGCACGGATTCCAGTTTTCTTCATGGCCCTCAAAATGCTCTTGGGCCAAAAAAAAAATACTCGGTCTCTGGTCAGCGCGCGTGTCGATTTTAATCATGGGTGTCAACCTTTTATTTTTTCTTCAAATTAACATGGAAGCTACAACAGCGCCCTCTATTGCCGCCCCTCCTCAAATGTTTGTACCAAGAAGCACCAAGGAATGGGGAAATTGCACCAAGGCAAATGATAAAGGGCTTCAAGGCAAATTATGGAGGACACCAATGAGGACACAATGAGGACACAAAAAAGCAAAATAGTACCCACCTTGTCTGTAAAGACTGTACAATTCAAGCTAAAAAAAAAAAAAGCCACCAAAAAAACCAAAAAAATGCGTCGCCGCATCAATTCCAGAACTTCGGTCTGGCCTTATACCGGTACCGCGGATAATGTGAGTGCACACAAATCGTGATTTGGCCGGCGTAGGCAATTTTGAGCTTTTTTACTGGCCTGCACCTGGAAGGGCTCCTGTAGCGCCCCCTACATTCAGTCAAACGAAAGTGAACGTGCAGAATTCCATAGGGTTAGAGAGGTTGTGGAATGCTCGAAGACATTTCCGTAATTTTTCGGGTATATGTAGCCTAAAGTGTGATGAAATAAAAACGACTACTGTGTCTGTCATGAAATGAGTACAAAAGGTACTTTTGAGAGAGCTTTTTCAGGTCCTGTTTCGATTACAGGACTCCCGATGCAGCGTAATATAAACGAGTCCTGTTTATTACGTCACGATTTACTATGTTTTGTTTGCTGCCCCCAACGACGACTTTTACACAAATTGCACGTTCGGGTCGAAACAGCTAGGACTTGAAAAACAGCCCTCAAAAGTACCTTTTGGACTCATTTCATGACAGACACAATAGTCGTTTTTATTTCATCACACCGTAGGCTACATATACCCGAAAAATGACGGAAATGTCTCCCAGCATTCCACAACCTCTTGAATTGTTTAATTGGCTTGGCTATCTTGCAAACGGTGATACGGGTCAATTGAAGCGTTACCCTATGTCCTAAATACCTACCTGTCCTTACACCCAACAGGAGATTTTGCACTTGTGACTGATCTCGATAGAGGAGCAATTTACGTGGGTACCATGGGTCAGGCCTTGGATGACTTGGTTCCTCTCCCTTTCAACGGGGTCGTACGTCCTGTTTCCGTTGACTACGACCCACGGGAACAAATGGTGTACTGGACCGACATATCCAGTCAGCCTTCGCCTAAGATCTCCAGAGCAAATATCGACGGGAGCAACCAAACAACAATTGTGGACGGTTTGGAAGGTAATTAGTTTTTGAAATACCGTCTTAATTAGACTTTTGCTCAAAATGTCATGTTCTCCACAAAGTGTGCAGTTTTTGGTCTGTAATGATCTGTTGTTGTACCATAAATGACTAAAATAGATACTTTCTTAATTAGCCTCTACACCAAATAACCTATTCCTAAATACTGAAGTCTTAGTCAGTGAATGGTGGGCTATCAATAAGAGAAGAAATCAAACTTGGGATTAACTGAAATGTAAGGGATCCCCCCCCCCCCTCCCCAACGCACCACGCATGACTAGACTCTTCAGAAATCACATTCTGCAGATGTCTCTGTCACTTTTACACATTCAACACCCTTAAAACTTTGGCACTGTATATGATTGAACCCGTCTGGACTCCCGGACTAATACAACCCTCCGCGATCGGGGGTCTACCCGATGTTCCACAATATGTTCCCTGAAATCCGTAGAATTAGGGTTAGGATTAGGGTTGGGCAACATAGGTATGCACCCCCATGATTGGGGGTCTACCCGATGTTTCCCAATGGGTTAGGGTTAGGGTTGGGCAACATAGGTACATGTATGCGCCCCCGTGATCGATAGCATCTCTACTTTTTGTCCTGCCGTGACATTATGTAATTGTTTATATCTACGAGAACAGTCAATCTGTCAGTGCATATTTGGTAATTGTCTCACATCTCGATTCAAGAAAAAGTTTAATTTAATATGTATGAAACAGTCCCGGACGGATTGGCCCTTGATGTTGTGGCAAGGATGGTGTATTGGACAGACGATGGCCTGAGACACATGGGGCGAACGTCTATGGACGGCAATGGAAGCAAAGAAATCATCCTGGAAAGTCTGGACCATCCAAGAGCTATTATAGTTGACCACGACAATGGGTAAGTGTAAACAAGGATAAACGGGAACATTTATTCTGAAACGTCACAGTTAAACATAAATACACAGATTTGACCTCGCGTTTTTCGGATTTCTGCCCAAGTCGGTATAGCCTTTAATCAAGTCCCACGCGCTTACCCGGACACCTGACGCACCCCGGATGCTGACACGTAAAAAGACTAGCACGAGCAGCAAAGCCGCGAGGGCCTTTACCATCTCGTGGAGAACGCTTATGTTTTTCTTTACATTTGTCTACCAATTTGGTAGACATGCATAATGCATTACCCGTTGTGAATTGACCAATGAAAATGCAGAATTACTAACATAAATCAGCCGTCGTCTGGCGCCAGACAGCACGCGCGCCATGGCGCGGGTGCTGTTGCTGGTAACCGCAAACCACCGTTAGATGATTGGTTTATATTGCTTGTTTTATATTACGTGAATAAATGAATAAGCAATAAGTTCCACAATAGTAAAGGCCCTCGCGGCTCCGCTGCTCGTGCTAGTCTTCCGTGCCAGCATCCGGGGTGCGTTACGTGTCCGGATGGTCCGGGTATAGGCACGTGGGACTTGACTAAAGGCTAAGTCGGTGCAGAAAGACAATAGGCTACCTTTTATGTTTTTTTGTCTTCGCTTACAAACAAATCCAATTAATTTGTATTGTATTTGTATCGCAAAGGCCCTAAATGTCAAAATCTGTTGCACCGTTTTATTTGTTTTTTAAGAACAACATTATTTTCGCACTTTACCAATAGCGCCCCCTCTGCTGCAGTCATGATGAGTACCTGCAACTGTATCTTTTCTTGCAACTAGACACAGAGACGGGTTTAGTGGGAGGCTCTAGGGGTGCGGGCCAGTAAATCGGTCCGAAATTGCCGACGCCGTCCAAATCACGATTTGCATGCCCTCAAATTATCCGGTATTGCAGCATTTTGAGGGCCGTTAACCTGATGGTTTGTAAAAAAGAAGGTTGGAAGCCGTGCAGAGGACTGTGAGCTCGTATTTATGTGAAATGTGGATGAAATTAGACCCCTTAAATGGCTCTATTTTGCAATGGAGCGTATAGCCGTCCACTTTCAAAATGGCGATGGTCTTCAGGACTGCTTGTAGGGGTGATCATCTTTGGATGGAAATTTCTCCCAAAGGTCATAAATGTCTCTTCTCTTTCTCTTCTATGTTTGTGCCTTCAGACACATCTATTGGACGGACTGGGGATCAACAGGAAAGATCGAGAGAGCAGACTTAAACGGCAATAACAGGATAGAAATAATAAACAATGATCTTCGCTGGCCTAATGGTATCGCCAAGGACGGTACGTAGTGCAACTGAACTGCAATAATCTTATCACGGCTACACTATACAGTTCAAATATGTATGTGAGTTTGTTTCTGCATTCAATAGGGGACGTTGAACAGTAGAGGACAATATGTCTCCTATTCCCGAAAGTCTCCAATTTGGTGATAGTGTACAAAACCTACAGGTCTTCCTAAAAAGTGAAAGTACTTGGTGAAAGTCAAAAAAGTGAAACCCAAATGTTGGGACTATTGTTTTAGTGAAGTTCTGCATGTAGCACTTTTTACATCTTATCTAGGATATAAAAGCCTCATTCATAAGCTTTTTTCTCGTACAAGAATCATTCAAATCACTTATTTACTTTTAAAGTTGCAGAATTTTAAACAAAACCACCGATTTAAAGTTCTGTCCACGGATCACAAAAAAGTGTGCCTTCTTTCAGCAAAACGAACGCAATTCACACACATCCCTATGTGATTTGAAAAAACATACTTCTTGTGATCCATGGATAGAACTTTAAAACGGTGGTTGTGTTTAAAATCCCGTAACTTTAAAAGTACATGAGTGATTTGAATGCTTTTTGTACTAAAAGAAAGCTAATGCATTGGGCTTTCATATCCAAAATTTTGAAAGTGCTACATGAAGAACTTTACTAAAACAATGGTCCCGACATTTGGGATTCGCTTTTTTTGTACTCACCCTGTACAAACAAAAGAGAGACAACAGGGGGTTCCCAACTGCAGGCAAACTGACACACTTGTGTAAATTGCGTGAGTTTGTTTCTGCATTCAATAGGGGACTTGAACAATTAGAGGACAACTGAGGGTCCCCAGTTCCCGAAGGTCCCCAATTTGGCGATCGTGTACAAAACATATGGGATGTCTTCCTAATAAGTTAAAGTACAAGCAGTAAGTCGGTGAATCGAGGACAGGAACCAAATCGAGGACGACCTCGATTAGAAAACGTGTACGAAAACAATCAGAGCTATTGCGAAAAAGTTAGAGTACAAACAAAGGAAAAAGGTAAGAGGAACAAAAGATAATCCTCGATTAACACCATAAACAAACGTGTGTGATCGTTCACGAGTTGATCATTAATAATCATGTAAAAATGTTTGTTTCCACAGGAAACTACTTGTACTGGTGTGATGCTTATCTCGACAAAATCGAGCGCAGTGACCTGTCGGGAAACAATCGGACACTTGTCGTCGACCTCTCCCGTTCCGGGCTGATTCATCCGTTTGATGTCGCCGTATACAATAACTCGGTGTACTGGACCGACTGGCATGATCATTCAGTTGGTCATCTCCTTCCAAATGGAACAGTAGGATCCATCGGCCCATCGGTCCTCGCACAGGCCTGGGGTCTTCATATCGAGAAAGGTTAGAACCTATTTAAATTTTGCGGGTTTGTTAGAGAAGGGAGCATGCACTCCTTAATTTCCCCATCAGTTCAAGTCTAACTGTCTTTGAACATTTTGTTCACAGCGAATAACTCCTGCGACAGTTCCCCTTGTAGCTCAAACGCCACCTGTGTAGATGTCATCAACGGGTTTTCTTGTCTGTGCCCAATGGGATACGACGGACCAACCTGTGAACTTGGTAAAATCCTAGCTCTATGGTAACATAAAAATTATGAGCACTTTGGGACAAATTACAGTTCCAGTAAATCTGAGCATTCGTTTCAGTGCTAGCCCATCATCACCCTGAGTAACAAAGTAAAAAAATATGTTTGAACTACAGTAGAATTGATTAGATTTTAAAGCTGGATCCAGATGCAAGATCCGGATATCAAATTGAGGAGGAAGTTTATTAATGTCTGTGTACTGCCATACTAAATTGTTACTTCCAGATAAGATGTTGGGGGAATTGATAAACCAAATAGCCTATCTGGGAAATGGAAACCATGGCATAACAGCCTTGTGCATGATTATTTGTGTCTTAAAGCCGCTCTTCGTCTGGTCGGTAACACAACTCGCAGTGAGGGACGTCTGGAAATCTTTCTCAACGGTGAATGGGGAACGGTGTGCGATAACTCCTGGGAACAAGAGGATGCCGATGTGGCTTGCCGGCAGCTTGGCTTCCCGGCAGGGGCCAATGCAGCTACAAGTGGCGCGATGTACGGTGGGGGTTCTGGACCAATTCATGTGGACAATGTGACGTGCACAGGTCAAGAAGACTATTTGGAGCATTGCCAGCATGTTGGGAATGGAGTTCATAATTGTACCCATGATGAGGATGCAGGTGTTTGGTGTTCACCCTCAGGTATATTTCTAATGACTGACCACCTGTGCAGATTACCATAATTTTTAACTAAGATTTTTGTGGGGGAAAAAGGAGGTACTTTTTATTTTGAATGATTTTCATCAAGGGCTCCCTGACAACTTGTTTCTGTAGAGTGCTGTAATTCATACCTTCTTTTTTGTTTGTTTCATCCAAGCAGTCTATAACCACTAAAGTTCATTTCCAGAGGTCTTTCATTATTTATTTAAAGTATTTAGTCAAATCTTCGATCAGTAATATTGGTACTTCTTATTTCTGCAGTTCGTTTGGTCAACGGGTCAAGTCCCAACGAAGGTCGTGTGGAGGTGTTATGGAAGGGTGTGTGGGGGACTGTCTGTGATGACGGTTGGGACGTGGATGATGCTACTGTGGTCTGCCGACAGCTGGGCTTTGTTGGAGCTCGTGTGGAGGCCTTCCCAGCTGCTGCGTTCGGTCAGGGCTACGGGCTGCCGATATTGCTAGATGATCTCAGATGCGTCGGTGACGAGGACTCGGTGTTTGAATGTGGGCACAGAGGGATAGGGAGTCATTACTGTGTACATCAAGAAGATGCAGGGGTCCGTTGTGGTAAGTTGCATTCATAAATACCTCAGACAGTTTAGCTATTCCTATTGGTCGAGAGCCTGTCACGTGGCCGGTATTAAACGGATGATAAAGACATGGCTAGCTGGTCTTAAGCACTTTTCCAGTGTCACAATAAAATGTGGACTCCTAAAAATCCAGTGTCTTTTACCGTTTCATTGGTTGAACGTTCACAATCCTCATGTAGGCATGCGCAACACTACAAGCGAGTCAGAATTTTATAGTTCTAAATTCAAAACGCAACGACCCAGGTGCGTTCTGCGTGACATCGCGCAGAACATGTTACGCGTGCGTCAATCTCCATAAAAGGGTTGTTTACATCTTACTTGCCAGCTGAACACTCCATTATTTTGCTAGAGGGATGTTTCAAAAAGCATGAAGTGAACTTGTTGAACAAAATCGGGATTTTTTGAACGAATTATTTGAAATTTTTTTACGGATAAGGTATTTATGAATGGGAATAAATTTGTGCTCGGTCGGTATTTATCACTCGTTTAATACCGCTTAGAGTCTGGGTGCTGATAATTACCCTCGCCTCCGGTTCGGGTAATTATCAGCACCCAGACTCTAAAGCGGTATTAAACGAGTGATAAAAACCTCCGGAGCACACATTTATTCCCTTATTTAATGACGGTTCCTCCTCTATGGATTTTTAGTTTTAAAAGAAAGTGAAGCTGATTGGAATTAAGGTGTAAGTAAAAGATTGCGCGAAGAGTCACGGTGGTGGCATTCCTGGTACTTGATAAACTGCGATGAATTCGACAGAAATATTTTTCTTTAAATGCGTCGAATAATTGTATAATGAGGCCAAATACATTGTAATATTTACTGAGCTACAATTATTCTTGCCTATTTCAGCCGAGCTCCGTCTTGTCGGCGGCAGAACCCATAACGAAGGTCGGCTTGAGGTCCTCGTTGCGGGTGTGTGGGGCACAGTGTGTGACGAATCTTGGGGAGTGGTAGACGCTGGAGTTGCATGCCACCAGCTTGGCTTCCCCGGTGTGATCAATGCTACCCGAGGCGGAGCTTTTGGAACTGGACACGGGCCAATTCACTTTGGTAACGTAACGTGCTCTGGCCAGGACACCAAGCTACAAGATTGTCAACTCAGCACCGGCGAGGCACTTCATTGCACTCATAGTCAGGATGCAGGCATGGTGTGTAGCCCTTCAGGTAAATACAATCATTAATTAGTACCTTCAAGGAATTCTTCCTGGTCTTGAGGTTTCTTTTATGAATAAGGAGCTATGTCAAATTAGAAACTAAGTCATTCTGAAAGTAGAACAAGGGACCAACACCTTAGAAAACGATACTCTTGAATATTTATTCCAAGCATAAGCGCGTCCCTTTCCATTTCATTTGTTCTCATATTTTTTTTGTCTATGAAGTACGGTCGCTCTGGCGGGAGAAAAATAATATACTAATATCAGAGTCTTATATAGCGCTGGAAATAAATGCAGTTGCACACGTATAGATGGCTAAATGTAATGATGCCAAGTACGAATTGTCTGTAGTTGTGTGTATTGCAATGATTTATCATGAGTTGCCATCACTGAATTAAATAATAATAGACATAGGCGTAGCCAGCAGGGGGGGGGGGGAGGGGATTTGCTCTTTTCCATCTAAATGCCCTTTTTCACCAGCACTTACCCCAAATATTTGTAAACATTGACCTTCTTTTTTTAACAAGTGTCCTTTTTTTCTGAACAAGTGCCCTTTAGGGAAAAAAGGGTGTGCCCTTTTTGAGCCAGCGGCCGTTACGAGTGTTTGAATACTGTGCATTTATCGCCCTGAAAAGCGCCATAGATTGTTAAGTTAGTGTGCATAATCTTCGGTTTTGAGCAGCGCCCCCATTGACAGATGGTACCCCCCCCCCCCCCCCCCCCCCCCCCCCCCCCCCCCCCCCCCGAACAAGTCTCCAGAGAAAAAAGGTGCTACAAGTCAGCGCGGATGTGCAAGTGCCCCTTTATTTCAAGAAATTGTTAACCCCCTCCATAGAAATGACATTGCTACGCCCCCGTATAATCATATTCGGCAAGACGTGAAGTTGCCTTTTAATAAAGTAGATATCCACACCCGGCAGCACTTCAACGTTTTGGCCGTGTAATGGCAGCTATGGCATAACAGTAAAGGTACACTGGAAACACCTGATCGAAATGATGAGAGGCAACGTCCACATCTTCTTGAACTCCACTGGTTGCCATACTGGTTGGCGTAAAAATGTGGTATTTTTCAATAGCTTCTCAAATAACACAGCCCAAAATAGGGTCGGCAGAAATGAAAACCAAAGAAATAAAATGGGATGCCGTAATTAAAATAATGTATAACTTTCTTGCATCAAAGTGCGCTTGGTGGGTGGTTTGAGCTCAACTGAAGGTCGCGTTGAGGTGTTTTTCCGCGGTGCCTGGGGAACCGTCTGCGGCTACTCCTGGGGATTGATCGATGCTTCTGTCGTCTGCAAGGGACTTGGTTTCTCCAGAGCAGTGGAAACGCCAACCTTCGGAAGGAACTATGCATTGGACATATTGCTGGATAATCTTGATTGTGACGGTGACGAGTGGACGTTGTTTGACTGTCGGCACAATGGGCCTGGGATTCACCGTTGTACTTATTATCAGGATGCAGGTGTCCGATGTGGTACGTTTGAATCAAGACAATAATTTTTTTTGTTCCAAATTAAACCTTCCTATTCCCAAAACAGTTACCCTAAAATGTCTGTCTCTATAAAAAAAACATTTTCTGTTCTGTCTTAAAGACGAGCTAAAACTATTATTTTTACAGTAAGCTTCCAATCCCTGCTTTCATCAAAACTTTACACAAGGATTTGAAACTGGATTTTGTTTCAGATATAGTTATATTCTGCTTTTTAAATACTTTTCCATTTTCTGATATATCCTCGTGTTTATCAATAATAATTAATCAAATCATGTTTTCTTTCTAGATGCTTGTAGCAATGACGTCTGTGTAAATGGCGGCACTTGCAACACTGTTGCGAATGGTATCTCATGCCATTGCCCATCAGGTTATAGCGGACCCTCTTGTGAATTTGGTAAAGATAATTTTCTTTCAATTATACAAAACTCAGTTTTGTTCTCTTCGCTATTCTAACTGTCAATATAAACACTCCTGGAGTCTCCGTGTCTTAGTTGAGCGAATAACATGATCGTGGAATGGGTGGGAAATGATGGGAAGACATTGCTTTTTTGCGGCAATTTCCTTCCCGTTCAGAAATGCGAAATTCTCAAACACTAAACAAAAATGTAGAGCAAATCAGCTGGTATTTTGCTCACTGTTGGTCAACATACCAACCGCCTGCTCTCTTTGGTCAATGTTTACCCGAATTAACCAACAATAAGGCAAATTCCTACCAAGTTTGGGCAAAAATTGCCAACAGTGTTTTACCCAACATTTTTAGAGCGAACTGGAGGATATCCGTAAATGGTGAAATCCTGCACCAGGCGATTTCACCTTTAAAGCAACGTTCCAGAATCGACTTTTGCAACCTAGGCTTGATGGTCTTACTTCTAGGTTTACTATCCATGCACTCCACCGCAGGGTACATCCAGTACAGGGCGACCGTTTTAGCTGATTTTCGGCTAACTTTTACAGAATTTTGGTTAAAAAAACAGAAAATTTGACAGAATGGATTTTTTTGGCAGATTTCTGGCAGAATTCTGCAAAAATGGTTATTTGACAGAAAAACAGCAAATTTGAACAAAAAATGATACATTTGTTTAAAAAAAGCTTCAATCCTTTCAAACAAACCCTTGCATAAAGGGACAGGTTGGCTGGTCTAGGTGCTGAGGTTCACCAGGAAACGGACTTCGCCATGGCCGGATCCGCGTTTTGCCCGAAATTTACGCGATAATTTCACAACATCTTTATGAGACTATAAATTATTTATAATATAATTTGAACCTTAATTTAGGCAAAAGTACCACTCTGCATGTGATTTTAAGTGTATATAGTGTATTTCGAGTAATTCCGGGGAATTTGGCAGAATTTTGATAAATCTGACAGATTTTGGATGTGCATTTAGCAGAATTTGGCTCTGACCTTACGGTAACCCGGATCCAGTATATCGGGCTTTCGAATTAATTAACTTGGTCTTACCCCATTGACTTTTACATTAAAACAAAAAAAAATGGGTAAAATGGGTTGATTATTCGACCAACGATGGGCGAATAGTATGATTGACTCTGAATTAAATTTTGTGCAGGCACTCATTTTTTTTATTGAATACTTTTCTCAGCTGGACTTCGTCTTGTTGGCGGTAATGTCAGCAGCGAGGGGCGGCTTGAGGTACTACTGAACGGTGAATGGGGTACGGTGTGTGCCGACTCCTGGGGACTGGAGGACGCCCAGGTGGCTTGCAGGCAGCTCGGCTTCCCTGGTGGTATGGAGGCTACTCCAGGTGGATCTTATGGGAGAGGAACAGGGCCGATTCATCTAAGCGGTATCATGTGCTCCGGCCAAGAAAGCAACCTTGAGAATTGTACCCACAGCGGAATCGGGATACATAACTGCACTCATGCCAACGATGCAGGCATCGTGTGCAATCCAAAAGGTAAGATTGTAGAAAGAAAAAAATAGAATTGTTGATTGTCCACGGTGGACAATTCAACTGGCTTAACTAAGCCCAAACAGCCAAAACCGGGGCATTATTGATATAACATTAAGTGATTTCAATATATTGCAATACATATCAAATTACAAGCTGTCTGTGCTTACAGTTCGTTTGGCAGACGGTCAAAGCTCCAACGAGGGTCGTGTTGAAGTGTTCTGGAATGGTGCTTGGGGGACGGTCTGCGATAATTACTGGGACATCATCAACGCCAATGTCGTCTGTCGTGAATTAGGCTACTCCCAAGCAGTTCAGGCCCTGCGGTATGCTGCATTCGGCCAAGGGGACGAATTTGACATACTACTCGACAATGTTCAGTGCAGTGGTGACGAAGATACAATATTTGATTGTCCTCACAACGGCTTGGGTCTCCACGACTGTCGACATTATGAGGATGCTGGGGTCCGATGTGGTAAGCAATTTGAAATGCAAAGTAGTTGATAATATGACGACCACTCACCTAGTAGATGTGGACAGATTTTTTTCCTTTCCTCCATAAGATGACAATTTTTGCTGAGCCGACATAATCACCGATTGTAGCTGAACCACACGACAGAAACACTTTCACTTGAAAATCAAGTTCTTAGGCCTGCTGCCCATGGGTATTGTAATTGCCATTCAAACAAGCTCTCGTAAAAATAATGGAGACTTCGCGAACATTGAACCATTTATCTTTCCGTTCTGAACAGAACCGTGCGACAGCGACCCGTGTAATAATGGAGGAACTTGCACCAGTACGCTATTGGGAAACATAACTTGCCTCTGTCCCGAGGGATACAGCGGACGCACGTGCGATTATGGTACAGATTATTTTTCACTTTGTTTTCAGTATTTGCAGTGTTCTGTGACTATAGGCTATACATGTTGGTGAAAAAAATTGTTCTTATATTTTTTTTTTCTGGTAGTTGTGGTTAAGTTTGTAGGCCTGTTGTTTGGATTAACCTGCAATGCGTGATTGACTTGTAATATTCAAATTTCTAGAATAACTGTCGGGTGTTATTATTTCACATGTTTTAAAGCAACAATGAAGCAAGTATCGGTGGACTTTATTTGTTTCCATGCAACAGTTTGTGGTGTCGAAGGTACTTATTATGAGATGACGTGGTGATGAGGTTACGATTCATTGTCTGTAAATGTATGTTGGGCCACTTAGTCTCCTGATTTCATTTTTGGCGCGGATAATATACAAAAGTCTACAATGTAATGGAAGTGTACATCAATTTGTCATCCAATCTGAACTCCTCTCGCAGCTGAACTTCGTCTCATCGGAGGCAGAACCCCTAACGAAGGCCGGATCGAGATCTTCCTCAACGGTACATGGGGCACACTCTGTGATAGCTCTTGGGGACAGGAAGAAGCACGGGTGGCCTGTCGACAGTTGGGATTTCCTGGTGTCGTTGAAGCGACAACGAGCCAGTCTTACGGGAATGGGAGCGGGCCGATTCACCTGGACAATATTGTGTGCAGTAGTACAGACAACAGCCTAGAGAGCTGTCAGCACAGCGGGGTCGGGGTCCATGCTTGTAATCATACAATGGATGTTGCCGTTGTTTGTTCTCCAGCAGGTAATGCAGCTTAATGAACCCTCCAAGCAGCGAAGCGGTGATAAAATTCTCCACATTTTCCAAATATGGGCATTTTTTTTTTGATTGGCCAATTAGGCCAAGCTTCCATCTAATCCTCACCCCTACTATACGCCGCAAGCCTGTAGACTCCCATTGGCCAGACCCTAGCCACTCCGGAGTAAGGAGTGTTGAAAGACAGAAGCCAAGATTGCGGCTCATGCCTTTGTGCGGTAATTGGAGAAAATGGCAGCCAAACCCTTTGTGCCGCCGATCCCTTTGTGTCAACCCCTCGTGCCACCCAGAGCTCAGACAGGTTGAAGACAATCCCCGACGATGTGAATGACCTATATCTTGTGTATGTACAGGCATGCGGGGGTTATTGACCTAGAAACACATGTGGTGATAAAATTCTCCACATGGTAACTCCGTGTGATTTTTTTTTGCGAAGCTGCTCCCAGGGTTAATAATGACTGACAGCAGGTTTACCAATTAAATAACCGTCTCCAGCATGTGAATTTGTTAGATGAACTTTTATAAGCCATATATACCATAGCTTAAAATTCAGAGGGATCTGATTCTTTGCCCAATGGTGTGTAAAACAAAGACTAATGTATTTTAATTCTTGCAAGTGCTTAGCGATGAAACTCTTATATTCTATTTAACTCGAAACTATACTTTCTAGAAACAAGGAACAGATTATTTTCGAAAGTTAGGCTAATAAGGAACATCATCTTGAAGACTCTACTAAATATTCACAATCAGTTTTCGTGAATGTCTTTAATAGAACTGAATAGATCCAGAAAATCTTGCAAGAATTTTCAAATTGTTTAAGTGCTACCAGTATGTGTAGACTTTTAACTCCTTCGGGAGGATTTCCTTGCCATTGTGCGCCTATCAATTGTGCAGCCCCCCCGGGCCGCCCCACACAAGACCTGTCGATTGTCACTTTTGCAGTGACGATATCCTCACCCCTGCATAATTTTTGTGACAATCTCCGACATACGCGGATGGAGCGCACCAAACTGGGTGCCTTTCCATTTAGTGCACCAATGGTAAAACGGTTTGTGAGTGACAGAAACTCCTGCAGTTTGAGAAAACGTGACTTAATCCAGACATAACACCTATATTTATATGGAAATCACTGTGTTTTTTGGTCTTGTAGTTCGTTTGGTCGATGGTTCCAGCTCCATCGAAGGCCGTGTGGAAGTGTTTTATGATGGGGCGTGGCGAACCGTCTGCGACAATGGTTGGGACACCAGCGATGCTACTGTCGTCTGCCGAGAACTGGGTTTCGGCGAAGCAACATTCGCTTTCTCAGATGCATTCTTCGGCTCAAATTATGATCTTGAGATACTGCCGCATGATCTCATGTGTCATGGCAATGAGAAAACGTTGTTTGATTGCGAGCATGGCGGGGCTGCAAGTCGTTACTGCAGTCATTATGAGGATGCTGGTGTCCGTTGTGGTAAATCGGCAGTTCATCTTTCCTCGATTTTTACCCAATATGTTTACAGCTTATTGTCAACTTTGTAATAAGGAGACACATAAGGAATTGTTTACAGTTCTAATGTTAGTTAATTTGTTTTTAAGCCTATAGCTGCTTTATATATTGTTTGATTGTTTCCCCCAAACAACTCATACAGCCAATATTCGTCTTGAAGACGGCCACATCCGTAATGAGGGTCGTATTGAGGTCTTCCTCAACGGTGAATGGGGTACGGTGTGTGAGGACTCCTGGGGACTACCTGATGCCCAGGTGGCTTGCAGGCAGCTCGGCTTCCCTGATGCCATCGAGGCGACCCAAGGCGGTGCTTTTCCAAGTGGAATGGGACCAATTCACTTGGCCGGCCTTATGTGCACCAGTGCTGAATCGAGTCTAGACAGATGTCCGCAAGGCGGTATGGGAGTCGGAAACTGCACTCACTTTCAGGATGCTGGAGTCATCTGCTCCACTGCAGGTAACTTTAATACCTCTTTGCAAACCCTTTTAATATAAATATTGTCATGGATCATAAATTGGTTCCATCTCGTAGATAGAAACTCAATAATTGTTGCAAATTTATCTTTGTATTGCATTCATACATGTACAGGTAGCGGTCTGGGCCACCTACTTTCTGAATTTGAAAATGGATACAAAGATAAGAATTTTGCGAACCCAAGCCATCGTGAAAATCATGCGTTTGTTAACATGAAGGCATTTTTTTTCAAAATAATGTGTATTTGAAGAGTGGAGAACAGATCATCTTTACGCCTGCAAACACACTGTGCAATATTTAACAATTGTTGACTGCTGTGATGTGGAATGTGACGTTTTAAGCACCCTCGGGGCGCATAGCACCCGAGGCGAAGTTTTTGTTATACCCTTGTCTTGGATTCTTTGGATTTTGATGTTAAAAATCACGATTACAAACAACAGCAAACACAACAATAACGACAGTCGTACGTCAACTCACCAGGCGCGGATCCAGGGGAGGGCCGCGGGGGCACGTGCCCCCCGTCAAATTTGAGTCCAAAAAAAAAAAAAAAAAAGGAATAGAAGGGGGAAAAAGAGGGGAGGTGAGGGAAGGAGGAGGGAACCTCCTTACAAAAATACCGGCGCCGATATTAAACATGAGCCTGCAAACATTGCGTACTCGACTCGAAAAGCTTCGAAATAAACCGCGATCCCATCGTACGTACCCCGTACGTACGTACATGTACGTACGTATTACCCTGCATATACCGTTATTACATGCGATTCATACGAACGTACACGATTTATTCTCTACGAACATGCAGCTTTATGTGCGCGACAAACACACGTTCCGCAGTGCTCTTTGGACCACACCATTGATCAAGGGTGTGTTTTAGTAAGAACAATTTGCCAGCAGTTCCACATGCTTTTGAATTACAAATTATACTATTTTCACAGAGTCCAAAACATGACCTTGTTTTAAATTGACTTCTTCAACGTCACGTCATCATATAATTTTCGTAAAGACTTTATTCGAGAAACGATGTAAAACCCTGAAAAAAATTGTAACACCCCTGAAGGTCATGGATCCGTCCATAAAACGTTTTTTTAACGAAGAAAGTTGAGATCCAAAAGTTGGGTTTTGACGTTACTACGCGTTGCAGAAAATACAAATCTGATAAGTTTGGTACATAAAAGAGATCTGTTTGTCTGAGGACGAAAACAATCAGCAGTTATTGCCCAAAGGCAAGTTTTAGCACTCGAGACATGCTCTTGCAAGCTAGACAGAAAGCAAGTGTGTTGCTTTTTGAATTGCAAGCGAGATTAATTTGATCGTAGTTCGCCGGTGGCGACGCGGGCCGGCATCCGTGCCGGACCGGGAGGTATACACCTATTCCTGATGTTTATTTCTCAACGTACGTTATCATCAACAATTATTTACTGTAATTTTTTTTTACATAACTAAATGACGAATCCACCTTCAAAATTGTACCATGTGGAAATTGCAATCATGGCGCCGAAAGACCCGATGTCTATTATAATGTAAAGACCAGACGCAGTGTCTCACACAATTTGTCTTGCTGCGCCGCCGATCTGCCGATGGTTTATTTACAAATACATGCACGTGTAATAGGCCCTATTCTTGAAATTGAAACTTGACTGAATTAAAAGAACATTTCTTTAAAATGTTTTGGCATTTTACATTATGCAAAAAAAGAGGGAGAAACTTGGATGACCGTATGATTAATTTCTGTAGTCATGAGATAAAACTGAGCTGTGAAGTTACAATGCAGGCTAATTGCTCCTCTGTTTTAGTTTGATTAAATTACACTAATTTTAAACTTGAATTCAATTAACATGTTCAAGCGGTTTCTTCTTGTTGATAAACTGAAAGTTTCAACTTGAAACAAAACATTAGAAAGCATCCTTACACCAGTTTACAAACTAAGTTTTTACAATTCCTTTTTCAAAAATATAATGCACGAAGACACATGCAGACGAAAATACATGGTATCAAGTGATAAGAAACTGAGAAGGCTTGTAAAAGCAAGAGAATATTTTAATCAATGAAAAAAATCTTATAATCTTAAAACAATTTACTCAAATAACTCCGGGGAATTGCCTCAGATTGCACCACAGAGCATCTAGAATCCAAAATTTCCTGGGCCCTTAAGCGGGCCCCGGACCCCACGCCGAAAGATGTTCGCGCTCCGCATTGGTCTTCGGAAAGATGCCCTATACTCATCCTTGCAAGATACAATTCCTTTTCAAAAATAAGCACGGAAATAACTATGCAGACAAAAATGTTTGGTTATACAAGTGAAGAACAGAAGAAACTGAAAAGGCTTGTAAACGCAAGAGTATATTATAAACCAATGAAAAACATCCTTATAATCTTAAAACGTTTTGCTCAAATAACTCCGGGGAAAAGGGAATCCCCTCAGAATACACCACAGAGCATCTAGAATTCTAAATTTTCCGGGGCCCTTAAGCGGGCCCCGGACCCCACGCCGTAAGACAGGCGTGATCCGCCCTCGCATTAGTCCTCGGAGCAAATGCCACGACGCACCGTTGCAACAGTTTACAAAACGAAGTCAATACAATTCCTTTTCCAAAATAAAAAGCAAGAAAATATAAAGACGTAAAATGGTTTTCGACTTTCAAGCACACAGTAACTTAAAAATTGTAAAAGTAAGGGTATGTTTTAAAAAAATCCTTAAAATCTTAAACATTTTTGCTCAACTAATTCAGGGGAAAGGAGCCAGGAATCGCCTCAGATTGCACCACAGAGCATCTAGAATCCAATTTTTTTTCGGGCCCCTTAAGCGGGCACCGGACCCCACGCCGTAAGGGCTTCGCGCTCCGCGCCGCGCTCGCATTAGTTCTCGGAGCAAATAATTTTGCTCCAACAGTGTGCCCCCCGTCTAAAAAAATCCGCGCCTGCTCACATGCATGTCGCGTGCTCGAAAACAGCTGGTCGTCGCCTAGTTCACTGCTTCCTCTCATTATATGAAAACATGGTGAAAATAGCGTGGGTACCAACAATACAAGCGTTTTAACACATACAGGCCATACAAGCGATACAAGCGGTATCACGTACATGATATACCACAGGGAGTGTACCATGGCTTTATATAAACTTAACACGTGATCGTTCTAGACCAATGAAAATACAGTATTCAAACAGACAACGTTGTGATAACATGGGACACTTCAAGTGCTCCTTTAGTCGATAACACTGTCTGTTTTAATTCAAAATATCTTAATTCACTATCACTGTGACTTATTTACATGGTAATTTTAAGCCAGAGACTCTTAAAAACAATTATGAAGGCTAAAAAAAGAGGATTACATTTTTCAGTTTGTACTAAATGGAAAGTCCTCTCGATATTTTGAATTGCCGCCATGCATGGAATGAACCCCAAAAAACAGACAAAATGGTGCACTTTAGGCCCTAAGGGAAACTTATTCTTACAACATTTTTTGTTACAAACAACCGTAATATTCATGATATCCTATCACGTTAATTGTTTATTCACATTGATATGGCAAGATGACCAGAAAGATTTGCGTAAAAGGTTAGAATTTATATGCCAGATTGCAATCAAACAAATTAAGGTGCATTATGTATATCATGCGAGTAAAACAAATCATTTACATTGTGGTAAAAAGACGTATGAAATAACAAGACATGTTTTTAATTCTTTTTGAAGTGCGTTTGGTTGGCGGGTCCAGCTCTAACGAGGGAAGAGTGGAGATATTTTGGGACGGCATCTGGGGAAACATATGTGGTGATTATGTTTGGAGTATCATTGAAGCCGAAGTTATTTGCAAAGAATTGGGCTTTTCGAGAGCCGTGCGGGCTCTGTCCTTTGGACAAAGCTTCGGCCTTGTCACTCTGCTGTCATATGTAAGGTGTACGGGAAACGAAGAGACGATTTTCGCTTGCAGACATAGTGACCCGGGATTCGACTTCTGCAGCATTTTCGGTGACGGGTATGCAGGAGTACGGTGTGGTAAGTTATCATGCCGTAAATATTCTTTTTCTAAAACAAACATTGAAGGCGCATGCAAAGGGTCAGATACATATACAGGGAGTGGTACTAGAACAGAGGTATATAGGTGAAAAAAAGTTCAGAGTGGCGAAGGAACTGTAATCATGTAGGCTACAACAGATGTTGCCTCATGAACACTGATGGCAGCCACGTCCATACTTCGTAAACTAGACCTGAGACATAGTGACGTCACGCTTTGTTTAAATTCGGTTTTTGTCTTTGAGAGCCATATGGGGACGCGGACCACCACTAGTGCCCATAACAATTAAAGTGCATATAAAAACAAAGTTTTACGTCATTTAAGTCCTTTATGTCTATTTTGATGATGCCTATGGCTCTTATCAGTGGCGTCGCTTTCAGTGGCTGTCCGTCTATGTGTTGATATCTGCACGCCCACTGAATCCATTACGATGCATATGATGAGAGCTCCTGTTGGCTAATTTTGAAATGCGTGTTCAATTCTCGCCTTATGGCTTCCCCATTTATAGGGGCTACTACGTGAAACCTCAGCTCAGTAAAGAAGCTCACCCTTTTCGATGCATCTTCCCCTCCTGTATCCTCCACTCAGAATCTCGAGAAAAAAATTATCACAGCTCTGTATTATTTAGAACAAAATCTAAACCATGCGCCTCCAGAAAATAGCCCCGAGGTGGCCTTTGAAAAACAGACCCATGTTATTGCACTGGACGAGCATTTCCCTCACCAGCGACATATTTCTTTAATCCAATACGGTTCAATCATGACTTATCATCACTGCAAAACTTGAGAAAACTTGATTTTCAAATTGAACTATTTTTTTTTTAACTTAGAACCCTGTGACAGCAGACCATGCATGAACGGAGGAACCTGCAGGAGCTCCAGTGCTAATTTCACCTGTAACTGCCCCGCAGGTTTCACTGGCCAAACGTGTGCCTATGGTAAATTCGAATTATTCAGTTTTTGTTGTACCTTTCAAATATCAGATGACAGCCTAAAAGACAATCAGGAGACCGCGTCAGTTATGTACATGTTTGTTTGTTTGTTTTTTGTAAAATGTAAAATCTAGAGTTTAATTACTTTTGAACACTCTGTAAATGTTTAATTTGTTTTCTGAACACAGTAACGCGTTCAAGGGGAAGATGCAGAAGAAGACCTAGGTCCACTTTGATTCATTGTGAAAGTATCCATGTACAAAAAAAAACAAAGCTTGAAACAACCGGATGAAGTTTTGCAGCTGCTTGTATTGAAATTTGACTGTCTGGAAAAAAATACAACTATTCAGATTTTAAAGCCTCCTGTTTAACTCGTGTTAATCTTATGAACGCTTCGTGAGCGGCTCTGTTTAGGAAGATTGCATATAAAGTTTCACTTATAAACACTTCGTGAACGGTTCTGTTTAGGAACACTGTATAACTTATGAAGGATTATGTTGATACAAGTGTTTTAAGTTGCATGTTTAAGGACATTTATCTTTTAAGACACTGTTTAAAGCTATAGTCCATCATTTGTAATTTGTGCATTTTGTTTGTTAGAAGCAACAAAAGGGTTCAATATCTAATGAAGGATACTGAACAACTAACCTGATGAAGTTTCAGCTAAGCTTCAGCTGTACATTCCGAGAAAAACAGCATTCTAAGATCTCAATTTCAAATCAAAAGTTACTGAATCATGTTTTGAATTGTTTTGAATTGCAGCTATACGCGACGTAGCGCACTGATCCGACGAATTATAACAACCACGCGCGCGTGGGCGTCGTTCCAATGCTTGTGCGCGCTGCGCTGAATAACAAAACGAACTACTAATTTAAATTTTCCTACGGTGCTTCTTAAGAATCACCGTTGGAAATGCCTTCTTTCGTTAATTACTTCAAAATGACAGCTTCCCAGAAAGAATAATTTCACAGGGAGGATAGTTTCCTTACTATCTTTCAACCAAGTTTGTTTTTCAACAATAATTACGCCAGTTACTTTTCGGATGGCTGCAAATGATGGACTAAAGCTTTAAGGATATTTATCTTTTAAGACACTGTTTAAGCATAAGCGGAGCTATGGATTTGTCATTCTTGATGTGGAAGTCCTGACATCTCTTGACGACCTACTGAGAGACTCAGAAAAATGTCGACGTCCTGAGATAATAATATTTATCACATTTTTCATTATTCTATTTTTTTTTTTGGCTGACGACTTGATAAATTATTTTTGCAGTTCATTGTCAAAACCTGGAAAAAAACCCACTTGAGAGCTTCCCACAGTTGGCATACTATAGGATAAAAGAATAATTGCATTGATTCTTGTTTCCCTTTTTTAAGCTGAACTTCGCCTTGTAGGCGGAAGCCACCATTACGAAGGCCGACTGGAGATCTCTTTTAACGGCACGTGGGGTACAGTGTGTGGGGACCTCTGGGGATTGGAAGACGCCCAAGTAGCATGCCGACAGCTCGGTTTCCCTGGTGTAATACGAGCTTCGCAAGGTGGATCATTCGGAAGTGGAACAGGGCCGATTTATCTCGACGATCTCATCTGTAATGGACGCGAGATCAACCTAGAGAGTTGTGGACATGCCGGCATTGGAATCCACAACTGCAACCATACCAACGACGCCGGCGTCACATGCCAGCCCGCAGGTACAGAATGAATCACCTTTTTTTCATCACATAGTGTATATTAAATATGTTTACAGAACCTGTGTACAGAGAAGTTAAATTAGAAAATACAACCCTAATCAGCTATAACATTCCATCTCATTAGGCCCCCAAAAAAGTCTCCGGTTTCTGGTATGGAGCTTGCCCAAAAAGTGGTGCGGCGAGGCGTCTTTTTTTTTTTTTTTTTTTACCTGATTTTTTTTGCTTCAAATGTCGGCTGATGACTGCAAATGGTGCCCGACTAAACTTAGTGCCAATATTATGGGAGACCAGAGAGGCCACATAAAGCTTATTCTCGATCATAACCCCATCTAAAAACAAGTTGAAATTGTGCAGCAGCAGGATTCCAGTCAAACCAGTGAGTTTGGTGGTTTTGAGACGTCATCTTTCATTGAAAAAAAAACTTTTTCATTTTGCCGACGCGCATGGCTACGGCAACGTGCGCGCATACCAGAAACCGGAGACTTTTTTATTTGGCCTTAATTCTTTTTCTTTTTTTGCGCACAGATAGAATTCATAGTGTTATTAAACACACTTCTCTCAGGAGTTGCTTTTCAAAGTGAGGAAGAATTTGCATTACATAGTTCACCTTTAATGTGGAAAGAAATAACATTGCATTTTCTTTAATACTTTTTCGCCTTGAAGTCCGTTTGGTAAATGGTGCTACCCTAAATGAGGGGCGTGTAGAGGTCTACGCTGGTGGTGAATGGGGAACCATCTGTGATGACCGTTGGGACTTGACGAATGCCGCCGTCGTCTGCCGGGAATTGGGTTTAGGTGACGCACTGAAGGCTCTGTCTAGGGCTGTCTTTGGGTACGGTAATGGGATGCCGATACTGCTGGATAACGTTGCTTGCACCGGGCAGGAAGACACGGTTCTCGATTGCCGACATGCGGGAATCGGGAGTCACAATTGCGGGCATGCTGAAGATGCAGGAGTTCGATGTGGTGAGTTGATTCTCTGTATCTGCATTGATCTGCAGCGTAAAATAGAGGCCAAACCTCTAGATGATGATGTGTGCTTCAAAAGTTCATTTCCATGTATCCTGCATTAATTGGCTCCATTTAAACGTCTAACTCAGTTATGATTCATAACTTCGCCATCAGATTAGCTCCAACGTCCATCACATGTTTTGACATTGTCATGAACTTCTGTTGTGTTTCAATCTAGGACGAATTCGTCTTGCTGACGGCAACATTGAAAACGCAGGCCGCGTAGAGGTCTTCGTCAACAGTGAATGGGGTACGGTGTGTGACGACTCTTGGGGGCTGCAGGACGCACAGGTGGCTTGCAGGCAGCTCGGCTTCCCTGGTGCCATCGAGGCGACCCAAGGAGGATCATTTGGAAGTGGCTCTGATCCGATACACCTTGTTGATGTTGCTTGCACTGGTTCTGAAAATAACCTGGAGAGTTGTCCACATGGTGGTATCGGGGTTAATAATTGCACTCATAGCGAGGATGCAGGCATCACGTGTGAACCTCGAGGTACAAACATTTCCAGTACAGGACCAGACTTGTGTACTTGTTAGGAAAACATTATTCATAAGTTGGCCTGCTCATTGATGTAAATTTATTCAGTACCATTTAATAATAATAATGATATTCTTATATAGCGCCAAATCCTTCAAAATGACGTTCAAGGCGCTTAGTTGAAGTTTATGATAATTTAATTGAAGTTTATGATATGCTCAGTTTACAAGATCCAAACAGCCAAAAATTTGTGCATGATTGGGATGGGGCATTGCATGGTCAAACATTCAAAAGGAACAGTGCACAAGACTAGTGTACACTGCAATTACCATATGTATTTATCAATGGTCAATAGAGATAATCTAAAAATGCAGGAAACGGGAAAAAAAGTTTGCTTGCTAAATATGACGGTCCCCGCATCACACTGAATATTTTCCAATTTTTTTTAAAAAATCAGTTTCATATGATTAAATGATGTTTTGAATCATTCTGCAAGATTTAGTACAGAAGATATTTTCGGTGATTTGGCTTAGATGTCGGGGTGATCTGTTGTTTTGTAAACTTTTTTTTACAACAAAGTTATGATCTTTAGCAAGGATAGGATTGTTTTGTTTCCCCCGGGTGTGATCAAGAAGTGATTTCCTCGTTCGTTTTTGAAAGAAAATCTTTTTTTTGTTTTCAAGTGCGACTGGTTAACGGTTCTAGCTCAAACGAAAATGAACTCAATAAATCCTGAGCCTTGTATTTTTGATGAAATCATTTAGTTACTGGCATACTGCTCACTATTCATTCATTTTGCATGTGCGAATGATTAAGTTTGGTAAAAAAAAGAGTTTTCTTTTTATCATATAGTTCGTTTGGTCGACGGTTCAAGTTCCAACGAAGGTCGTGTGGAAGTTTTTGTGAATGGTTCCTGGGGAACCATTTGTGACGATAGCTGGGGTCTGAATGATGCTAGGGTCATCTGCCACCAGCTGGGCTACTCTAGCGCACTACGGGCTCTAACAAGCGGTTACTTTGGAGGGAACTATGGACTCGACATACTGCTGGATAATGTTGCATGCACTGGTATCGAAGAGACCGTGTTGGACTGTCGGCACAATGGACTGGGAAACCACAATTGTAGACATTATGAAGATGCTGGTGTCCGATGTGGTAAGTTGAATATCTGGGACTTTTTCTTCAATACACCACACATGTATTAAAAGTAATTTTCTTTTATATGAATCAACCTTAAATATTGATCAATTTCTTGTACACAGTTTACGTTTAAATATTTATTGAGAAATGGAAGCCACAAGAGAGGGACATTGTTGGTTTTCCTAATTCCAGTAGGCGGAAGTTTTGAAGTGCGTGCAAGTGTTTGTTGGTAACGTCATTCCATAAGGTTGGCCCAGACGTCAGTTGGCATTCCTCGACTTAAGTTAATGAAAAATTTCCTCCGCCCTCTCCTGTGACCAGTCACTTCCAAGCAGCTGATCACATTTTTACTTCATACGCATGCCCTATCGCCAACCCCGCTCGGTTTATTCCACTGGTCTATGTGTAAATGGCTCTTGGACAAAAATCACAATCTTAATCTTAATTGTTGTTATATTTGTCTGTTTATCAGAGCCCTGTGACAGCAGACCCTGTATGAACGGTGGAACTTGTTCCAGTTACCCTGCTGGCTTTACTTGCAGATGTGCATCAGGTTATAGTGGACCAACCTGTGAATATGGTAAGATATATCTTCACAAAATACTGCACTTATCTTTTGTTTTATTATTGATTTTGCCATTTTTCCGACGCACATGTTATTTTACAGTATAATATAACCCAGCAGGTTACACGGACAAAGGAAGACAGTAAGAGACCAAGTTGTACTTGAGCTGATGTGGTTTATTTGGTTGGCTGTGAAGCTCTCTGTCTGATTTCTAGATCCCACTGGGTTTTTAAACACTAAATGGACATTCCAATCTTACAGCTACCATACATGTTTTCTTGCCTTATTAGAAATTGTTCACTAACTTTTCAATATTAATAATTCAAGATTGAAGGTGTTTAGTCCACTTGTTATTGGGGGCAGGGTTAGGCAAATTAAAGGGAATATACATCATTTGCTTTTGCTGTAATTTTCCGAAATGGATGGAATTGGGGGGTTGGAAATATATAGCAAATATAGTTACACTGACTTTTTTGAGGTTTTGGGTTCGAAAATGCTATAAAACCAAGAAAAACAATCATTTTCCTGTAGTCTGGTTCCCTGACTCCATATAAGAAGAAACATAGCAGTTTACATACATTGGGGAATTGTAAGGTCAGGGAACCAGTGTAGCTGGCTTGTACCCGTTCATAGGTGTGTAATCGATTGCAAACAAGTGCGATGGTCAATTGGGGCCAGTGTTTGAAAAAAAGCCAGTTTTTTCCAACGCTGGTCGGCCGACCAGCGTTGGAAATTGATACAAAAGTACCACTTTTCTTGAAAATGACAGTAAACCAGGTGCCATGATTTTACAGGATGCTTTACACTGTCATTCACTAACAGTCCGGCAAGGTATTTCAAAATGATTTGGTGGTTTTATTTTTTGATGTTTGCAAATGTTGTATTTTCCCTTTAACGGAACAATTGGTCTTCCCTATAAGTCCGTGGGCAGTGGGCTGATTCAATGTGGCCTTACGGTCCAGCCCAGCGTCCACCCTGGAGGGCCTTGTGGTTCAACTAGCCATTCCTTAGACATGCCTCATTACCAGGAAAATGGTCCAGTTCCTTGAAGGTCAACCCATAAACTTCCACAGGTTATTTAAAACATGATATGTTATCATATGGTGATGTTACATGTACTCGTCGCTGTTTGATCAGGTGGGACTGTATTCACGACCTCCTGCTTGCAAGTGCAGACGCATACCGGAGTCAGCAGTTGCCATTTATATTAAGAGCAATACTTCAGACTAGGCAGAAACAGATATAGTCTTACAGATCCTGTTACTCTAACCAAAACAATACATTTGCCTTTGTCAGATGCGTTATTCATTTCATCGTAGGCGTCTGCTTCAGGTTAGTCTTCAGAAAACCTGGCGCTGGCGAATATGTACATGCCCTCGTCACTCAGTCAATATGGTACTGAAGAGTTGGGAATAACGCTTATTTAATTATGAAATGTGAAAATGAAAAAATACTGTCCTTGTCATTTAAACTTGCTGACAATATTCGCCCTCAGCGGAACTTCGCCTCGTCAACGGCAGTGCGCGTAATGAAGGTCGGCTTGAGATATCCTTCAATGGCACGTGGGGCACGGTGTGTGGTGACCTCTGGGGCCTAGAAGACGCTCAAGTCGCTTGCCGACAGCTTGGTTTCCCTGCTGTGGTGCAGGCTGCAGCAGGAGGGTCTTTTGGAAGCGGCACTGGGCCAATTTACCTGGATGATCTCATGTGCAACGGTCAGGAAAGCAATCTGGAAAGTTGTCCGCACAGCGGGATCGGCGTCCATAATTGTAATCATGCAAATGATGCTGCCCTCGTATGTGATCCAGCAGGTAATATATTGATAACGATCGGATAGATGAGGAATGTTACAGGGTTTTTATCATTCACTGCATTGACAATAACCTCAACAAGGATAATCAACAAAGATAACAACACTTAAAACAATCCTGCATAAATCCTCTAAACTATCAATTTTGTTTTGCTGTGTTTTCAGTGAACCTTACACTGCAGCTGTCCACTGAATTGACCTGGACTTCGGAGATGTATAGAGACTCTTGGACTCTTAGATTAAAAACCGTAACGAAAAAAACAGATCTCCAAAAAAGCACATGTATCGCTTTTGCTGTCAAAGGGGTCCCCGATTATTTTTTTTTTTTTATAAAAACTTATCGGTGGTATGGATTTCAGCTGAAGTTACATTTGAATGTGAATTAAGTAGCTTTAATGTTCATCTTTCAAATTAAAGTCCGCCTTGTTGGAGGTTCAACTACTAATGAAGGACGTGTGGAGGTCTACTCTGGTGGTGCTTGGGGAACTATCTGCGATGATGGCTGGGACCTGCGTGACGCGGCTGTCATCTGTCGTGAGTTAGGTCTCGGCGGAGCGGTAGGAGCTTTGACGCAGGCTGTCTTTGGTCAGGGCTCTGGTCTGGACATACTGCTGGATAATGTCGCTTGCAGTGGTGACGAGGAGACGGTGTTTGACTGCCGGCACAGAGGCTTGGGGGTTCACTCTTGTTATCATTTTGAGGATGCCGGAGTCCGATGTGGTAAGCCAGAAACCCAGGAGAAAATTCCAATCGAGTCCTTTTAAGTCCCGTTCCAGTGTCCAGGTTGACTTAATGGGACTCAGTGGGACACCAAAGGACCTTATGGGAATTAATTGGATCTGACTGATTTTAGTGAGTTTCCATTGAATATGTCCCAAATTCCATGTTGAATCATATTGGAACACAATGGGAATCAATGGGATATATTGAGATCCCGTGGCAATGGGACCTTATGGGACCCAAATGGAATTTTCTCCTGGGAATTGTTCAAATGGGTCAAAACCGCAAGTTTGGAAATCCTATTCTTATTTGCTGAACTGTGCTAAGAACAGTCTTCGTAGGTGTTGCCAACGTGCATGTTAATAACGTCAAATATGTCAATTTAAGTAAGAATTGAACTTTGTTGGTGATCCATCGAACGGCATTGGTTTGCAAACTCAAACTCCTTTTGTTTCATTTGTTGCGAAATTGGAGATGATGACTAGCTTCGCAATGAAGGCTATATATATACTCGGCTTAAACTAGGAACCAGTACCAGACGAGTTGGAGTGACATTCATTCAATCGCATAGTTCGAGTGTTAACTCGAATTTCCACTAATTGATTCATTTTTTCAGTCTAATATTAGAATTACTTTCACTCTTAATAATCTGGATCCATAGCTTCACTCTTTTGAAATTATCACAACACCGTATGAACTCTGCAATATCTGTTCACATCATCGGGCCAAGTTCCGATAGGTGTAATGCAAAGCCTTGAGGATCTATAATATAATCATTATAGTCGCTAACCGACTGTACTTTTTTTGGTGGCAATCAAGGGTGGATCCAGACTCAAATCTATTTTTAAGGGGATGGGGATTAAGTATATAGTATTGTGCACCCTTTCCACATTGTAATATTAAAACTAAAATGGTATTTGTAGCTAATAGCTGGCGAGGAAGATACGCAACGTTATAATTCATTTCCTGACAATTTGAGACAAAAAAGTGAAAGAAAAAATCGTTCGGGGGACATGGCCCCTGTCACCGCGTACACCAAAATAAGCTCTACACGAAGACTAGATGTTGCTGTCTACATGTATGTCCCATTTTATTGCACACATCTCCAAGATCAGAGCTGGTGAAAAAAGCCGTATGCGGGAACAAATGCCTACGGGTGTACACGGTGGGAGTCGCAGGGGTATTCTGGGGTTACAGCATCTCAGAAATGGCTACTGAGAAGGACGACGGTCCCTATTCGGCGAGGGTGTGGCAGCGACTCGCATTCCCAAATCTTCGCTGCGTTTATTATGAATGACTACCAAATTATCACGTGACCCACCGTAGCGGGCTTAATCTAATTAACTATAGAAAGTATTCAACTCAAGACCCGAGAAAATTCCAATGATTGCGTAATCAACTAAGAGCAAAGAAATCTTATCGGTGGCGATAACAGCCCCCATTCCCCCCCCCCCCCCCCCCGAAATCTAATGGTGACACTCTCATGGAATTAATGATGAGTGAGCGTTACGACTTTCTAATACATGTATGGTGGAGTAAGTGGGGTAACCCATGAATGTGTTGCCTAATTCCAGTTTAATAGTTGAAACGAATATGGAAATGTATTGCATTTCTGCAGTTTATTGGTTTGACCCTAGCTATCCATGACAATATGTCTCTTTATGACCGAGGGCATATTTTAGTATTGACCTACGTACTTCCATAGGTAAAGCTCGGCTTGTTGGCGGAGACACCCATAACGAAGGCCGGTTGGAGGTCTTCCTGAACGGTGAATGGGGTACGGTGTGTGAAGACTCCTGGGGACTAGATGATGCACTGGTGGCTTGCAGGCAGCTCGGCTTCCCTGGTGCCATCGAGGCGACCCAAGGAGGATCATTTGGAAGTGGCTCTGGTCCGATACACCTCGATGATGTTGCTTGCACTGGTACTGAAAATAACCTGGAGAGTTGTCCACACGGTGGTATCGGGGTTCATAACTGCACACATAATCAGGATGCAGGCATCACGTGTAGCCCATCAGGTAAAACACTCCGTGTACATGTCGATCTCAAATACAAGATTTGTCAATGTTGAGATAAATACATGCAGTCTTTCCTTTGTGGAAATTAGGCCTACATTCTCAAGATGTGTTTTTCTTTTTACCAATTTTCATCTGGTATGATAGATTTCTGATTCTTATTTTCTTTTTGACTCCTGCCATCCTACGTTGCTTTTGCAAATCCATATAGATCGTGTATTGCTTTTGCCTTTTTTGACCTTTCCGGTCCATGCTTTGTTAATTCTTATAGAGGCGGGCACCAGTCTGCATTATCAGAATCTAGTGCCGCAAACAACTCCACAGTTTGTGAAGTTGATATTTTATAATCAACCTTTGGCTGATATATTTTGGATCTATGTGTAATTCAGTAGTGAATAACTTGTGTATTGCTAGAAATGAAGCAGTTTTATAAGCACATCATTTTCATGTGAACATCGAAAATACCACAGATAGCCTCAAGTGGTACTGATTTGTGAAAACCAAGGGGGAAATGTCTTTAAAGCCGCCTGGTGAACAGTAGAACACTAATTAGTAATTACATTTCTTGTGTTGTATCGTGTAGTTCGTTTGGTGGACGGTGAAAGTTCCAACGAAGGTCGTGTGGAGGTTTTCGTGACTGGTTCCTGGGGAACCGTTTGTGACGATAGCTGGGGTCTGAACGATGCTAGGGTCATCTGCCGCCAGCTGGGCTACTCTAGCGCACTACAGTCCTTTGCAAGTGCTTACTTTGGAGGGAACTATGGACTCAGCATACTGCTGGATAATGTTGCATGCACTGGTAACGAAGAGACCGTGTTGGACTGTCGGCACAATGGATTTGGAAACCACAATTGTAGACATAGTGAAGACGCTGGTGTTCGATGTGGTAAGTAAAATGCTTAAATAGTCTTTACCAAACTCTTGGAAGTAATTAGTAGCAGCTTTAAGAGATAACACACCTGAATTGCGTGCAGATAATGCACATTGCTTTTTTTCTATCTATTTCAAGAAAGTTGTATATTTGGGTTGAAATGCGCACAGTGATTGGTTAGTTGGAGGTGCTTATCATTACCTCTTGTAGAGTACCATAATATTTAGGACTTGGAATCCACAACTGTGGACATTATGAAGATGCTGGTGTCCGATGTGGTAAGTACAGTACCTGTAGACATCTGACAAAGCGGTAATAAAGTTTAGATTGCTATGAATTATTACTTAAAAAAAAATCATTTTCATTTTTTCCCCCGATTGTATAGAGCCCTGTGACAGCGGGCCTTGTAGGAATGGTGGCACTTGCTCTAGTTCCAGTACCGGTTTTACGTGCAGCTGCCCTTCAGGATACGGTGGACCCACCTGTGCATTTGGTAAACAGTGTTTACTTTATATTTTTTTAATACTTCACTGTATATCTGAAAATCAAAATAATGCCCAGGCGTCACGCGTTAACGTTGGAATTAAGACATTTGAAATGAAAAACACTTGACTTATAACTGCTAGATCTTAAACGAACTGTCAATATTCCCTTTCAGCGGAACTTCGCCTCGTCAACGGCAGCACGCGTAATGAAGGTCGGCTTGAGATGTCCTTCAACGGCACGTGGGGCACGGTGTGTGGTGACCTCTGGGGGCTAGAAGACGCTCGAGTCGCTTGCCGACAGCTCGGTTTCCCTGCTGTGGTGCAGGCTGCAGCAGGAGGGTCTTTTGGAAGCGGCACTGGGCCAATTTACCTGGATGATCTCATGTGCAACGGCCAGGAAAGCAATCTGGAAAGTTGTACGCACAGCGGGATCGGAGTTCATAATTGCAATCACACAAATGACGCTGGTATCATCTGTTCACCACGAGGTAGGACTTCCGCAAAAAAAATAGCTAGATTTTCAAGTTGCTGAATCATCCTAAATTGAATGTCTGATGACGTGGTGACTAATTTTCAACAGTGGTGAAAGGGAGGTAAAGGTTTTGAGCGAATAAAATGTTTATTAATGAAATCCAATTAGCGATAACGCCGGTTTCGGACTGTCTTACACTTCTTGAGTGCCGTGGCCTCGTGGTTAGGCAAAACAAAAAAAAAGTCTGCGGTTTCTGGTATGAAGCTTGCCCAAAAAGTGGTGCGGCGACGCGGCTTTTTTTTTTTTTACCTGTTCTTTTTGCTTCAAATGTCGGCTGATGACTGCAAATGGTGCCCGACTAAACTTAGTGCAAATATATGGGAGTCCAGAGAGGCCACATAAAGCTTATTCTCGATCATAACCCCATCTAAAAACACGTTAAAATTGTGCAGCAGCAGGATTCCAGTCAAACCAGTGAGTTTGGCGGTTTTGAGACATCATCTTTCATTGAAAAAAAAAAAGTTTTTATTTTGCCGACGCGCATGGCTACCGCGACGCGCGCGCTTACCAGAAACCGGAGACTACTTTTTTTTGGCCTTAGGAGCATTAAATTCGTAGTCTTTGATTAAATCTGCAGGTTGTTGGTTCGAGTCCAGCTTTCGGCTATGGTGCGTGTGCCCTTGGGCAATGCATTTTGTCACTCATTGCTTCTCTCCACCCAGGAGTAAATGGGTACCTGTGAGGGCAGATATGGTTATTGTCGTTGATATTAGCTGCTTTGCGCTGAAATGGCAGCATCGAGCTGTATACTCCCCAGGGAGCTGAGATGGCATTTGGAATGTTTCATTTGCCCAATGAGCAGGGTAATAATGATGTAGAGCCTTGAGCATCAATACTGGTGGATACGTACGCTTTATAAATACTCAATATTATCGGGATTTTACACCACAGATCACTGGCGAGATTAACATTCTGAGAATGTGATCTGAGTTTAATCTTTTGAATTCATTCTCTTGCCACAAAGTTCGTCTGGTAGATGGTTCGAACACAAAAGAAGGACGTGTGGAGGTGTACTCCAACGGTTGGGGGACCGTATGCGATGATGGCTGGGGCCTGAATGACGCTGCTGTTATCTGCCGGGAGCTTGGCTTTGGAGAAGCAGTACAGGCTTTGTCAAATGCTGCTTTTGGCAGGGGCGATGGTCTACCGATACTACTTGCTAGTCTGTCCTGTACCGGTAACGAAGAGACGGTGTTTGATTGTCCGCACCTTGGAATCGGGGTTCACTATTGTGGGCACTATGAGGACGCTGGAGTCCGATGTGGTAAGCTAGCTGGGCTTAAATTTGGTTTCGATAAAAATATATATATATAACTTTGCATTGGCGTTCAAAACATTTCTGTATTAAAATATTAAAGTCCATCGATTGTGTGGCAAAAATAACCGTCAGAAGGCCGTACCAAATTGAGACCAGTATCACCTCGTTGCTGTCGACTGTCAGCCGAGTCTGAACTTCTTAAGATAATATCTGATATGAATGTCCTGATTTGGGAGTAATATGTTCACTTATTAGTGAGAATATTGAGCAATGCGCGAGCTGCAGGCAGCTCCACCGACGTCATTTACCTGAACCTGACACTTCTGTGTTCTTCCAGCTTTCAGAACCAGCAATTTTGAAGATTAAAAACACCAGCTGCTCTTGTAACAAATCCTACATAATAATTCGGGCCAAGGAGCAAGTGAAATAGAAGAGTGAAATAATATTTGAACTGAAGATGGATCATATATTTGTGATAAATGGTAGAGGCCGAATTTTTTGAAAATGTGTTCATTTACATACATATCTTTTTACTTTGTTGCCCTTTGATTTTGCAGACATGTTGCTTGTCTGCCTTATGAGACTTGTTCGCATGTGCAGTTGTATGCAACTTCCCATTGGACTTAATATGCAACAAATATCAATGACATTTCACAGAGGAACAGATATGCCATGGTTCTTTCCACTGTATTTCTTTCCAGAAAATATCCGTGTTGTTGGTGGCAACGTCTATAGCGAGGGTCGCCTAGAAATCTTCATCGATGGTGAATGGGGTACGGTGTGTGCCGACTCCTGGGGACTAGAGGACGCCCAGGTGGCTTGCAGGCAGCTCGGCTTCCCTGGTGCTAGTGAGGTTACCCTAGGAGGGTCCTTTGGAAGTGGCAGCGGGCCGATACATTTTGACGACCTCGCTTGTACTGGTTCTGAAACAGACCTTGGAAGTTGCCAGCACGCCGGGATCGGTATCCATAATTGTTCTCACGACCAAGATGCAGGCGTCAAGTGCACTCCTAGAGGTTATTTTCCAATGCACTCCTTTGACGAAGGGCTATACAGCAACCTTCACACCTGTACACAAAATAATCTTTATATAAATAACAGGTTTTTTTCTTTCTGCCTGATGCAGGTGCTTTTTCCAAAAGTAAATTTCGTTAAAGTTGGTGTATACGTGCTTTTTGCGTGTGGCATCTTGAAAAAAAGTTTTTCAAATTGAATTGATAATTTTCTAGCATTACATTAGTTATGAGCTTTCCAATGAGACATCGCACGACAAAATCAGCCCTCGACAAGCAATCAATGAATTAATTTCAACTCTTAAATTAAGAGCGGGACGCTCTTAATTCGTTTTGAATAGTGTGCGTAATTTCTGAACTGAAGCACGCCATTAAAACTACTATTTAAAACTGTATAAATGCCTGCAAAAATAAACAACCCAATTTATTTGTTGCAGGACATTATGTTCCTTTAAATTTCGTTCGGAAAAGAAAATCTGAATTTTGAAAAAGAACGTATACACCAACTGTACCTGAAAATTCCTTGTTTTGTTTAGACAAGCCCCAGTTTCTTATTTGTTTATTGAATAATTCACAAAATACAGGCAGAATTCAAATGAAATAAGTCATTTGTAACAAAATCTTTTAGAAGAAAGACTACCGTTAAAGATTTTCGTGAGGGTAGCAAAAAAAAGCCTGTTCCATTGATTTCTGTGTCTGTTTCATCTGAAAGTTCGTTTGGTTGACGGTGCGAGCTCCAATGAAGGTCGTGTGGAGGTGTTCTGGAACGGTGCATGGGGAACAGTCTGCAACGATTACTGGGGAATAAATGACGCTACGGTCATCTGCCGTGAATTGGGCTTCTCAACAGCAAGACGCGCCGTAACAGACGGTTCCTTCGGAGGGAACTATGGGCTGAGCATATTTCTGGATAATGTTCAATGTACTGGTAACGAAGAGACCGTGTTTAACTGCCAGCACAACGGGCTTGGGAACCACAATTGTCGTCATTACGAGGATGCCGGTGTCCGATGCGGTAAGTTACGTGCAATTATTTGTGCCAACAAACTGTGAAGCCACATTTCTTTGATTCCGGCATTTCATAATGCAGTGCGCCACCAAGAGTTTGCCACGGAGAGTTCCTTTTCTCCCAATGCATTGTGGGAAATAGTTGACAAATTCGCAGCGCGGGACATTTGAAATTGTTTGTTTTTCCGGTCAGTAGTTTCGTAAGCGTATGATTCGAGTATGTATGTCCTTTTCTTTTCTTATTATCAATATGGTGTTTTAAAAGCGGCAGAACGATATGCCCCAACCTGTAATAAATTAGCTCAAGTTGTCTACTGACACTCATTCAAATGGGCCATGTTTTGTCGACCGTAAACTTGAAAAATAGACTCTAAATGGCAAACTCTTGGTGGCGCACTGCATTGTGAAACGCCCGAATTGCAATTGACAGTCGATAATTCTAAAGCGTGAAAGTTCATCTATCATGTCTATAAAACTTTACTCGGGTAAATCATCACTTTACATGTATATGTCTTGCATTGCGTGCACATTTTCCTTCACACACTTTAATCTTGGTATCAACCATGCAAGTAATCGATTGAATACCAAATAGCTGTCTACTATGGGCGTCATGAGGGGGCAAGGGGGCACTTACCCCCTTCCCCCAGATCACGCAGATCCCTGAGCAAAAAAGAGAGAGAGAGAAAAGGAGAAAAAAGGGGGGAAAGAGGTGTGAAGTCATATTTGCTATTAATTTACATTTAATATACATTTAACTTACATTTAATACACACTTAACAAAATGGGCGTCTGCAGGGGTGGCAATGGTGGTGGGGTGGTTAAATGTCCCCCGCCCAACCTCGAAAAAATGATAAATTGAGATTGGGGGAAGTGTGTTTTGGCCTCCCCCCCCCCCCCCCCCCCCGGAAAAAAATCCTGGCGACGCCCATACTGTGTACATGTATTATTTTCACTTCTCAGAGCCATGTGACAGTAGACCATGCATGAACGGAGGAACATGCAACAGTACATCTTCTGGATCTTACACCTGTCTCTGTCCAGTGGGTTTCAGCGGAATAAACTGCGATTCTGGTAAAATATAAAAAATAAAAATTGCTTCTTTTTGCTTTACGGATAAATTAAAAAAAGTATCAAAAAACTTTGTCTTTAATGAAGAAAAACTCGGCGTGTAAAGTGTAAGTTTAAAAGCATAAAGGATCACTTGCTTTTTATGCATTTTTATCGCTTCCAAAAGAAATAAATATTCAAAATCTAACCTGTTGAAGTGTCAGCTCAGTGGACACTGCCGTTTTCGAAAAAAACATTGAAGAATCACGCACAGTCAGTTGATCGCACGAAATACGATTCCGTCGACAAGACTTTTTTTAATTGCCAAAAGTCAGTAATTCGACGGATCCTTAACTCGTTGGCAGTGACAAGCAGGCCAGACGGAATAATTTCACGGGGTGATGAATAACAGTACGATCTTGAATCAAAGTAGATTTTTGATAATCATTCAGTATGTTCCTTTTTGTGATAATTGATCCTAATGCCAAACAAGAGTGGATGATTCTGATCACCGGATTGTCCGTATTTGGTTGATGCACTTCAACTCACCATTATATCTTTTATTGAGATCTGAAACAAATACTGACCTGAAACAAATCCACCGAATTTGCTAACATTTCGGAACTAGACTTTTGAATCCATCTGCATTATACAGTAACGTTTCAAAAATGTTTTTCGTGCTTCCCGCCATTTGTGTAAGCAAAAGAAAATTGTTTAATGCAACCGTTAAATCTTTATCTTTATCATCAGAGCCACACATGTGCCAGCACGTTTGTTTATGGTGGAAATCGGGGATTTTCTATTGTTCCTCATCCCTTTTCCTTTGTTTATACTTAACCATTTTTGCAACAGCTCTCATTGGTTTTGTACACGTTTTCCAACCCAGGAGTCCTCGATTCATCGAGGATGGTGCACGTGTGCGTCCTCGATTTATACCATAAACAAACGCAGCATTTTGTGTACATTATGAAGATGTTCACATCGTATACCCATTGAGCTAATTGCTCTTCTGTGGCCATTTTTTGTGACAAATGAGGGTATTCGGACAAGTGTTTCTATAACCTTATTTTTGTGAAACCTTCTTCAGCCGCACTTCGCCTCGTCAACGGCAGCACGCGTTACGAAGGTCGGCTTGAGATATCCTTCAACGGCACATGGGGCACAGTTTGTGGCGACCTCTGGAGCCTAGAAGACGCTCGAGTCGCTTGCCGACAGCTCGGTTTCCCTGATGCCACAGAGGCTGCTAGAGGAGGGTCTTTTGGAAGCGGCACTGGGCCGATTTACCTGGATGATCTCATGTGCAGCGGTGTAGAAAACGATCTGGAAAGTTGTCCGCACAGCGGGATCGGCGTCCATAATTGCAATCATGCAAATGATGCTGGTATCATCTGTGTTCCATCAGGTAATATACTCTATGGAAGATTTATATGATTGCATAGCTGCCAACTGTTACAAATTTTTCGTAATTATTACGAATTGTTTGTTAAATTACGAAAATACGATTTGCCACTAAAACATTACGAATTTCCCATTTTCTACCTAACGGGAAAAAAAATACTTGTAAAGTATCGTTTTTGACCGAAAACTTCTGGCGAAATGTCGCGATAATGGATGGACTGGTGACAAGTCTAATAAGAATGCAGTCAAGCACCTGTAGACATCAATGCAGTGTGTGCAGTGGAGTACTTGAGGACCAGACTAAAACTATTTTTCAATGGTGTGTCATTTGTGTGCATCTCGTGGATGTGTGGTTGTGTGTACTGTATGTGAGTACTTTTCAGTGACGATCGTGAGCACATTTGGTCACTTATTGCCGGGATGAGACCCATCAGTGCAAGATTTTAATCTTGGAATTTAATAAGTGTATGTTTGGAATAATTGGTAATAGAGTTTGAGTTGTCACAACGTCCAGAAAAGATGAATCAGCAAGCGTTTGCAAGGTATGTTGGCGGCATATTTCTATTGCATACGGTGGCCCTAAATCATTGTGTGTAAAAAACATTGATACGAACTCGAAACTCCACATCGATAGCATGCATCTCAAAAAAAATATGCGCACATGTTGTTATTGTTATTATTTATTTGACTTCAACAAACAAATACAGACATTGAAACAAATTTTTTTTTTTTTTTTTTAAATTATCTTTTGGCCTACAGTAGGCCTACATTGTTATTCACAACAAGAATGGTATGCACATGTATGTGTACATGTAAACCATGTACCTGTACTCAATGTTGGTAAAGCTTGTGATAAAACGAGCAGTTGAAAATGACCGCACGAGTTGATTACTAATTGGGATTTGAAAAGTTGGCGGCTATGTGATTGTCAATTTTTTTTACTGCAATAGAAACTAATTCAAACAACGATAATACCCTTGAAAGTTGCATGCAAAGCGGGATTGAGGTTCATAATTACAAACAATTATCATGTTGCGGCCATCTTGATTTTTCCGATTCAAATCAACGTAAACAAAGTGAAGCTGGAAAGAAAAATAATCTGGTTTCTTTTTGCACAAAAAAACATTATCGTTCAGTACTGTTAATGGAGATAGGGAGCATGACTGAAATGGTGGCAGGATGATAAAAGTCTATTGTTATAATACCAATGGATATCTGTTTTATATTGATTGCTTTTTTCCATTCTACCTTAACTCCCTAGAGTGTATGAATATCGTATTGAAATTGAAGATTCGGAACAGGGTTAATTTGTCAAGCCAAAACTATCCATATTTTGACTACATTTGTAATCAAACATCGTAACCTGACATGATATTCAGATTTATGTTTTATGTTTACTTTGATTTAAGCCATGCTTATTTAGTAATTTATATATGTGTGGAACTTCTAAATACAGATAGGCCTAAGAATGTAGAGCTTTTAATGATATAGTGAGAAATTTCTGTTTGCCTCAAAGTCCGCCTAGTAGGAGGTTCCACGACCACTGAGGGACGTGTGGAGGTCTACTCTGGTGGTGCTTGGGGAACTATCTGCGATGATGGCTGGGACCTGCGTGACGCTGCTGTAGTCTGTCGTGAGTTAGGTCTCGGCGGAGCGGTAGGAGCTCTGACGAGGGCTTACTTTGGTCAGGGCTCTGGTCTGGAGATACTGTTGGATAATGTCGCTTGTGTTGGTGACGAGGAGACGGTCTTTGACTGCCAGCATAGAGGGTTGGGCATCCACTCTTGTTCTCACTACGAGGATGCTGGAGTCCGATGTGGTACGTTGTGCAAAGTGTTCAGTGTTGGGCTGTCCATGTAGAATGAGTCGCCAAAGACCCCGACACTAGCTGTTGTGATTATTTTTTTTCCCGAAATTCAGTTGCAAAACACTTTCTCAACTGTTAAAATGCACCACTGAAAAGTCTTCCAGCCCATCAGATTTAGATATGTAAAACCTAATCTATTAAGATGTTGTTCAATCATTCCCAGCTAACACGGAATAACTGTGCTTGTTGCATAAACGTTTAGGCGTTTTGTTTGAGCGTTCATGAGATGAAATTTGAGTCCTTGTCATGTATGGGACAATCATGTCATGGAACGTAAATTTTGCAGTAGGCCTTGTCATTCCGGCATTTCTCAGTGAACCCTCGCAATCTGATTCGTATGCGTTGTCTTTGTTATCCTTTCCAAGCTGAACTTCGTCTCGTTGGAGGTAACACTCGTTATGAAGGCCGGCTTCAAATCTTCCTGAACGGGGAATGGGGAACGATTTGTGGCAACTCCTGGGGACTTGTGGAAGCTGGGGTAGCTTGCCGGCAGCTAGGCTTCCCTGGTGCCCTTGAAGCTACCCGTGGCCACGGATTTGGAAATGCAACTGGGCCGATTCATCTCCAGAATGTTACCTGCACTGGTTCTGAAAACGAGCTGAATGGTTGTCAGTATAGCTGGACTGGGGTCAATACTTGCACCAACCACAGTGAAGATGCAGGCATCATTTGTACTCCAGTTGGTAATATAATACTTGAACTGATTTCCAGATTTTCTTTGTTCTAGAAGTCTTTGTTGGTCGATTTTTTATTTTACGAATTTTACCTATTCCTTTTTTCTGTTGGTACGTGGTTGTGCTTGATTGGTAACTCAGTCATCCTGTAAGAGATTTTCGGTGTTTGTTGTAATCATTGTTGATTCTTTGGGGTTTACTTTCTGGGATTCGATGAAAGCGTCTTGCGATGATGGTCATTATTCATTTTGTGTCTCCATGAGAGCCCAGTCAATTACACTTATTGTAGCGGCATAAATATTTGAATAGATATATCAATAAATGAATATCTTGAAGTTTTGGGGAGAAATGCCTTTTTCAATCGGCAAAATAAATGCGAAAAACACTGAAATCTTTTTGAAAAACTTTCAGGGAAAAAACTGCACTAGATTCTTTCCAATTCTGACTCTTAATAACTAAACTTGCTAATGTCCTTACTGTAACAGGGATTTTTCCTGCCCCGCTTTTGTATTGACAGTTCGCTTGGTTGACGGTTCGTACCCCCACGAAGGTCGTGTAGAAGTGTTCTTGAATGGTGCCTGGGGAACAGTTTGTGATGACTACTGGGGAACCAATGATGCCAATGTCGTCTGTCGTGAACTAGGCTACTCCCGAGCACTTCAGGCATTACGAAATGCTTTTTTCGGCGGAGGGACCGGACTGATACTTCTAGACAATGTTGGCTGTACTGGTTACGAAGAGACGATATTGGATTGCTCTCACGGAGGTGTGGGAGTCCACAATTGCGGACATTACGAGGATGCCGGGGTCAGATGTGGTAAGATAATCATTTATATTTTCAGTTTCCCATTACTATTTTTTTTTTCAGATGAATTATGTTTTAGTGATATTTTTGTATATCTAAATTGCAAGAATGCCATGCAGACAACAAACCAATTCCGCCCTTTTCTGATTGCCAGCCTGATTGCCATTTGTTCTAAGGTTTTTCTTTAATCCATTTTTGAAGCTTTGATATGTTCTTAACCCCTGTTTTAGTTCAAGGAAATGGTTACGAGGTTCTTACTAAAGTAGCGTATGTCAATATTCGTGCAGAGAGAGTACAGATGAAGATTTACCCGTTTTTGTTTTTACAGAAACTTAACCAATGTCCACACACGGGCTCCATAATACTTATAAACACAAGACAGACTGTGTTTAATTGCTCTCTTTAACAGACCGTGGTCTGGTCCTAAACCTTTTGAAGAAAAATGTTCTCAAATATTACCAAACGTATCATTAGCTGCAAAATCAGGCTATTATTGTTGCTTGTGTGAATAAAGATACACATAATTTGTATTTGAAATTTCCCTTTTCTTCAGAACCTTGTGGCAACAATCCATGCAGGAACGGTGGAAATTGCACAAGTACGAGCAGCGGTTTTACTTGTCAGTGCTCCGAAGGGTATACTGGAACAACATGTAACATTGGTAATTGTCACTGATTGGTCAGGTGCAACCTCGCAGGGGGTCTTGGGAGGGAGTTGCGGTCGGGGGAGGAGAGGGTTCTAGCGAACGACCCCAAAGTTCCTATTGTCTTTTTAGATGTCATTTTGTTAATTATGTAACTGTCGGGATAATGCTAAATTTCTTCATTTATTTAAACAGGCCTTCTTATATATTATTAGTTTACCAATGTGTCAAACTGATGCTTACAAAATCCAAACTGTTTCAATAGGTAAACACGGAAACAGTCCGGTTTTAATGTATGGGCATACCCACTCACCCCACCGAGGTGGCTACAGGGCAAATATGTGTCGTACATTTAACCATCAAGCACTATCAGAATTCTTTTAAAAACAGTACGTGTTTACTCAATAATATTATGATTTCAAAACTTAATACAAAGAATATGCCCGAGGCCATGACAATTTTACATTCTGTTGAAAAGGTAAAACATGACGGCATTCTTTTTTCCGCCGGAGGGGGGAGGTGGCCTTTTCACCAAATTTCAATTTACACATGCACCCAAGCTATATGTCGTACGTTTGAAGATGTACGCATTCAAGTGAACTTTGATGTGTTTGTTTCAGCTGATGCGCGTCTCGCCGATGGCAGAACCTATAACGAGGGCCGGCTGGAGATCTTCCTCAACGGTGAATGGGGTACGGTGTGTGACGACTCCTGGGGACTAGATGATGCACAGGTGGCTTGCAGGCAGCTGGGCTTCCCTAATGCTTCCATGGCAACCCGGGGTGGCACCTACGGGAGCGGAATGGGACCGATTCATCTCAGAAATGTTACATGCACTGGACTCGAGGACAGCGTGGAGAGTTGTCCGTATAGTAGAGACGAAATGCATCGGTGTAATCACACCCAGGATGTGGGTATCGTGTGTTCGCCCTCAGGTAATCGTTGTCAGCAATTGCCAAGTTTACAAGTCATTTTCATGATATTTATATAGGCTGAGAGTGCAAACAAATAATCTTTGTATGTGTATACATGACAAAAAAATGCTACTTTAGCTTTGACTAACACAATTCAAATCTCTATTTTTTGTTTGTTCCTCAGTTCGTTTGAGAGATGGACTGACGTCCGCAGAAGGGCTTGTTGAGGTGTTCATTGATGGGGGGTGGTTGTCCATCTGCAGCCCTGCCTTCCTACCAGGCACAGGATGGGATTTGTCTGCTGCTAATGTCGTCTGTCGGCAACTTGGCTTCGCCGGCGCATTACACACTCTGACTATGGATGGTGGTTATTTTTTTGACGTGTCACTGAGCCGTTTGCACTGTGAGGGAGACGAACGATCTATCTTTGATTGCGACTTCTCAGTTGAGTCTTCATTCTGCTACCCCGAGGAAATTGCAGGTGTCCGATGCAGTAAGTTTAACATTGCTTTACTATTAAATATGTTTGCTGGAAGTTCGGTTACCTGTACAGGTATAACTGAGTGCTGGATTTACAGGATTTGTAAATAGTATTTGATGCCAGTTCGCTATGTTCATTGGAAGAGTAGTTCCTTGATTTTCTTTCCACCAAAAAATACCTAAAGAAATACAGTAGCCTTAAAATGGGATTGAACGTGAAGGCCAAAAGGGAATTTTTGTTTGCTTTGTGATGCTTTATTAATATAATCGAAGCAATTAGCTTGATCCTTTTTTCTCATTCACTGTTTCTTTTCTATGGACAGTTGTTGGTTGTCAGTTAGAGGCTCCTGAGCCATCTAGTGTTGTCATGATCGCATCATCCAACATGACGGCTTATTCTCCTGGTGACTCGGTGAACTATTTCTGCCCCGATGGATACCTGCTCAGCGGATCCGCTACGCGGATATGCCAGTCAAACCTGACCTGGTCTGGCCAACCAGCTGATTGCATTCAGGGTAATTCTTTTGATAAAGATACTTTAAAAAAAAAACGGAAACCCAATATACTTGGTTTGTAACAAGTGTCGGTCTTATTACCTTAACTGGTAGGAATCATCCCATGCCAACAGAAGGTTTTATTCCATGTCCAAGACAAGATCCCTTGTCCCCTCTTGGTTTCATCACGTGTCCGTTGTATAGTGTTTTATCCTGCCCACGGTAATTTTCATCCCATACCCATATCAGGTTTCATCCCATAACTACAGTCGTCTCCTTCCGATGTCTATGGTAGGCATCGTGGTTGGCTTCATGATAGGTTTCAACCCATTCCCACAGTGAACCTGATGTTACCAGCATTAGGCCCCATACCTAATGGTCGTGTGTGGACGAAAGTCTGAGGTGCTAAGAGGTGGAAGGTCCATGCAAACGTTGGTCAGAAGCCATAAATCAGACTTTCTGACTTGTGATTGGTTCGAGCCTTTTTGTTTACTCAAAAGGAAGCCAATTGTGACAGCGAGTAACGTGAAAGTTCTAACGCGGACTCGCTAACAAATAACTTCAGGCCCTTCGAATTTCTCTTCTTTTTTTTCCCTCCTAATTTTAGATTCGATGATGTTTTTATTAATGCTCATTTTGTAAGTTGTTATCAATTATATTTCAGATCCCTGTGGCAGTGGACCTTGTGGAAATAGGGGAACTTGCACCAGTATGCCGAGTGGCTTCACGTGCCTATGCCCTGATGGCTACGAAGGACCAACTTGTGCAGAGGGTATGACCTCAACAATTGTTTGACCTGCCTGTATTTATCCCGCCTCATCGAGGGCTAAGCGATATTTCACAAGTCTAGTTACAATTAAATAAAATTCCTTATTCAAATTCATATGTAATTAGCAATCGCAGTCTTAAAGGTATAGTCCATCATTTGTAATTTGTGCATTTTGTTTGTTTGAAGCAACAAAAGTGTTCAAATCTAAAGAAGGGTGCTGAACAACTAACCTGATGAAGTTTCAGCTCAGCTTCAGCTGAATATTCTGAGAAAAACAGCATTTTAGGATATCGATTTCAAGTCAAAAGTTGCTGAAGCATGCTTTGAATTGGGCCTGAAATCAGCGTCTGAGACACGTTCTCACTAGCGGATTGCAGCTACGCGTTGTTGCGCACCAATCCGATGAATTATAGCAACCGCGCGCGCGTGTGCGTCGTGTCAACGCTTGCGCGCGCTTAGCCGAATAAAAAAAAAACGATCTACGAACCGAAATTTGCAACGGTGTTTCTTAAGACGCACCGTTGGAAAGGCCTTCTTTCGTTGATTTCTACAAAATGTCAGCTTCCCACAAAGAATAATTTCACAGGGAGTTTAGTTCCCTTACTATCTTTCAACCAAGTATGTTTTGCAACAATAATTACGCCACTTACTTTTTGGATAGCTGTAAATGATGGACTCTGGCTATAATGCAAGAAACAAAGGTTAATATGATACTGTTTTCTTTGATCTTTGGCAGTTGCCCATTGCTTGCTGAACATATCCGATATCCTCATAGTGGTATCAGGCCAGCAGGCTATGTATCTTCCCGGTGACTGGGTTCAGTTTGCCTGCCCGGACGGATACCATCTCCTTGGGTCTGATAGGCGGGTTTGTCAGTCCGACTCCACGTGGTCCGGTCTACCAACTGAATGCAGCGAAGGTAGATTTAAATAATGAAAGGTTTGCGGAAACACCATGTGCCAATAATTTCTCAGCTAAGAGAATGGTTCTGAAAAGAACCAGAGGTATAAACATGATGTTCCGGTCAGTAGGCTCTGACCGTCTTCAGGAGAGTGCCTAAACTGTAAGAAAGTAAATACTTAAGTAGCAAAAGCGAAATCGATGAAGTGTGAAGTTGCATCCTGTGTGGATACGTTCTGTGGATAAGTTAATACGTTCTCCTTTGTTTTGACATAGACCATTGTACTAACGAACCATGTGTGAACGGAGGAACTTGCACCCGCACACCAAGCGGCTTCAGTTGCCTTTGCACTGTTGGTTTCATTGGATCAAATTGTGATGTTGGTGAGAAATTAAGCCCTTTAATATCTTTTTCTTCTCAGAATCAATCACCAAATTGATCGGTTTTAACGCTTTATTTCTTGAGATTCATGCTTAAAGCAAATACCAACGCATAAACAGAGAATTCATGAACTTAGACAGTTGAATCATTATGTGTAATAAAATGAACGCTTTCCCTACACTCAAGAAATTCAAATGAGGTGCTTGGACTGGCCTACTGGCCTTTAGAAGACAGCTTGTCCGTGGAACTACATATACAATATTATTCTAGCTTTACGAGATTATCAGGTTGAAACATTAATACATGGTTTTGACTAACTAAATAAACGGCTAAAAATAATTTTCTCTTCAGATGTTTGTGCCAGCGGACCGTGCTTGAATGGGGGAACTTGCGTCGGCGTTACTGAGGGGTATACTTGCCAATGTCCTGCTGGGTACGATGGGTCTGCATGTGAAAACGGTAAAAACAAAATGGATAAGCATAATCTGTCAGAGTCCTGGCTGCAACTACCAATAATTTATTCTTGGATACAATTTTTAACACTTTCTCGATAATCTTCTTTTTTTGTGCATAGTTGTAACTATAATTCATAAATACCTCGGACAGTTTAGCCATTCCTGTTGGTCGACAGCCCGTCACGTGGCCGGTCTTAAACGGATGATAAAGACATGGCTAGCTGGTCTTAAACACTTTTCCAGTGTCACATAAAATGTGGACTCCTAAAAATCCAGTGCCTCTTACCATTTTATTGGTTGAACGTTCACAGTCCTCACGTAGGCATGCGCAATACTACCAGTGAGTCAGAATTTTATAGTTCTAAATTCAACACGCAACGCCCCAGGTGCGTTCTGCGCGACATCGCACAGAACGTGCCACGCGCGCGTCAATCTCCATAAAAGGGTTGTTTACATCTTAATCACCAGCTGAACACTCCATTATTTAGCTAGAGGGATGTTTCAAAAAGCATGAAGTGAACTTGTTGAACAAAATCGGGATTTTTTGACCGAAATATCATATATTTTTTTACCGAAAAGGTATTTATGAATGGAAATAAATATGTGCTCGGTCGGTATTAATCACTCTGTTTAAGACCACTTAGAGTCTGGGTGCTGATAATTACCCGAGCCGGAGGCGAGGGTAATTATCAGCAGCCAGACTCTAAACGGCCTTTAAACAGAGTGATTAAAACCTCTCGAGCACACATTTATTCCCTTATTCTACATAAGTTCAAGTAGGGATCGAGCTAGTCATTCTCTAAGTTCAGTGACTTGAACTGGTACTGGTATTGGTAACAGTTATTAACTTTACATTTTTCAAGCGGTGTTTATGGTGTAGTTTAAAAAAGTAGATTTTGATTTCTCCCGTGCAGTTACACATTGTGTGGTAAGCCTTGACCCATCCGATGTCCTCATGGTGATATCCCAAGAGCAGTCTGTATATCTCCCCGGTGACCTAGTTGAGTATTCCTGCCCGGACGGATATCATCTGGACGGATCAGCCATCAGGATTTGTCGGTCTGATTTGACTTGGTCTGGGCGGCCAGCTCAGTGCGTTGAAGGTAAATGAACATTTGTATTTATTATGCATTGCCATGTGCCAAAGCGAAATTACCATTTAAAGTAGTTCTCTGAGGGAGATTCCAGGGCTTAGTTGTGTTGGGAAGATGTAAAGTTTATAGAAAAACACTAGTACTTAGATATAGGCACTCTTTGGTGGCAAGTATTAACAAAATGAATTTGATAATCAGCACTGTAGGCGTATAATCTCGCGCAGAAATCTATGAGTGTGTATTTTGTTGAATTTTACGATGTGCTTAACTTTCATGATGGCAGTGATATATGAGTTCCTGCCGAAGGGACTATTTGGTGCACCTGTAGTATGCTATTCGATTATAATGTTAGACTTCAGTTGATTGGGAAAAAAATAGTGTGTGATTTATGACTTGATTCTGACTACTTGATTCTCAACAGAGAATTGTGGTAGTTTGCCTTGTCTTAACGGGGGCTCTTGTATGAGTTCACCCGACGGGTTCACCTGCAACTGTTCATATGGCTACGAGGGTCGTACCTGTGCAACTGGTAAGCTAGCTTTTGTGGGTATTATTACATGACATCATGTTTTAGTTTCAGTATATTTCCACAGTACCAAAATTTCAATGACAATGATGCTCTTATTTGAAGAATAGCAGTAAAACGTTTTAGAACTAGGTTCAAGCCATAGAGCTATATTAAATTACTAGAGCGCTAACTCCTCATTCTGCGCGCGGAGACGCTTTGAAGCCGTCCTGGGCGCAGACATTTTGAATTCATGTGCGTGTTTGTAGAACAAAATGAAATTAGATGGGTTGATTTTGAAAGTGTATTCTAAATGCAACGCACAAGTACAAGATATGCAAACAACTTAAGCGCGTCATTGATGCAAAAAGCATCTGCAGCGAATACGCAAACGCGTTGCGCTGTTTGCATAGAGCAAAATGACACACTCATTTGCTGATCATGCGTTTCGGTTTTAGGTGTATTGGCTTCGATAACCCACCGGTTTGGAATACAAACGCAGATATGCAAATAGTCGTACAAAAGCCGTACAAAGTTTCTAGGTCTCCATAGGTTTGTGCGCAAACATGGATGCGCCCAGCAGGCATCACTTTGTACATGAAGTTAGCGCTCTAGTAACTTAATAGCTCTATGGTTCAAGCAAACAAATAGTATGGAAAATGGGTGATACTGCGGAGGGGTCGAGAATGAAGCAAAGTTTGTGAGGAATGGGCTCCGAAGCATGCATTTGCATTAAGTCGAGTTGACTGGAGTTAATTTGTTCTGGTTTGTTTACTTTTCACAAACAAATAAATCGGCCCTGAACAATGGATGAATTGATATGGCTATATGTAATTGCTACCAACAATAGATGTTGTCATTGTAATTAGGGACCATGACATCAATTTCTAAATAAATGCCGTATGGTCTTTACCCAGCATTGGCTGCGGCTGCACAATTTGTATGGGGCATTCTGCAACCTCGTCCCCAGGGTGTCGAGCAGTACGCGCCCACCACTACCTGCTCTCTCACCCTGGTATTGGATCATTTGCATGTGCAAGATTTTTGAACACGTATGCAAGTGAGGACCAGGTGCCTGCCTGTACGTTACATTTGCGTTTGTTTTTGTATGCGGTGTCTGGGATAAAAACAGAGTCAATTCGTCACAGCGCAAGCATGGCGTGAGTTACGAAAACATGATTTTGTGTTAATTAAACTGTTACAATCTTGTCGAGACAACATGCAGTATCACATTTTATATTGATATGAACAATTTGGAAAGAAAATAATTTTGAGAAGGCATGGACGAATGATTGCGAAAACACGTACTGCACGTTGTGAATACCAACACCAAGTACACGATATAATCTATTTCTGGCCAATTGCAGTATCGAATCAGGACAACAGGAAGAAAGTTTCCTATCCAGAGCTTACTATTGGAAACGATGTTGGAAATCAAGTAAGCACTGGGGACGACGTTGGGCATTCTATTGTGCCTGTGTAGATGGCGTGGGAAGGAGAGCGACGTTTGGTCCTAATAAGTTCCCTAAAGAGGTTGTCAGCACCTCACAATTGTTACCATAGCAGTAACACCCGGTCCTGTCCCGGTTGTAAACATTTTAATTAGCGAAACAGGGTCACTTTCGAATGCGGATACATTTCTGTGCCCACTGTACATCATCACTGAAAACCAGCCAGCTTTAAAGCAGGAGCACGTTTTGGCGGCCCTTGAACTGGAACATGTTTCTGACGTCACAGCCGTGACGTGAAACATGTTTCCTGTGCACCGCGAAAACGACTGACTGGAAAATTGTTCATGACGTCATGTTACTGCCTACGTGACTGCACACAATCCCCCCAAAAAATCACACGGCGACCGGACATGATTAACAATAACATTCAAAGCAAAAGTGGGAGGTTTTTTTATAGCGTTTCCCTAAAGTTCTGAAAAGAGTAGGCCTGATATTCTGTATCAACTTTCGTACCAATTGAAGGTAAAAACCCACTATTTAAACCCCATTTATGGTAAAAAGTAACGTCGTCTGCTATTGCTAAGCTTGTTTACCTTTCCGCCATCTTGAAACATAAGTGAACCGACCAGAAACTTCGGTTCAACTTTGGTCGAAACAATGACGTCATTTCAGTGTAACCGAAGCGCCAAAACGGCCGCGAACCAGAAACATGTTTACGGTCACAGCGCCAAAACGTGCCTCAGGCTTGATGCAACAAAACTGTGGCAATGATTGACTTTTATCCTCCTCTGTTTCTCCATCAGTCGCACAGTGCTTACTTCGTCATAATTCATCCGACGTCCTCATGCTGCTATCGGGTCAGCAGGATGTATACACTCCTGGTGACTCAGTTCAGTATGCCTGCCCCGTCGGATATCATCTGGACGGATCAGCCATCAGGTTTTGTCAGTCTGATTTCATGTGGTCTGGGCGGCCAGCTCAATGCATTGAAGGTAACAATCAATCTTATGATACAGACAAAGGAATATCCAATCAAACAAGTGTGGAACATCAGACATAGAGAAAAAACACGGTGATGATAATAAGAGTAGCAAGAAGCCAAGCATAAACTTTCAATGTTTTGAGTGGTCAACAGGAAAAATTATTTTGTAACAAAAAGGGAAATTTGTTTCGGGACAATTTATTTGTCATTGTTCATTGTTATGTTTAATTGTCACTTTGAGAAATTAATTTCCTCTCGCACTGCTTCTAAAGTTAAAAAGCATACAAAACAATACAGCATATCCAAACCAAAGACAGCATTTTAAAGACTGTCACTCAAAAAAATCTAACATTTTCAAAACTGTTTTAAGGTTGAACAAAGAAATTGACTGGAGCGGGCTTTGAACCTGCGACCTGCAGATAACCGGTCCGGTGCTCTACCATGTTAGTGGCTCCCCATTTAGTTAACGTCTTTGTTCAAGAGGCGCTAGAGTCGGAAGACAAAAACCCGATATGCCATCTAGCTAGGGACCACGCCCAAAGTCACGATGCTAGCAGCATAAACAATGCTGCAAACCTGGGAAATAGTTAACGGGAATCGCGCAGAGAGGACACAGCTTTTTTTACAATTTTTTAAACAAACCACACAGTGAAACTGATTTCATGTAAGTGCATTGTAATTAATTTAAGGTTGAACAGAGAAATTGACTGGAGCGGGGTTTGAACCTGCAACCTCCGGATATTATCATTTCGCTGCTCACCAACTGAGCTATCCACCCCTATGTTGGCACTCTGTGCATTTAGTCACAAAGTCGATATGCCATATGGCAAGGGACCATGCCCAAATCCCGCTGCACTCACCATAAGCAAAAATATTTTCAAAAAAAAACCGGACGGAGCAGGTTCTAAGCATTGGCCAAACTATTTAAATGTTAACGCTGTATTGACTATTCATTCGACTTTGTTTAATGTTTTCTTTCAGAGAATTGCGATAGCGGACCATGTCTGGTCGGGGGAACATGCATCAGTTCAACTGACGGGTTCACGTGCCAATGTCCAGATGGCTACGAGGGTCGTACCTGTGGAAATGGTAAACTTTCTGCAATATGAAGGGAATAAATGTGCGCTTGGCCGGTTTTAAACACTATGTTAAATATATTGTTTAATATCTGCCAAGCACATGTTATTCCCAATCATAAATACGTTTTGTTTCCAAAAGTCAAAACAAGTCGCAAATTATAAATTTCCAAAGATTTTATTTCCTGTTTTTTCGAAACAGCCCTCTAGCTATGTAATGGTCCGTCCATCTAGTGAAAGTCGCAAACAACTCCTTATATTGAGATTGGCGCGCGCGATGTGGCGCCAAACGCAGCAGTGCTGATGTATTGCCAATTTAGGACTATATGAAGTGATGACTCACTGGTAGTATTGCGCATGCCTACGTGAGAATCCTCACGTTCATTCAATAAAACGGACAAAGACACTGGCTTTCATACTTATATAAATATATAGGAGTCCGAATATTTACGACACTGGAAAAGTAGAATGACGTCATTTCCTACGGACCATCCACATGCAACAAGCGTGCATTTTTGGAACATTTTCAACACTGCGCAATGCGTGCTTGATTGCGTAAAATACGCAGTAGCAGTTCTCCTACAGAGATGGCCGTCTTTGAGAGAGACATATTGAAGGATTTATGAGATGCATTAAAATCAAATCTTTATTGATCTATTTTAACACGAATTCGGTAAGAGTTATAAAAGTACGTGCCTCTAAGAACTTGGTTAATAACAGATTTCATTAATTTTTGTCTGAGTAGGTGATTACAACTTATTGTTACTAAATTATTGTTACTAAATTATTGCCCGGAGGATATTAAGACAGAAAGCACATATCCGAAGTAAAATACGTGTGACGTAGAATCAAAATCATGCATTTGTAATCATATAGGCCTGTGCGCGACTAAAGAGGGGACTAACCATTGGCTTTGAATTGAAGCGATGAAGAAAATTATCAACTTTCCTTTCTTTTTTTGTGTAGTTGTCCACTGCGTGGTAAGCCTTGATCCATCTGGTGTCCTCGTGGTGGTATCAGACCAGCAGGATATATACCTTCCTGGTGAACTGGTTCAGTTTGATTGTCCAGATGGGTATTACCTGAGAGGGTCCGCCAACAGGATTTGCCAGACAGACTTCACTTGGTCGGGAAAGCCAGCTGAGTGCATTGCAGGTGCGAATAAACAAAAACATTAATAACAATTCAATTATACAATTTTTAAATAACATCGTTACAACGATTCGTCACCAACACCACAAAGTGACACAAGGGGCATATTTGAAACCCTGTGCTCAGGTGACCCGCGAACAGTGTTCTCGGGTTGCCGATTACGAACGCCCAAATGCGTGAGGAGTGCAGAAGACTGAAAATCCAAAGCTGGCAGCCGCCGTATTAAAACGCCGAATGAAAAGAAGGGACAACTAATAAAATTACTACAAAAATAATTGGAATCTCGGAACAGCTATAGAAATTGGCAAAGACAAAGCTGACAAGCCCACTCTATGCGCACGTACAATCTTATTTTTTAACATTACTGCTCCTGCACTAAATGGGGGTTTTCAATTTTAAACATGAAAGCTAACGCAAGTTCTGGTAGGGGCCTAAGTCCGCCATCTTTGTTCTTGACGTTCTTCATCGTGTCCAGTTCTCGTGTTCATTCAACACGAGAACTGGTTTGGAATGCGCCCTACAGTACCGCGTAATTTTGGTTTTCACGAACTGATACCCAACTACTGCATGCCCACACTAGCTCGGTACTTTTTTGTCTTGCCAGTTAAACGATTTTTTTGTTGGAGTGTTTTTGTAATCCCACAAGTATACGGATGAAGTGAGTTCGTCTCAAAACTTTCAAAGCATTTTCCTCCGAATTGTATTTCCAATCTTTGCTTCCGTTTCAGTTCGTGAAAACCAACAATACTCTTTTACGCGCGTAAAAGCAAAAACAATGCGCTGGTGTTCGTGAAAACGGTGACGAAATAAGGAGGACCATAAATTCAGGATGCTAAAAACGCAAGACTAACTAATTTTCGCGGACTCAAACAGTACTTGAATACCTGTCAAATATCACGCTTTGCTTGATTGCAAAATTGTATACGATATGGTCTGCAGGTCTGGATGCTTGGGAGTTATAATCGGCTTTCAGATGCCCTCTGTTAAGTCCCGATTATATCCCCTGTCATGTAAACTGTCATCCAACAAGAACCCTTTCAACATAATTTGTTGCGTTTTTTATGGTGAAATTTTGTGGAAAATTCTGCTTTTTTATTACCACAGCCAACCGTTTTCAATCCAGCCATAAGGGCTAGCTTGTCGAAAAACTGGACGGTGAAGAAAGTCATTGACGCATAATCTGCACCCGTGTGAAAAAAAACAAAAATTGTGTTGTATCTGCTCATTTTTTTTCAAGCTGTTTTGTTCTGTTTTAGATCCATGTAACAGTTCACCGTGTTCAAACGGAGGAAACTGCACCAGTAACCTCGGCGAGCTCACCTGCCGGTGCCCGGTCGGCTTCGGGGGATCAACATGTGCAGACGGTGGATATTTTATTTTCAGTCGCTCGATATAAACCGATTATGGGAATGTATAACACGGGTTTATAACCAAAAAAACTGGAGTCCGCAAATGTGAGCTTGATTATTCCATAATCCATGCATGGACATTTTTATGGAGGACTGAAAACTTTCGTTTTACTAGATTCTACAATATCCAGGCCTAAGTCTGGAGACTTGTTTCCTTTTATGCCTGTATCTTTGTCTTCAGTGGGGAGGCAGCAGGCGGTCTAGCGCCCCCCCCCCCCCTTGTGAAGCATTTGTGCCGCAAACTTGTGTAGTTTTGTGCCACAAAATTGTGCAGCATTTGTGCCTCAAAGGTGCACATGCCTGATAATCCTCCACCTTGACGGCTATAAAACACCCCCTGAGCCGGAGCTGATTCGCTCCTGTGCTTGTGTTCATTTTTGTCTTTTTTTTCGCTCACAGAAACTGGGTGCGCGCCTCCTTCTGTATCAAGCAATATGACGTTGGGTGAGACCCACCCCTGGTTTAAATACGGGGATGAGGTCACCCTCACCTGCGACAAGGGATACGAGATCGAAGGATCAAAGGATCAGGCCGTTAAGAGTGTCTGCCGCTCCAATGGGACTTGGTCCGGTCAACCAGTGAAATGCATTCCAGCGGAGTCTACAAAAGGTCCAAATGGTAATGTATATACCTCTCTTAATGGTCACTGGCCTAGTGGTTATACCAATTAATGCACTCCGATATTCAATGTCTGAAAATATAGCAGTTCACTGATCATGCAATTAAGGATTCTGCCGTTATAAGAAAGGGGAAAAAATAGGTAAACCTAGTAAAGTTTGCCCCGGACCAATCTAATTCACTAGTCAGTCAGTGAGATAGGTACAAAGACGACACGTCCATGCAGAGCACAAAAGATTTTGCTCAATTGATAAAGCATTCCATCAAATGGAAGCATTTTCATGTATCTGGTCTGCAATTGGGAAGGATTGGCCCGTTCATTGGCAATATATGGGGTAATCCAATACGATAGCACTGCCCACCGCTCTTCACCAGTGTACAACCATTCATGGGGAGTCAGTCAGTCAGTCAGGGATTCAGTGAGATAGATATAAACAGGATATTTGGCCGGCTCTTAATTTGGGACCTTAAAAAAAACCCACAAGTTTCAAAAACAAAACACACAATAAAGGACTATCCAAAGATTGCTGTCTTTTTAAGATGTGGGGCGCTGTGGTCCAATGGTTACGGTGTTCGACTCGTGTGCCGTGGTACACAGGTTCGAATCCTGACCGTGGGAACATGGTGCTTGTGCTCTTGAGCAAGGCACTTTACCATTATTGCTTCGTCCTTCGGATGGGACGTTAAGCCGTAGGTCCCGTGTGTTGTGTAATGCACGTTAAAGAACCCAGTAACACTTGTCGCTAAGAGAAGGGGTTTGCCCCGGTGTTTCTGGCAGTGGCAGCAATTATGCGTCGCAGCACCTTGTAAACCCTTATAAGGTGCTACACTATGGGTCTCATAATATTCATATACTTCATTTACCTGGCTTGGTTGCATTCTCTCCCCAGCACTTTGTATCCTCTGGCAAAAAGCGCTATATAAATACAGTTATTATTATTATTATTTGTAAGACGTGGATAATTATGAGATCCTCGACTATCGTAGCCGCACGAATTGTCACGTAATTCGAGTATAAACAGATGGTCACAAGTTGATCCCAAGCATGTCTGATTTCCAACGATTTACTTCAAATCAGAAAAGTACCAGTCTCCCCCGTGTTGCGGTCACCGTGGTCCAAAATTTGAAAGTGAGATCGAAAATCATTAATTTCTTCTGACACATTCATATCTGCTCAGAAAAAAATATACATTTTAACTTGGCTCACGTAAAGTCATTTAACCAAAAAAAATGACGGCCCCAAATAGATGAGAATAAATTTAATCCACAGAGGGTTAACCCCAAACCACCCTTGCATGTCAACGCATGGCTACTTTTGTTTGAAAACACTAGAAGAGTAGACAAACTGGGTTCTACCCTACTCGAAAACAAAAATATTAAAACAGTTAAATGACATGTCCGAAATTCCCCATTCTGATTGTTTTGCAGTTTTTCAAATGATAATTTTGTTTACTTTTGTAGTGAACGTAAATTACAAGACTCAGTTTTGTTCAAAATTTCAGCTGGGATCAGTGCGCCTACTATCGGTGGAGTTGTTGGCGGCATCATTCTGCTCATTCTCCTCGTCTTGATTGCAGCCGTCCTCATCAAGAAGTAAGCCAATTGAATGATCCAAACCCAAGTGACTTCGTTACAATAAAGTACAATAAGGCATTGAGTCCTTTTTACGGGATAAGTATGTTGTGCAGCCGCAAGGCAAGATGTAACGACGAACTTAATCATGAAACGCATGGTTATTTAAAGATATAGTCCATCATTTGTAATTTGTGCATTTTGTTTGTTTGAAGCAACAAAAGTGTTCTAAATCTAATGAAGGATACTGAGCAACTAACCTGATGAAGTTTCAGCTCAGCTGTATATTCCGAGAAAAACAGCATTCTAGGATCTCAATTTCAAATCAACAGTTGCTGAATCATGTTTTGAATTGGGCCTGAATTCAGCATCCGAGACACGTTCTCATAGAGCCGATTGCAGCTATACGCGATGTCGCGCATTGATCCGACAAAGTATAGCAAACCGCAGGCGCGTGTGCGTCGTGCCAATGCTTGCGCGCACTTTGCCGAACAATAAAACGAACTACTTATTTAAATTTTCCTACGGTGCGTGGAATTGAAAGGCCTTCTTTCGTTGATTACTTCAAAATGACAGCTTGCCAGAAAGAATAATTTCACAGGGAGTTTAGTCCCCTTACTATCTTTCAACCAAGTATGTTTTTCAACAATAATTACGCCAGTTACTTTTGGGATGGCTGCAAATGGACTCTGGCTTTAATAATGAAACACTTAAAACTGGCAAAATAAAACAACTTGCCGGGTTCATGAGGAAAGAACAATCACTCGATTGGAAGTGAGAAATTGCACCTTAGAGGTTATCGGTATTCGAAGATTTAATTCAGCTACGACAAAATAAAACGGTAATCTTTGCTTCCAAACTGATGTTTTTCCTGCTGCGACAGAATATGCCTACATGAAATAAAAATGATACATGTACAGACTAAAAATAAGTGTCGCTTTACAATTTCGAATTAAAATTCAGCCTAAAGAATAAGCTTGTCAGTGCCAAAGAAGTGAAGTAGGAAATGTAAATTGTTTCCCCCCACCCTGGAAAAGCCTCCCTTTTCGGTTTCTTTTTCCTAAGCCACCCTTAACCTTTGAGTTATGGTTTTGTTTTCACTCTGTATATTTTTCTTCTTCATTTATGTAAAGATGGAGAGGTCATCAATCAGGCTCTCCGGTTTTTCTGGGACTCCAAGGCGATGATGTGAGTCTGTCTACATACAGCAATCCCATGTTCACCAAATCTGCCGAGTAATTTACTCGGGTCTTTGTTACTACGCCAATAATATGATGTATATCAGTCATATCTGACAATACTCAGTTATGAGATATTATTTGTTGTATAATTTCGTATATGCATTGGGGTTTTTTGTATTCAAGGTACTTGGATTCCGTAATAAAACTTTCAATTCAATTCATTTCATTTCAATATCACATTTGTTTCCATACTTAAACTTCTGTATTCAAAAAGAAAATACAACAGCATATACAATCTTAGACAATTAATAGGAGTGAAATACATTACAAGAAGTGTAAAATCATATGAAGTCAACAAACGTACGTAAGCTAAGCATAAAATAACGTGGTAAGCAACAAAGTGATATGCAGTAATTAATGAACAGCTTATGTATTAAGCAGAAAATCCATAATTTACTCACACTATATGTGCATTAAGAATTTTTAAGTACTTGTCATGTGGGAAAATAATTTTAAGGTGATAAAATTACCATAGTTGTGTACACAGGTAATATATATTTTACAGTAAAAGAGTGCGCTTTTTATTCATTAAAATCTGTCAACAGACTTATTACACTTTGGACATATGTTGTGAGTAAGGAACGGTTAACCTCAAATTGAAGCTAACCGTCGAAAGGGAACGCTATATCTATGTCTTGAGTGTTATCCGAGAGTGTTCGCATGATTATTCGATTTGTATTGTGATTAACTTTAGTTGGTGTTTAATATGTACATGTATAATCAAGATGGTGATCACAGGAGTAAGTAAGTAACTGCCGTAACGGTTAAATTACCTTACAACAAAGGTTCAAATGACGACACAACATAGCTTTTGGTAAACCTTATACATACTTGAAATGTAACCTAAAGAAATCCACGGTGATTTCATTCAAATCAAAATCACAGTATGGTATAGCGATGTCATCAATCTGAAAAAGCTTAACATAGATAATTATGTTTTAATGCGACACCTAAAAAATACAACGATATGTTGCATTACTCTCTAAATTCCAAAGAGTGAAATTAGAAACTAATTTAATAATAATAATTATATTCTTATATAGCGCCAAATCCTTCAAATTGACGTTCAAGGCGCTTTACAATCATTAACAAAAACCAAACAAAAAACAAAAAAACTATTTCAATCTTTCTTTCGATTGAAATAGTCTGAAAAAAAGAACTACTTCAGTCGAAGCTGGAGTGAAAACTCGATCTTTACGATTGGAAGAAATGTCACTCTAAAACGTCTAGTCCCTAGTTTCCGACTGTGGTAGTGAATCTTCACTGGAATAGAGTGAATTTTCACTCTGGAATTTAGAGAGTAGAGTGACCGCAAGCAAGTTTTCACCCAGCTTGGCATAGACGAATCCGGGCACACGATCACCCTTACTGGAATGTGTATCCTTGTGGAGTCATTTCTTTGTTCTCGTGTACTAATATTTTAGAGTTTGAAAATGTAGTTTCAAAATGCTCCTATTTTAATCAGAATTAATTTCCTGGGCTGAAAGTCGGACTTAATATCCTTTACATAAAATACTTTAATTGCGACAGATCAACACACCTGGGAAATTCCTAGTTTTGAGTAAAATCCATTTTCTATTTCGCGATAACCTTATGGAGACGAAATTGCTCTGTGGAGGCGTATACAATCTTTCGTTTCCTATTATACACGTCTCCATAGTGAATTACGAAACACTATACATGTACTCACAAGGCCCCCTTCAATGAAGAGATCAATTGAGCACCACGCTGTTGCACCACGCTGCCACGTGAAGGATTATCTGAACAGTAGTAAGCACAATGCTTTCGCCATTGAAGATTGCCTTCGTGATAGAAATGACAGCTCGCCTGGATCGGTCTATATACTAATGGAGATCAATGGTCTATCCTTTGCACACCGACACGGGGCAGGTTCGAGTGCTCGAACTATCCTTCACGTAAACATTTGGTTTGGTATTATAATTATGTGTGCACTTTTTTTTTGTAACTACATGTAATGTAGGCCTAAACTATTGGTTCCGTACATGGACTTGCAGAGTATATGATGATTAGTTGATATCAAGATAAGGACAATGTAAAAGAACATATAGGCCTACAAAGCGCGTTTTTTTTCCTTGTTATACAGCCAACGATGTTCCTCCTCGTCGCTGTCGAATGACTGAATATCAAGGACGCTAAAGCTTAAAACCTCGCACCTCGTCGTCGTAGATCATAATGTAGGTTTACAGATGATTTTATGCTGTAATATGATTTTAAATACTTCTTATTATGAAATGGTGAAGGTTGGACAAAAGAGTCATATTAAGGTTTGGCATGGAATTTCATCGGATGACACGTAAGACAACTGCAAATGTGTCATTTTACTCAGTCACTAATGTTGCTTACTCAGAATGAGTATTAAATGATTATTTGCATTCAATGAGCATGTTTCGATTTTTTTTTCGTTTATTAAAATCTTGTAAAAAGTTTTTCAAGGGAAATTGCACAGCAACACTGCGCTATTAACGGCATGATCATTTCCAATTATTCCAATTATGTTCCCTAATTTGAAAACTCTTTGTCAGTTGGTGTTGTGAAGTCGAAACCAGCGTTCTCATTCTGTATTTGATTTCTATTAAAAGTACAAACTTTATCGAGCACAGATAATACAAATCAGAAACATTTACATCCAAAGGCTGTTCGTAAAAGCTGATCCGCCATCCAGTTACTTTGACGTCAATGTAAGAATTTGTCCGAAACACATTGATGCGCTGTTCGGATAGGCCTACAGTCAGTTGTGAGCTATCAGAAACAATTCAGATTTTTGATTGAGAATAGAAAATACAAACCAAATGTTCGTATCTAAGGGCGTCGCTAAGGGGGGGGGGTGCGCTCACCATGGCCACCCTCAACAGTTTTTGTCGTCGAATCGTCATACCTAAGGAAACGTCTTTTCCACGGTCTGCATACATGTCGCAACGATTAGCGCCACTTATAATTGTCAAATCAGCTTTGAACAGCGTCCCCATTAGATGGTGTCCCTCTCGATGTCTGTCCCCAAGTATCCCGCTACTTTAGTGTCGAGCCGACATCTCTTCTTATTTCCTTTCTTTATCCAGTGTTTTTATACAGGTGGAACCTTAAAATGACATGAACCCGGTCACAGTGTCTGAACAGCATTTTAAGCACACTGAGACCACATTGCAGTAGGATTCGGGGAAAGATTTTTTCCAACCTTGCAGATTTGATAACTGTGTGAAAAGCGAAACAGGACAATATGCATACAGTTTTCTGCCTCGTGCTACCTTACATAGGCCACCAACGCTACTGGCTCAACCTTTATCTACTCTACCACCAACAATAATGGCGACTGCCTACTCCAACAGCTACCTCTGCGTTATTGACATCTGGTTTCCCCGAAAACAAATCCACCCCTGAATATGGTGTAGCCCTGATGGTAAGACACGCAAGGCTAGCTATCGATCACATTATTACATATCGCCGCTGGAGATCTCTCATTACGAACTGTCGTGTCTACAGGGGAGCACACCTCGGCAACACAGACCTCTGGCTGCCCAGCTCACACTAAAACTAAAGGCTGATCAATCTGCCAAGCATCAACCCCGCCTAGACCCATCTCGCTAATTCCTCGACCGCCATCAGATCGGCATTCTCCAGTACATTCTCCAACCAATTCAGTGTCTTGGCTGAAGAAGACTCCACCGAGTTGCGGCACTATTATGAAGTCTGCAAGACAGCCGCAGAGACTCTAGGACGCCGAAGATCGACCCTAGCTATTAAACAACCATGGATCTCGCAGGCGTCGCTTCAGATCATCCAACACCGCCGGCATGCATGCCTGCCTCCAAGGAGACATGGAAGAGTACCGCTACCTAAACCGCCTACAAAATGTAACAATTGCGAATGACTGAGAGAAGTACTTGGAAGACGAAGCAAGACGTGTGGAGACGGCTGCACAAAATCATCGGTCCAAAAATAGATGTTCAGCATGCTGATACGGCCAAAGCTCAACCGCAAGATATTCTTAATCTTGGCAAGGACAGCAACTGATGCAGTCTATCTATTGATGTTGCCTTTCCGGGCCGCTTGAAGGAGCAGCTTCGGCCAGGTACGGAACCATCCTCAAGTATCTCCAGGTCCAACACCGATACCAACAGCACACATCACAACGTCATCGAATCAGCACCACCCGTGTTACCCCATATGAGGTGACGGCTGTTTTGAAACAGCTGAAGAACAGCAAAGCCATTTGGAATCTGCACTGTTACTGCGGAGATAATGAAGGGGTGGGACTGTCTCAGCTCATCCAGTGGCTCACACGTATCATTAACCAAGTGTGGATTACGGAACAGCTACCTGTAGACTTGACACGGAGTAATCCTCCGCTGCTGGAAGCGTAAAGGCGACCAGCTCGTCTGTATCAACAACAGAGCCTTACACTCTTGTCCGTACCGGGCAAATTATTCGCATATACCAAGCAAACTATTCAGCAGGCAAGCTACAAGTCCGGCCGCTCCACTACTGACCGTATCTCCGCCCTCCATCTCATCTTCGAGAAGGCCCGAAAGTTGCGTAAGAACCGCCACCTGTTTGCTGTCTTCACCGATCTCAAGGACGCCTTGAGGAGTGGAGGAATTTGATGAGGATAATTCTGAACCAGATTGTAAAAAGCGTAGATTTGAAGATTCGAGAAAACTGTGAAACTGAATCTGCGCAAGATGAAGACAAAGATATCGTGAAAGATTATTCGGAATCTGAAACGGAGGTAAAAGATGGCAAATTATCGGATGAAGATGAGTCGTTTGCAGATTCCGAAATGGAAAACTGTGAAACTGAATCTACACAGAATGAAGATGGGGATTTTGAGGAAGATATTCGGAATCCGAAACGGAGGTAGAAGAAGACGAATTATCAGATGAAAATGAGTCTAGTTCTGAATTGGAAGACAATGCTGCCTTTCAAGACTAGTTGGTAGACGCCAAAGACGCCACTGAAGAGATGTGGAGTGAGAAATACGTCAACGGGCGTATGGATGAAGATCAAGCCAAGGAAAAGGCAAATAGGAAGACACTCTTTGGCAGTCAAGCGAGTTTTTTTTTAAAACAAATACAAAGATCTTGAGGAAGACTAGTGATGATTAAAGAAGAAAGACTATTGTAATTTTTTTTTAATTATAGTACATGTAGTGCCTTTGGTAGAAAAAAAACAGTATATACCTTGTGCACTCTGATCCAATCTGGTCAAGATTCCCTGAAATTCAATCTAAATGCTCTGCTCTTACTTGATTCTACGGCACCGATATCCCCAATAAACGCCGATTGCCTACATGAAGACATTTAAAGCACCGCGAATTCGGATCTTTGACGATTGGACAAGACCAGACTTGTCCGGCTTCTTTTTGCCATCCTTCGATGACTCAGCACTATGACGTCAACGGATTCTCTCATTCGAGCATATGCAAAGAATATTTTGGACCATAATGGTGTGGATAACAGAACAACCGTAATGAAATTATTAGAATACCAAAATAACTGATACGGATAAAAATGTTCAAAGCGTAGGAGGTCAAATAGCCTACATAGTGTAAATACATTAAATAGTTGAAATAAAACATTCATTGTTATATGTCATTGATTTTGTGTGATGTGAATTTAAAAAATACACGTACTTGTAAATACATATTCAGTTGATTTTATATTTTGTAGCCTACGTTTTCCGCGTTTCTTTGTTATTCGTCATCTTTTAATACTTGTTTATATTTGTTTAATACTTTTACACACAATCATTCAACTAGAATAAATAGGTATAATTTTCAACTTAGCCGAAATATGCCGCGTGATTAAAAAAAAAGGGGAGGAAAAAAATTCGAATCAAGAGGACGTGATATCCATCGATAGGCCTACATGTTATTGCCTTTTTCTGTGAACTGCGTTAAAAATAATGCATGTATTATCTACAGAGTCAAGTTGTAAAAAATAATTATTCATTCACGTGCGCCTTGACTCCATTTAGTCGTCCACTGCATTCCATTTTTTCCTCCTTTTGTTGCACCAATTGTCTTCTAACAATAATACTCATTCAGTGCTAATCCCCACGATCGATTTATCCATCGATCCATGACGTCAATACGCCACAGACACACCCCGTTTTACGATCCTCGTCAGGGTTACCGATATAATCCTCGATGAGGATCATGATCCTCCTTGAGAAAACGGGGTCAAATGCTTAGACTACATTACTCGTCATTTATCCTATTTGACGTCATAGACAATAAATATGGACATGACAACGATTTATATACATTTTTTTTTACCACAATGGCTTCTTCATTTTCTGTGCCTTGTGTTTTCTTTGTTCAATCACATTTGTTTTTCATTTTTAACAATGAATAAACACATTACAGTAAACACATTAGAATTAAATAAATGTATCAGATTAAAGCCGCAACAATGCAATTATATACCCCAGGAAGTAAATATGAAGTGAAGCTGTTTAATGAAATAATTAAACGTATAATTCATTTTCTACGGTTGATACCTGAATCAGGCCACTATCCGCAACACATACAGTGGAATACAGTTTGTGAACACAGAAATGTACGTAGGACATCTGTGTTTTGGGGTAATAATACAATTTAAAGAGTATTGACAGAGAAAGAAAATATAGTGTTCATTTTTTTTTATTCTGTTCAATGGAATAAAGTTGATGAACACGGTAATGTATGTTTGATGAATCCTATCGTAAATTGTACCCTATTGTCGTATATTACTGTAAAATATTTTGTTCACTGTACTTCGTTTATTTCAGAAAAATATTTCTCTGTCAGGCCACCCATGCACTTTCGACCCCATCTTTATTGCTTCTTGATCTTTAAAAACTTGTCATAAACAAGGTGAATGAATGAAACAGCAACTCTAGGCTAATCTATTAAGTTCAATTACAAATTATATTAAGAGCAGCCGGGAAAGGACGTAAAATTCGAATAATGTCACATTCATAAACATAAAATTGTCTATAAAGGCCTATTTTCCTTTTTATAATGTTGTACGAATAAGTGGAGAGAAAGGATATGAGAATAGACTACGACATCAATTTATAAATGTCGCCTGATCTGGTTCTCTGATTTTAATAATTACACAGCATCGATGGCTATTTCCAGGAGGAGGGAAGGAAGGCATGGCCCCCATGTACCCTCCCCCAACCCCTCCTCCGTACCCCGATCCACCAGTAACACATAGAGTAGTGCAACCCCGCCCTCCCTGTCCATCATAAGTGAGACAATGACTCGAAGCCGCTTATCAAATCAGTTCCGAAGTCGTCTCACAGCCTAATCTAATGGGGTTCCCTTTGGATTGTATATAGGTTTGGTGAAGCAGTGACATTGACAAGCCACATACCAAATTCCTTGAATTTGCGCAGTTTCGCTGGGTGACTGCGTATACTAGCGGCATGCATGACTACTGTGGAGTGGTTCTGCTTTTGCCACGATGGGTCAAAAAATCTGGGTCCCCATGGAAACAGGTCCTCGTCTAGTATCTTGATATTCACATGTACGGGTTTATCAGCCGTAAACAGTCCATTCATTACACTTTGATCAGTCGGGAATTTTCCTTTTTTCTTGTTGTTATCCAAAAGTTCGGCCCACGTCCTTACGAACTGGATGGACGCATTGGTCGGTTTCAGGTAAATGAAGCCAGCGCAGAAATGCGTTTTGCTGATTATTCTGGGTTTAGAGAAGCTTCTGAGACTCATGTCAAAGTCTCCCTGAAAGTATGGAAAGGGATCCCGGAACCAAAACGTGTCCGAGTCAGAAAACAGAACCTCCAGGCCTTGCTCTAATAAAGTCAAAATGTAGGCCTGGCGTTTGTTCATAAGCCCACGACGAGAGGGCTCTATTTCATCCATTTCCCCCGAGTTGGTTTTCTGAACATAAATTGCTGGGTCACCCTTGGCATACTTGAGCAACAGATCGTAAGCCTTCTGATCCTCTGCGATGACTGAAGTGTTGACACAAACTCCAATCCTCTTGACGCTCTCCAGCATGTTCAGCGCGACGTCCGCGTAAGCGAGATTTGCCGTAGTCAGCATAACCACGCCGGGTCTCTTCTTGATGTCAGCCAATGTGCAATTGGATAGTTGTCCGCGGATCGGCATTAGCAGTTCCCCATTCTGGCAAACATAAGCCGATGTGTTAAATACTTCTCTTGTACCAGTTGGTTCGCAATCACAGTGTTTTTCAGCGCTCGACTTTCCGACAGGTTTATGGACAACCGTGGACGTTTGAGAGTAATCTGCAAGTTAAAGAATGTTAAAAAAAAATCGAAGTAAAGTACGAGTAACAAGCTCATTGCCCCTGACCTACAGATATAGGCCCACTAGGTCACCATTACCGCCGAACAAAGTACATATCCTCAGCACACATACAAGAACAGGTCCTCAGATGCATCATGATGTAGATTCAAAGACGTATTAAAGATGTAACGCTGGATCGAGTGTACTTGTTCGTAACTCCGTGTGACACAGCAGGGGCGGATCAAGTTTTTTGCAAGGGGGCAGGTTCAATCAGAAAATCATTGCTGAAATGTAGACAGGTTTTTTGTCCGGACACCTGGCTCCGTAAAATCAATAGGTGGGGGTGGTGGTGGTGGGGGGGGGGGGGGGGGGGCGGCTAGTACCTTAATTTCGATGGGGGCGCTGTTCAAATCCGACGATTACTAACCCTATATTAAAGGATTGTGTACAAATACCCTCTTAACCCAGCAGGCTCTGTCCGTATTTTGGACACATGCCTGTATATTTGTTTTTGGGTGTCAGAGTGGGGGGATACATTATTTTTTAATGAATTTCTATGGGGAAAAAAAAACACTTTGACAGAGCTGGGGGTTGACCCCCAAACCCCTCCCCCCCCCCCCCCCCCCCCGGATCCGCGCTTGACACATTGTTTAATTTTTTTCGTTAAATTATGTGCAGTTTCATTACTTCCATGTTCCAAATTATTCAGTTCTAGTTGTGTTTGGGTCCAGTTTGCATTGACTAAGACAAGATCGAAAGCTGAGGACTTCGAAGCAAGTCGGGACCGAGGTCTCATTCATCCGTGACCTTTACCACGACCGTTTTCGCCTCAGGCATTCGCACAAAGGCCCTAGTTCACGACAGTTTGAATAAATAAAATGCTTTGCCTCGAAGCTTTTACAAAAATCGCAGTGTGTGGAACAATTAGCTTCTATTCCTCCACTGAAGACATAATAAGCATTATAATGGACCTTTTACTACCACGGCAACGAAACGCTTTGGAAATTGTGGATTGAGATTTGAGTTGTGCAAAGCCAGACATCATTGGTATGAACTTAAAACTTGTATATTCTTATGGTCCTGAATACTTAACTAGACTATACAGAGTTCGGACTTAGTCGGACTATGGTTTACAAGGCTTGCACAAACTTGCCCATAAATGCACAGAATGCATTTTATATACATGCACATGTACATGAAAAGCATTTGTCTGCAAAGTTAGTTTTCGATTATGTGCAAAAAAATGCCCTTAGATCAAGATCAAAAGACATACTCAATATCTATTTCTGATGACGAGAGGAATTAGGTTTTTTATAAAAAAAAAAGTACACTTCGCAACTAACATTATTGCAAAAATACAAGTCCATTTTTGTCTTTTAATATTTTTTGTTAAGAAATGTTTCGACGTAGAACACGAAATAAACGCTACATAAATATCATTTAGTTCGTGAATATTTAATTTCTTGGAAAAATGTTACTAGTTTCGGATAAATTCACTGAAATCTATCAACAAAATCGATGCTTCAAATCACGATCAAAGTGCGCGAAAACAGACACTTCTGTTGCGACGCCGTTGTTAAGCACGAATCGTGGCACGCGCACTTCGGTGCACTTTGAACGCACGTGCTCTGTACTCAGTTAGTATTCAGTTGGCACATTTTTCCTGCTGACGTTATCAAAATAATGTGTATATACGTGTACATTAAACATACTGAAATTTACTATACCCGAAAGATGCATATATTTTTTTCTGGATTACAAATATTGATTTTAATGTAGAGGCTGAATTTCATTAATTTCTCTTTCTGCACTAACATGAAAATGTTCAAAACTGGGCAATACCCTATGAATTAGTTTTCGGCCCGATCACCCATTTACTCAACATACGCGAAGCTCTATGGTTATAACTAATTTGTATTTTGTTTTAGCTTAGTTTTTGTATGGTCGTTGTTCCCTTCACAATAATGTTGAGAGGTAGAATGGCAAGAGGCAAGAGGTAAAATGAGCAGGAAAATACCACGCTATAATATCGTACAAGTGATTCAGAAACCGTGAAAATAAAGCCACAAACTTTAACAACCATATAAAAGCGTGATAGTACATGGTGAGTAAATAAAACAAAACCAAAATGGCACGACCAATTTTTGTATTAAGTTTTGCCTGTAGCACTTGCAAAATCAAGTATATGAAAGCCCAGTCATTGAGCTTTCTTTTAGTACAAGCATCATTCAAATCACTCGTGTACTTTTCAAGTTATGGAATTTTGAACACAAACACCGTTTTAAAGTCCTGTCCACGGATCACAAAAATAAGTGTTTTTTCAGCAAAACGAAAACAATTCTCACACTTAGCCTATCTATTTTGTGATCGGTGGACAGAAGTATAAAGCGGTGTTTGTGTTCAAAATTGCGTAACTTGAAAAGTACATGAGTGATTTGAATGATAATTTTGTAGGCCTACTAAAAGAGAGCTTGTTAATTGGGCTTTCTTATCCTAATTTTTGATAGTTCTACAGACAAAACTTCATTTACAAATTGGTCCTGCCATTTTGGTTCCGGTTTTTTACTGACCCTGTAGTATCACGGTTGATTTCCACAACGGGAGTGTCGCATCCAAAACTAAAGATGGCGATACTACGTACATTGTCTGTCTTCCTTACATGTCGGTAATATTGCAAATAAATGTTTTCTTTACATGTTCGGACTATGATTAATTATTGTGAAAGCACACTTACTGATGATGAATAGTGTGAAGGCCGCAGACTGAATGAAGAACAGGACTTTAAAGACGTGATCGGAAGCCATCTTGACTGACCCGTTCAGATCATAAACATAGTGGTGGAACCGCAACTGAACGCCAAATGACAACGAAAAGCTGCGACATATGCAGGACGTGCACCCACTGGCTTGTACTATTCGTTGCGTACATAAAGCTGAACACGCCTATTATTAACAAGCTGATTTACCCGATCATAGATCGGGTAGGGCGTATTTGTGTTGGGGTTGAAAGTGTGGGGAGTTAAATGTAAATGGGGGATTTAGTTGAGAAGACATGTAGCTATAGAAAAGCAATTTACGGTGACGCGATCTGAGGCAATTTCTGACCACGTACGATAGTAAAACAAAAGATCATCTTTTAAACATCATTTTCGAGTTCGGAGTCATTGAATCAGCTGTTCTGAGCAAAAGAATATTATAGTAGGCTACAATTTTTATTCGGGGAAGAAAAAGTGGGGGTAGGGAACCAAACGATATTGCCCGCTTTAAAATGTTGGGGTGGGGGTCCCCCGTCCCCCACTGATTGACGCCGCGCCCATGATAATAAAATTACATAGTCTGAATCATGGAGGAAGGTCATTATGAAGGTACAGTATTGGACTCTTCAACAAACGTAAACTTGAACTTCTTACAATTTGCGAGACCTGCGAGGAAAAAGTCGATTTAACTATTTTATTCAAGTTGGCATGGTTCAACCATAATATAAGCGGGCCAAACAGCCAACAACCGCCAATATTATTATTTATGCACTCTTCGTTATTCCAACCCAACATAGTTCAAAGAGCACAATATTTGAAGCAATGCATCGATCCCTCGTTGATTTACCCGATCATTGATCAGGTAGGGCGTAGAGTTGGGGATGAAAATGTGGGGAGATGAATGTAATTGGGGGATTTAGTTGAGAAGACATGCAGTTATAGAAAAGCAATTTCTGTGGTGCGATCTGAGGCAATTTCTGACCACTAAAACAATTTTTTGTTTGCAAAAGATCATCTTTTAAACATCATTTTCGAGTTTGGTGTCATTGAATCAGCTATTCTGAGTAATAGAATCATTATACATGTAGTAGCTACAATTTTTATTCGGGGTAGAAAAGTGGGGGGAGGGGACCAAAACAGTGTCCACCGCTTTAAAAATGGGGGGGGGGAGTGGAGGGGTTCCCCGTCCCCCACCGATTGACGCCCATGATAATTATGTACCATGGCAACAGTCTGTAAATGTTCCCGTTGGTCTGTTAAATTGGCATTTTGTGAGGCAGTGGCATTTGTGAGAAAACGTACTGGAAAGGCTTGCCGTAGTACACAGGCGAAGGCTGATTAGGAAGGTCATAATTAAGTTTCAGTATATTGGACTCAACAAACGTAAACTTGAACTTCTTACAATTTGCGAGACTGTCTGCGAGGAAAAAGTTGAGTCAACTGTTATTCAACTTGGGTCAACCATCTATATAAGAGCAAATTTTACTCGGCTTCCGAGAAATGTTTGCTCCTGAAACGATCTGAGACCGCGGTCTTTCGCGACGCCAAAATCGCCCCACGTCCGTGGAAAAATGTGGAGGGTGTCTTCCGCCGGATCGGACACATTTTCGTTGATTTTTTTTTTGTGACTTCGTTTAAGATCGCGATGTTTGAAGCAATGCATCGATCCTTCGTTGATCCCAGACAGGCCCCCGAAATTATAACGCAACACTGTGGCGGGCAGCGAACTCACAACGCTCAGCCTTGGTGGAAGCATGGAGCTGTATTAACACACGTTGGAAGCAACAGAGCACTATACACGTCACATGCTTGTGCTTCAAATCATGCAAATAGCGAGCACCGTAGACCCAACCTCGTTTCCAGGGTGTGGAGCAGGCTGCAGTACGCGTTGCCATCGAAAGTTTTGCATAGCCCGGAAATACTACGCAGTGTAGACTTTCGATTGGTCAGACCGCGCAAGGCATACTTAATGTGTAGTCCTTCTGAGTATTCGTTGCACTCGGCGCAGGGGCGGCAAGCGAAGCCTATGAAAGAATAGGGGCACTTGGTGGCCACGCACCATGGAGAAAAAATATTTTACCAAGGTCACCCCATAACACAATTTGGTGAACGCTTTTGCAGAACGGCTGAGTAGAACACATGTACGGAACCCCTACGTTGACCTCGCTGACCTCGCACAGTCTAGACACGCAGAGAAGCCAGCACAGGGGGCGGTCAGGCAGTCAACGTGAAAGCGCACACGACGGCAAATTCCTGCGAAAAACGCAGTCACGAAAAATAGACGAAAAGGATCGCCGGTCCGTACGGGAAAATCAGGACGACCCGAAGTGTCCGACCCGGCGGAAGACACCCTCCGTATTTTTCCACGGACGTGGAGCAATTTTCGCGCAGCGGGAGCCCGCGGTCTCGGATCCTTTCATGAGCAAACATCGTCTCGGAGGCCAAGTTAAACTCTCTCTTATATATATGGTAGCAGACCAGTAAATAAACTTCCATAGACCCCAATGGTAAATGCTCCCACTTCAAAAAATCGGGAAAAATACTCACAACTCTCCAAGGTGTTCGAGACACACATCAAATTAAAACTTATTTCATCATCTTTCATTTTCTTTTCAATTTTCGGGGGGTCAACTGATGACTTTTAGGAGAAATTTCCATCTGAAGATGATCACCCCTGAAAATAGTCCTGAAGCCCATCGCCATTTTGAAAAACGATGCCTACACTCCATTGCAAAGTAGAGCGCTTTTAGGGTCCAAATTACATCCAAATTACACAGAACTGCAAGCTCCAAGTCCTGTGCACGGTTTCCACCGATATTTTTTACAAACCCTCAAGTTCATGGCCCACAGCATGCTCAAATACCGAAGATTTTGAGGGCATGCAAATCGTGATTTGGCCGGCGCAGGCAATTTTTGACCGATTTACTGGTCTGCACCCTATAGAGAAGCGAGGTTTTGAAAAAATTTTCCAAACCACTTGTACGGCACGAGGAAGGATGGATGACTCATATTTCATCACAAAATTGCGAGAAAAAAAATCTCTGACTGCGATTTCTGGCCTGAAAACAAGCCCTCTGTTTGCGGCTACCTTACTGTAGGGCGCCCCCAACGGGCGTGAATTGAGTTTTTGCTCTTTCCGACCCCAAATTACCCCCCCCCCCCCTTGTTCGCTCGAAATTGCTGTGATCGGAGGACGGTCCATCGGCCCTATTCAGATTTTGGGCGCATTTGTTGCGGAACCGCCATTGGTGACCCCTTTTGAAACGCTGCCCCCCCCCCCCCAGGTTCCGCCCCCTGAAAAAAAACCACTCCGCAAACATTTGACAACAAACGGGGGAAGGCGCCATTTTGAAACTATAGAGAAGCGAGGTTTTGAAAAATTTCTCCAAACCACTTGTACGGCACGAGGAAGGATGGATGACTCATATTTCATCAAAAAATTGCGAGAAAAAAAATCTCTGACTGCGATTTCTGGCCTGAAAACAAGCCCTCTGTTTGCGGCTACCTTACTGTAGGGCGCCCCCAACGGGCGTGAATTGAGTTTTTGCTCTTTCCGACCCCAAATTACCCCCCCCCCCCCCTCCTTGTTCGCTCGAAATTGCTGTGATCGGAGGACGGTCCATCGGCCCTATTCAGATTTTGGGCGCATTTGTTGCGGAACCGCCATTGGTGACCCCTTTTGAAACGCTGCCCCCCCCCCCCAGGTTCCGCCCCCTGAAAAAAAGCCACTCCGCAAACATTTGACAACAAACGGGGGAAGGCGCCATTTTGAAACTATAGGTAGCAGACCAGTAAATAAACTTCCATAGACCCCAATGGTAAATGCTCCCACTTCAAAAAATCGGGAAAAATACTCACAACTCTCCAAGGTGTTCGAGACACACATCAAATTAAAACTTATTTCATCATCTTTCATTTTCTTTTCAATTTTCGGGGGGTCAACTGATGACTTTTAGGAGAAATTTCCATCTGAAGATGATCACCCCTGAAAATAGTCCTGAAGCCCATCGCCATTTTGAAAAACGATGCCTACACTCCATTGCAAAGTAGAGCGCTTTTAGGGTCCAAATTACATCCAAATTACACAGAACTGCAAGCTCCAAGTCCTGTGCACGGTTTCCACCGATATTTTTTACAAACCCTCAAGTTCATGGCCCACAGCATACTCAAATACCGAAGATTTTGAGGGCATGCAAATCGTGATTTGGCCGGCGCAGGCAATTTTTGACCGATTTACTGGTCTGCACCCATATAGATATACGTCAATACGCCTTCTTATACAGCTCAATATGAGAGAAAGAATAACGTTAGTGTCGATACTGCTGTTTAGCATGGGAAACTACACGTGGGTGCTTGCACTACCGGCGTGTATGTGATCACACCATCACACCATCACACCATCATGGGCGTCGCAAGGATTTTTTTTCTGGGGAAAGAACATTTTCCCCAAAAATCCTTGCACTTTCTCTAGCATATTCTCAATTTATATATTTTTTTTATATAAGATAGGCGGGGGACATTCACCGACCCACCCCCATTGATGACACCCCTGCAGACGGCCATTGCGTTAAACGTGTATTAAGTAAATAGCAAATCACCTCTATTCTTCTGCGTCTTCTTTCTTTTCATTCACTTTTTTTGGGGGGGGGGGGTTTCCCCCCCCTTGCCCAATCCTGGCGACGCCAATCATGGGCGTCGCCAGGATTTTTTCTAGAGGGGGGCAAAACATATTTTTCCCCAAAAATTCATGTATTTCTCAACATATTCTCGATTTATCAGTTTTAGAGGGGGGCAGGGACATTTTGCCCCCCCCCCCACCCCATTAAATTAATACCACTATGAATTCGCGCCTCTTTTCCTTTTCCTTTTTCTCTTTTTTTTCTTCCTTTTTTTTTATTTTGCTTTTCCAGGGGGGGGAAGTGCCCCCTTGCCACCCCCCCCCCCCCCTCGCGACGCCCACGACGCCAATGCACTGCACTCTATACATGTAATAGCAGAAAAGCAGATTGAACGTTTTGCTAAAATGCATTTTTCTACTTTTTTGCTTTTCTGCTACAAGAAAAGCAGATTTTACTTTTTTTCCGAAATTGGCCATTCAAAAATGAATTCGTTTGTACAATATATTGTAATATAAGTCGGCAATTACTAAAACGGCGGAAATTGTCTCCAGAAACATCACAAAAAGTGTCTTTTTAGAGTTTTCAGTTTCATATCTCAACTTCTGCTTAACGTATGAATTCAGTTCTTTCGCCCAAATAAAGTAATTATTCCTCTCAATAACAGTACTGTACTACAAAGTTCTTATAAAGTTCCGTGGTTAAGATGGTCAGTTATGTCAATTTTGCTGTGCGAACGTCACTTTTTGCTCAATTCTGAGAACGCAATGAGGTCTCTACATGGTCGTTACACAGCAACCATTCGGCCGATTTTTTTAGTTCGTGTGTTAAAAAAGACTTTGGTCCCCTACAAAAAAAACGATGTAAAAATCGCGATGATTGATCACTTTTTTCTACCGTACTTGGTATATGCTGAATCCAAATAGCAAATCAGAATGGTCTTTTGAGACCCCATTAAGCTAGACGACCAAGGCATGCAACGTTTTCCGTCAGCGATGTCCACGTTAAATAAGATCTCCTTTTCAAAAAAAGAGGTAAATTCACTCTTTTAAAATTCACCACCGTAAACAAGAGCGTTCTGTCTGCTTTCTTGGATGGCAGAAAAGCAGAAAAGTGAACTTGTCCATCAAATCGTTCAATCTGAGTTTCTAATAGCGGAAGAGCACATGTCCACCTTTGGACCACACAGACAAAAACGTTCGATCTGTTGTCTCGAAAAGCAGCTGGGCCTTAGTAGACAAATTGATTTGTTCAAAATGTTTGATTGGCTTTACTGGTAGTAGTAATAGCAGATGACGCCACGGTATACAAAGACACATTACCCTGACAAAAGCTGCTCGTATCAGGTAGACGATGTTTATTCTGAATATGCAGTGCATGTACATAATCTGTAATTTTTGAAAAGTCTGTGGACGGTTCCCAAAACAGGCAAAAGCTATATAGTCATTAGCACTATTATACTAATATCGCCTTTGTATTACTGCTGGAGGAATCTGAAGCGTTCATTTAAATCACTAAAAGAACATTTTGAGTGCTTTTCCTCACTGTTTGCCTTATTTTCCTGTGGTTTAACCAACTACAAAATATCTACGCGATTGGAATACGAAAAACAAAAATTCTTGTTTACCGAGCACTGGCAGAGACCCCAACGAAACGGTGTCCCATATCTCTATGCGCCGTGTAGAGTTTTAATCTTACCATGTACCAACATTTTCCAAAATTACAAAACAAACCAACTTTGGAGAATAAATTATGCTCTTTGGTTACAAATTAATAACAGATGAAAGCAAAACATTTAAATTGTCCTGACTCCGTGGTAGCGTTTATAACTAGCCGGTTCTGAACAGTTTTCGGCGGTGTTTTAAACGGTGACTTAAAACCACCCACGTGATGAGCTCTTGACCAATAGGAATGAAATTGTAACACAGTCCTTCTTTGAAGTCTGTTCACAGTGAATAACGAAATTAGATCTACTGATCAAACACATTTAATGCAACTAAATCTTTCTGTTCCTGGCACTTTCTTTTAAAGGTAAAGGTAAAGATCCCATAGCCATTACTGGCCGTAGGGGCAGTGGGATGTTAGAGGTCCACCGTGTCTTAGGCGCGGCATATGAGTGGCGGGGCCCAGTCCTCTCCTCTCGCCGTCTTACCTTCCCTGAACGAATCAGGTACCCATTTTACTGTTGGGTCGTCAGAGAGAGTTTTCCAGTTTTTTGTTCGAATGGGATTCGAACCGCCAACCTTCCACTCCGTAGCTCCACGCTCTAACCGCTTGGCTACGAGGCCCCCCTAACTTAACTTACTTTTACCCTAACCTCTAAAATTCTTGATCAACAATTTACTCTGCGAAATGTAAAAACCTGCATCCTCCGTAAGTTAGTTCTATTAAAATTGATTTATATATATACAATTTATTGGAATCCAAATATACCAGTAAGAAGCACTTACATCATATTGACAAAACTGAAGTCTAGCTAAGCACATTCTCTATATTCAATGTTATGATAGCTTCTCTATAGGTAAATGCATCCATGCAGTAAGAGAACCTTTCGTTATCACCGAGTACTTAAGATTAAAACACAGGGCATGAACTGATCTGTTAGGCAGGGTGACCGTAAGGTATTGGCAAAATGCACTTCAAAAATCTGCTAGATTTAACAAAATCTTCTAAATCACCAAAATACATTATAAATGTATCGGCAGCGTTTGTACGCCAGGCAGGGGACGGATCCTGGACCTCCGAAGTATGAGAAATGAATCCCCGGTAAGCGATGGACTGGACTGACACAAGATGTTACACACACTGTGCATTGCTCCAAAGCTTTATTACTCCACAATCAAACACATTCGTTCGTCGTTGAATAAACACCCCATAAATCAATCTAAAACCAAAGTCTCAATTAATAACAGGTATGGTACATTTTATCATACAATAACCACAACAATTATACAATCAGAAACTTATAAGGTACCCGCGAGCAACACGCGGAAGCAAGTGAGCGCGATAATCGAGCACGCGCGAGACTGTTTGGCGAGCACCCTCGCGATCACACGCGAAGTTCGAGCGGCACTGTACCATGTGCACAGAGCCACAGACAGACAGCACGTACACAACATGTTACGTGCAATCGCTGCATTCCAAAAGGTCACACACAATAGCGTCAAAAACCGCAAAATACTGTCACAAAGACATATAGAATACACTGAAATCCTACCCACCCCGACACCAAGGGGTGGGCAGGAGTTCCTTCTGGTCACGAAACAAGGCTGGAGTCTCCAGACTCAGGTTTTGAGTGTCGTTTGCTGCCAGAAAAAGTACTCTATTCATTCAGCTTCAGCCATCATGTAAAAAGAGGACAAGCTCCCGCGAAACCAAATAACACGATAGGCTAGTTTATATATCCGTGCGCGGGAAAATGTACAATAATCACTACTTAACTTAAGTCATGAATCAATATTAGGAAAACGATTCAATATAATTCATAAAACAAAACTGGATAGTTATCCCTACCCAAATGTGTGTAAACTTGGAAAAAGTGGTAAACTAACTTCTTTCCCTACAGGCGCGGCAACTTTATGAGGTATGCAGTAAGCAACCTACTCGTTGCTACGCAACATAACAAAGTAAAGGTGAAATTAGTCTGGTTCCCAGACCAAAAGATTCTGACTATTCCTGATGAATCTTAGGTCCGGTAGCCTCCGGTAATACATTGTATTACAATTTACATCACGTGACTAAACCGGGAGGAATTCCTCCTTTTTCCGAAAATGTCCGAAGTTTGCCGAATTCATTTCGTCGACAATCGGATAGCGCCCGAGTATTTCCGAGTATAATATAGGTTTAACTAACTGCTAATTGATTTTTAAAAACTTTTTAAAATGAGTTGATCATTAGTATGCATTGCTTTCATTTAGAAAGCTTGAAGTTCAACGACGATTTTGTGCATCAAGTATACCCGGATCGTACGGGCGAACGTTTTGCAGCGTCATGTACTAAAGTTTGAATTTGACGACCGTTACCGAGATTTTCCAAAACTCGGTCTTCATTCGGCTCCGCCGGCTAACAGTGCTATTTGGGTGCCTAATTTTGAAGATTCCAGGTCAAAATTAGTCAACGTTTTCTTACAGAAATATCAAACTGTATTATCATACTAATTGTATGATATATGAAGCAAGTGATATATTTTAAAAATTTGATCAGAACAATAAAAGCTTCAAGTGATAAAGCGAATTCGGAAACGAAGCCGAGCTTTGAAAAAGGGTCGTCAATGTCGTCATGTTTATTTTAAGCCACGGAGGCTGCCTGACCTACAATTTAGACGTGTGGAAGTCGGAGAAAATTGTCAGGTCGGGGAACCAGACTAAGGTGAAATGAACTTCAGAACGTATGCAGATCCCCCACATAAACACTTATACTCACATGCAAATGTTATAAAATCGTAATTTTCCTCAGTTAAAAAAACCCATTAAATTGCAATTATTATATTTTTTTTTATTTGCACGTATCTAGCCTGGCTTGTGCTCAGTAACTGTGTACAAATTCACGTCAGGGAACTCAAATTTAAGCTTTTTGAGAAAAAAACTGATCAACTATATTTTTCAAAACTGCCATATTTTTTGTAACATCACCGATTTCACAGAATTCTGCTAGAAATCCGCTAAAAAGTTCATTCTGCTAAACTTTCTGTCAAACTCGTGTTTTTCGGAAGAATTCTGTCAAATTTAGCCGAACTTTTGCTAAAACGGTCACCCTGCTGGTAGGTTCTTATACAAGCGATGCATCAAGAATACACGGGAATATATTCCCATGCATTCTTAATGCATTGCTTGCATGTGCCCCTTCTAGTTTGCGATGCTTGCCTACCGCACGCATGCACAAGTTCGAATTTTATTAGCGAACGGGTCTGTGCATTGGATCACAGAGGCCTACAATCCTCACGTCTTATATATAACTGCAAAATGTGTAACAGCTAGAATAAGTCTCAACAAACGGACGATTGACAGTGAATGAAGCACTCTCCATAAATTCCGGTTCACTGCCTGTGTTTCGGTCGTCAAACAAACATAACTGGTATCTTTCTCACGAGCGAATGCCATGTCAGAGATGCGGAAACTAATTGGCAAAAATATAGCTCTTCAAAACCGGCCAGTAATTGCGTGCCCATTTTCAGGTCGCATTGTAGGGTTTGGGGGCTTGGTTTTCATATTCCTCGTTCATATCATAACTCCCTTTACCATTTGGAAATGGTAACTGAAACAAATTATCCGAAAATTAACGGCCAGTTTTGGTTTCATCTCGAGGGGGGCACATTTATGCGCGAGGGGGCACATAATGTCCGCAAGAGGGTCACTTGGGTAAAACTGGGGGCAAGTGCCCCCTGCCCCCTCCCCCCCCCCCCCCGCTTCCACCGCCCCTGTCCTCACAATATTCTGTCCTCACAATATTACTTAACTTAAAGTTGCTTAACAAAACCGTTCCTGTTCCGAAATAGATCGACAGTTTAATCCAGTCAGATTCACTTTGGATTTCACTTATCGCTTTGATGAAGTGGTGATATTGACAAGCCACATGCCAAATTCCTTGAATTTGCTCAGTTTCGCTGGGTGACCTCGTATATTAGCGGCATGCATGACTACTGTGGAGTGGTTCTGCTTTTGCCACGATGGGTCGAAAAATGTTGATCCCCATGGAAACAGGTCCTCGTCTAGTATCGTGATATTCACATGTACGGGTTTATCAGCCGTTAACAGTCCGTTCATTACATTTTGATCAGTCGGGAATTTTCCTTTTTTCTTGTTGTTATCCAAAAGTTCGACCCACGTCCTTACGAACTGGATGGTCGCATTGGTCGGTTTCAGGTAAATGAAGCCAGAGCAGAAATGCGTTTTGCTAATTATCCTGGTTTTAGAGAAGCTTCTGAGACTTATGTCAAAGTCTCCCTGAAAGTATGGAAAGGGGTCCCGAAACCAAAACGTGTCCGAATCGGAAAACAGAACCTCCAGGCCTTGCTCTAATAAAGTCAAAATGTAGGCCTGGCGTTTGTTCATAATCCCGTAGTAGTGACTGCCAAGACGACGAGAGGGCTCTATTTCATCCATTTCCCCCGAGTTGGTTTTCTGAACATAAATTGCAGGGTCACCCTTGGCATACTTGAGCAACAGATCGTAAGCCTTCTGATCCTCTGCGATGACTGTGGTGTTGACGCAAGCTCCAATCCGCTTGACACTCTCCAGCATGTTCAGCGCGATATCCACGAAGGCGAGATTTGCCGTAGTCAGCATAACCACGCCGGGTCTCTTCTTGATGTCAGCCAATGTGCAATTGGATAGTTGTCCACGGATCGGCATTAGCAGTTCCCCATTCTGGCGAACAAAAGCCGATTTGTTAAATACTTCTCTTGTGCCGGTTGGTTCGCAATCACATTGTTTTTCAGCGCTCAACTTCCCGACAGGTTTAAGCACAACGGTGGATATGTGAGAGTAATCTGCAAATTAAAGAATTAAAAAAAAATCAAAGAAAGCTTGTTATTCGTATACACGAGTTACAAGCTCAGTGCCCCTGGCCTAAAGTAAGCCCACTAAGTCACATGCATTACCACCGCACAAGTACATAATTTTATCCTCAGCACACTGTAGGTCCCTTGACGTAAATGTGTAACTTTGGCTCGAGTGCATGTACTCCGTATGACACGTTATAATCCGGGTTTATTTTCCCTGCTTAATTTAATTCGTTAAATTCTGTGCAGTTTCATTACTTTCATGTCCCAAATTCTTCAGCTCTAGTTGCGTTTGTGTCCAGTTTGCATTGGACCGAGACAAGATCGAAAGCTGACTTCAGAGCAAGTCGGGACCGAGGTCTTATTCATCCGTGTCCTTTACCAGGACTGTTTCACCCGAGGAATTCAAACGAAAGTTTGAATTTATAAAAAAAAAAGCTTTACCGCGAAACTTTTAGAAAAAGCGCAGTGTGTGGAACAATAGCTTCTATGCCTCCGCCGAAGGCACAAGTATAGAGATGGACCTTACTGCCACGGCAGAAAAACGCTTTTGAAATTGTGGGGCACGATGTGCGAAGCCAGACATCATTTGAAAAAGCGAAAGAAACATTCTTGAGAACCTATTTGCTAAGAGTGAAACAAATTAGGTTTCAGTCATCAGGTGAAGCGTGAGTCTATAGTCGGAGTTGTAATCGAGACAATCACAAGTCAATCGTGACGGGTTTTAAAAAAGTTCAAAGCAAGCAAAGTCACAATTCAATTCAAAGAGGTTGAATTCCACAGGAATACATGTATTTTGATAAGCTTTTTGACTTGGCTTGAGACTGGATGACTTGGGACTGACTTCCGATTACTTTGTTATGGTGTGATGACCAGAATCCAGCTAGAAAGATGTCTCCCTTTTGTTCTCTCATTGTTGTTTTTTTCCATATCTAGCAACAGGATCAGACTCTGCTCATCAGTTTGATATGTCAGTAAATTTGACATTTAAAAATATTGTATACGTATTAACCTGCTATGTTGACAGCGAGTCAAACAATCAATCTTGTTCCACTGCCATGCCTTTATAGGCCTTTATACACGGGCTAGTCAACAACAGTCAGATCACATTTCTTGTAAACAATAGTGAAATTCCATCAACAGACAAAAACAGTAAGGCAATTCTGCTGTAGGTAAACAGTATGCTACTGGCCTTTTAAAAAACAGTCACCTGATTAATTTCGACTTTTGGAATGGCTTTGTTTGGATTTACCGGCCAGAGAGGGGCATGGGCGTCGCCAGAATTGTTGGGGGGGGGGGGGGGGGGTTAAAGCACGTTTTTCCCCAAAATCTTGGTACTTTCTGTAGCATATTCTCAATTGATTTTTTTTTCGAGGGTGGGCGCAGGACATTTACCCACTCCACCGCAATGACATCCCTGCAGACGCCCATATTGCTGTGTATTAAATTAATAGTAACAATTACTTCACACCTCTTCTTTTTTTTTCTTCTTCTTTTTTTTGCTTTTCCGGGGGGGGGGGGGGGGGGGGGCTTGCCCCATCCTGGCGACGCCCATCGAGAGGGGTTATTTGGCTACAACTTTTGACTGGCCTATTGATCTCAATATTACAAGAAAAGGGGTGGCCATTATTTGGGCCTACTTATTATGACTCATTTTTAATTCTATTTTACGTTTTCGTTTCTGTTTGTTTTGGTCGTTGTTCCCCTCACAGTAATGACGTTGGTCACAAACGATTACTGAAGGCAAAAGGTAAAGGGAGCAGGAAACTACCACTCTAGTATAATATCATACAAGCAATTTAGAAAGAGTGAAAACAAACTTTAACAACCACAACAGCGTGACAATGGTAATCACGGCTGATTTCCAAACCAGGAGTTGTCGCATCCAAATCTACAGTTTTATGGAGAAACAATTTCCCTTTTCTCTCTACCTTTACATGTCAGTAATATTGCAAATAATTGTTTTCTTTACATGTCCGTACTATGATTAATTAATGTAAAACCACACTTACTGATGATGAATAGTGTGAAGGCCGCAGACTGAACGAAGAACAGGACTTTAAAGACGTGATCGGAAGCCATCTTGAGTGACCCGTTCAGATCATAACCAGTGGTGGAACCGCAACTGAATTACCAATGAACGCCAAATGACAAGGAAAAAGCCGTGAGCAGCTGAAGGATTTGCACCCACAAGGTCGGCTTATACGGTGCAAACATACAGCTAAACATGCCTATATTAAGTATTAATATACGTCAACGAGCCTTTTTACACGGATCAATATGAGAAAAAAAATATAGAAAACGATTTTTATGTATAGGAAACGATAGCGTCGACACTGCTGTTTAGCATTAGAGACTATACGTGTTGTGCTTGTACCACCGTCGTGTACATGACGTCCATGTAGAATGGCAGACAAAAGTATCACACCACCAATATACCTATCCACTGTATTTTACAGGCTCCAGACTCCAGAAAACACGAACAAAAGACCTTTTCCCCCGAAACTGAAAAGTATGAACATGGGGGTCGTGAGGCGGAACAAAATCGTCCCATTGAAAATGTACAGGGGTTCAAACCTTCGGGTCGTTTTTAATTCCCTTAAATCTATAGTCCATCATTTGCAGCCATCCGAAAAAGTAACTGGCGTATTATTGTTGAAAAACATACTTGGTTGAAAGATAGTAAGTGGACTAAACTCCCTGTGAAATTAATCTTTCTGGCAAGCTATCATTTTGAAGTAATCAACAAAAGAAGGCCTTTCCAACGGTGACGCACCGTAGGAAAATTTAAATTAGTAGTTCGTTTTGTTATTCGGCGCAGCGCGCGCAAGCATTGGAACGACGCACAGGAGGGCGCGGTTGCTATAATTCGTCGGATCAGTGCGCGACATCGCGTATAGCTGCAATTCAAAACAATTCAAAACATGATTCAGCAACTTTTGATTTGAAATTGAGATCCTAGAATGCTGTTTTTCTCAGAATATACAGCTGAAGCTGAGCTGAAACTTCCTCAGGCTAGTTGTTCAGTATCCTTCATTAGATTTTGAACACTTCTGTTGCTTCAAACGAACAAAATGCACAAATTACAAATGATGGACTTTATCTTTAAAACACCGGTTGAACTCGATTCAGTGTAACGCCTTCTCCGTGGCGCGCTTTTCTATTAAATTTTCCAATTTTCCAAAGTTTTCTGACCACATGGCCCGAGTTTCACATCGTGCTCACTCGAACTCGCACACACGATGACAAACGTGTACCGTAATTTTCGGAATATAAGCCGCGGCTTATACGTTGATTTTGCCCAAGAAAATGTTTACTGCGGCTTATACACAGGGCGGCTTATACGCCGAGCCTTGAAGAATAAAAATGAAATTCACATGTGTATTTAATGTACTGGTATAAGAAGAGATATGTTGCTGAAATGAATTAAGAAAGTCATTGAACCGAAACCACGTGCCACGTAAAGGTGCCGAGCGGTAAAAAGTACGGTGAAAGCTGTCTTGATCGACGCTTGCAACAAGCCGTACGTGATTCTAGTGCTGCTGCATGCAGCATGCTTTCCCCAGCGGACCACACCATTTGAGGTAATATAGGGGTGTACTATCTTGGAAACAATAATTACCAATATTTCCGCTGTTTAAAAAAAAGGAAAAAGACGACTAATACTTTTTATGGTGATCGAAACATTTCTGTATTCGATAATCAGTTGTTCAACGTCACAATATAATTTGTGTACTTCGAATGTATTCAAGAAACGATGTAAATCTCAAAACAGGGACTACATCACCCCTAACAAAATTAATGGATTCGTCCATGAAAATGGCAGCATCGTTTTGACTATTTTCGAAGAAAGTTACGATCGAAACTTGAATACTGCTCGTTAGTTATCACAACAAATTGATAAGTTTTGAGATAAAAACGGACCTGTATATTTTTAGGACAAAACAAATCAGCATCTGTTGCCACAGAGCAAGATTTGTACGTAGCGCTCATTGATCTCCATATACACAGACTGGATAGGACATCGCGCCGTGTTTGTGCACGAATGCGCGGCCGAACAATGGCGGCGCGTTTACTGTCAGACGGGTAAACGCGCATTGTGCTTTCACTTTGTTTACTTTGGAAAATTGATTATCGAGCGACATTTTTCTTACAGGAGGGAAATCAAGCGCTCCTCCAAAACCAATCTTAAACTAACTGAACGATGAAGAGTTACCCTCAATCCCTCCAAACAGCTTTTCCACACTTTCTTGATATACACTTTATTATGCATTTTCGAAATTCAAGAACCCCCATTTCCTTTTCCTTTTTTTTTTTAAATCCCTCCTCCTCCCAAAAATGATTGTAAGTAAATTGCCATTTTATTTTTGGCACATTGGTCATTAGAGCACACTGAATTACTCCATCAATGAAATGATTATTGTATTAATAATATGCTGAAATGACATCATATTTTTTAACTGAACACTCACACGAGAAATTGTATGGATATTCATTCAAATGATTGATATATTTATTAAAAACCCGAACATAAATCAATTAGAATCTAAAAGGTAAGGAAAAACCTTAATTTTACAAAGTAATCAGTAAAAACTTCTTCCCGTCCCTAGATTGATCAGGGAATGACATCGTTCACCTCCTGTGATATTGTGTGAAAGGAGATGAATCACAAAGCAAAATTCTATTTTTGTCAAAGAATAATTCAAGCTACGCACGGTCTTGTTTTATAATTAAATGTTTAGCTATACTTCTGAAAATAAATATAATTACTTGTAAGTATAATGGGAATCGTTTTTGTGAGCGAATATGACGGTGTATTAATGGCTATAACTAATAAGCTTATATAACGGCGTACACAATATAATTTCAAACCGTAAAAGTACTCATTGCTTTCTTCACCATACAAACTGTCAATAATGTGTCAGTCATCTTGGAGCTCACAAAAATACTTGCGTTGAACCCCACAGCTTCTTTCCAAAAAGAAAAATCAATCAATCTTAACAGGTTTACATAAAGACTGAATAGATTAAGTCAAACTCTCAGATGCCCATCACATCGCATGTTCCATTCAGTGGATGATATACGGTATTCGATTCCATCCCTCCGTGAAGTTCTCCATTTTCGTCCGTCTCGGAAATCGTCCTGCAGCTGGTAGTTTTTGCTATGGCTTTGCTGAAGTTCTTTGTTTGATATGAAGGTCAATCGGCCGGTTGTGCAGTAATTTAGCATAAACCATCTCCTCGGTTTCTCTTTATAAAGAATAGAAACATTTCGGTAGGCGTTTAAGGCAGACATAATTCAATCAGATTTTGCATATAAAAGTTATAAAAGTTATTTGAATAAACTATTTTAAACAAGTCAACTTTTGTTCATTGCCATTGCCATTGCCGGGTCAGTCATGCACGTTTAGGCCTATGTCTTTTAAAGAAAAATGATGCCGACCAGCATGACACTGACAGGCCTAGACTTATGGAATTTGAACAGAATATCTCGCTATAGCTACCAAACAGGCCTCCATCCCCTCAAACTCACAGCGACATTAACGATATTATAATTTGCTTTGTCGTTCCCATGTTCATATTCCTCCATGCCATGTTGTATAGGCCTCGTTAAAAAAAACAACTTACTTGCGAATAATTGTCCTATTCTTCAACGCTCCTTACTTCCCGACTCCAGCAATCTAATGCTGCGCACACCTTGACTTTACTACTCGTCGATTTTGATCAATTTAGATCTCTGTTTCTTTTATTCTTTCAAAAATGACAAAGAAACCGAAGAAAAGCCAACTTCATTTTTTAATCCTCCGTTCGAAAGTGTACACAATTCGAATGCGAATTTGTGTTCTTTACCCTTTTCAAAAAACGCGCGCGCGGACGCACGTTCGTACGCGATGTCCTATCCAGTCTGTGTATATGGAGATCAATGGTAGCGCTCCAGTCAGACAACACACGCAATGGGGGAAAATCACGGTGGGTTGCATACTCTCTCACGTGCTGCAGGAAAAAGTTGTCTTAGGCCGGCGCGCGGCGCAGGCTGCCGCGCCGGGCGATGTATTAACTTTTACGGCCGGGGACCGGACGGGTCAGCCGGCAGCAATTCCCGGTGGTTATTTCTCATCATCAATTTCCACATTTTTTTGTGAGAGTATCGATTGTAAATGATTTGACACAACTTTTGGAGGCCTTACAAAATTGAAACCGCTGCCGTCGGTGCGGCTTATACGCCGACTTCAAATCTTAATTTGCAGATTTTTGCGTGCTGCGGCTTATACGCCGCGCGGCTTATATTCCGAAAATTACGGGTAGATGCCAACGCAAAAACCGCAAGCAGGAGCATAACTATCATAATACACTAATGTATTCAACTACCAGGAAAACCTTGGCGTTGATTGGTCAATATTGCAACGTTAATATCACGTGTATTTTCACGATCACGTGCCTGACATGTTGTGCGGGCAAGTTGATGCAGTAAACCGTGAGTGAAATCTGTTCAATGACGTCTCAGTTTCGAACACTGGTTTTCGAACAACTTATCAGAACATTTTTTATGTCTTTTTGCACCACGAAGGTACAGAAAATAGCCCCGAAAATGTAAACAAAAATGGTGAACAAGTAAGGCCGATGTACGATACTTCCAAAAAATGGGGAAATCGCCGCGGTGGACAAGTGACTATCGTCACGCGTCATGTTTACCGGCGTGCCGTGGTACGTGACCGGCCGAGGGTGCCATGTCAAACACGGCATGGCAACACACATATGATCACACGGTAAGGGGCTCAGACCACGTGTAGTGAACTTAAAAATGGGAGAGTGAAGGCTCATTTTAGCGCACGGTTTTTGCCGAGGTGGATGTTCTACGTGACCTTAGAAACTCAGATAAACTACTTCGAGTTGAACTTGCTGCACTTTAAACGATGTCTGGACGCTCGGTAGTTTTAACGACCGTTTTAACTGTTACCGCTTTAGCTAACACGGCCAATTTGTCAATGATTTCTCACTTTGTTCTTTTTCAAAAGCATCTAAAATCGTCACAAGTAAATACTATCCGTCACTTTTTTTATGCACAAAATAAAAACTTAAAAATGTTTTGTCCCGTGCGCACGATGTCAAGGCATATTAGCACGGCTCCTTTAGCTTTCCGATTTTCGGAGTGGAAAAAAAAATACCTGTGTTATTCGGGTTACCATCCCAGGCGCGGATCCAGGTGGGGGGTTTTGGGTGTCAAACCCCCCCCCCCCCCAAAAAAAAAAATCTGTCAAAAAAATATCATACGAATTCCTAAAAGATAATGCGAAGCCCCCGGCCCCCCCCCCCCCTGCTGTGACACCCCCAAAAAAATTATACTTGTATAATGTCCGCCTGTTCAAAATACGGTACACAATTTTTTATTCTAGTGTTAATAATCGTCGAATTTGAACAGCACCCCCTATTGAAATATATGGGCCCCGGGGTCTTGCCTAATTAATCAGCAAATCTTTTCACGCGAAATATATTACATAGACTACTTTTCTGGTAGCAGAAAGCAGAAAAGTAGAAAAATGCATTTTAGCAAAACGTTCAATCTGCTTTTCTGCTATTCTGAACCTCCATAACAATAGGTATTGTTTGTTCGTCATGTTTGACTTTCCGGTAGACGCCAGACAGAATAAAACGGCGACTCATTCTGAAGTTAAAGTGGAAGTCTGCAGCGAGGAAAAACCCAGTGCGTCGCCATTTTTACAGTGTAACTATCCTTCAAAGTGTCACATTGACACGTTCACTTGCACGCAGCGCTATAAACAATTGGCTGCATGCAGAAAGGGATCAAAGTGAGCCAAAATAATTTTAAAAAAACCAACAACAACAACAATAAGTGGTAAAACACATTTCACTATACAAGGTTTTCCGACCCGTAACGATGAAATCTCAAGGTCTATCAGCGAAAGGCTGTTTTGTTTATTATTCCATTCATACGAGTATATTAGCGTACATTTGTATAGATGTATTATTGAAAATCACAATGAAATTGATCTGCCAGTGCCTTAAGTTACAATATTGGTCAAAGCATGCTTTAACTCTTTCAGTGCCCACGAAATTTGAAAAGTTTAACCCTAAAGTGCCTAACTTCGAGCGTTTTTTTAATTGTTCAAAATTCTGTAAAAAAAAAAAAGTAAATAAGTTTTACTCGCTAAATCTGTTCTTGTTGCTCTCTGGTATATCCTTGGTATATTGGAAAGTCAATGGTACTCCACATACATAGTGATACACCCTGAAACACTGTCCTGCACACAGGGGAATTCCGTACTTTTTGCAGAAAATACGAGTGTCAGTGCTGCGCCCTCTCGCAAGAACTCGAATGAAACAAATAAATACAGGTCGTACCTGAACAAAGATGATATTATTAGAAAGAGCGAGAGCGCCCCTTGTGATAACATGCTTACTCTACCTCGTACATTTGTACATGTACGAAGTTTGGCGATTTTAAGTACGAACATTACCTCGTACATGTACGAGGTTGGCAATTTCGAGCTAACAAATATACCTGGTATATGTACGACTTTGGTACTGTCGGATAATGTATGTTTTTACAAACATTCCTTAAGCTTTGTGATATCATCATAGATGGGTTTTGTATCGATAACCACCAAAAAATGACGAATTGAGTTAAGTCACCACGGTATCCAAAGGCAGATTACCCTGACAAAAGCTACTCGTATCAGGTAGACGATATTCAGGTATTAGGCCTACATAAGTTGTAGGTTTCACTTTGGAAAGTCTGTGGACGGTACCCAGAATAGGCAAAAGCTTTATAGTCATTGGCCCTATGTATATATACTAGCATGTGCGGCAAGCAATATCGCCTTTGTAACTTCTGGAGGAATCTGAGGCGTTCATTTTAATCTCTTAAAGAAAATTTAGAGTGTTTTTCCTCACTGTTTGCCTTATTTTACTGTGGTATAACCCAACGACAAAATATTTCTGGACGATTGGGACACGTTACAAATTAAAAACAGACGAAAGCAGATATTTTGAATTGTCCTCCTTGACGGCGTTTGTTATTGGCCAGTTATAAACTGTTTTCGACGGTGTTTAAAAGGCGAGTTAAAAACAACCACGTGACGAGCTCTTGACCAATAGGAATGACATGGTAATGTATTATTTCTTTGAAGTATGTTCACACTGAATAACGAAATTAGATCTACTGATCATATCTAATGCAACTATCGTTCTAAAAACGTCAGTGAAGGGCAAAACCTAATTTGATTTATATCACCCCGACGCAAAATTCCATCTTATAATAGTTAATGCGGTACCCGCTGCTATGTACATCAGATTCGAGCCGGCCACCCGATCCCGTTAGCTCGGTGGTCGAGTGGTAAGACATATGCACTAGAAAGCAGGACGGTCGAGGGTTCGAGTCCCAACCGAGTGATTTTTTCCAACTTTCACTCGGGAGGTAACACACTGAGTATACAGTTTTTAAAAACGTCGGTGAAGGGCAAAACCTAATTTGATTTATATCACCCCGACGCAAAATTCCATCTTATAATAACTATCGTTCTGCTCCTGACCCTTACTCTTCCTATAACCTCTAAAATTCTTGGTTAACAATTTACTTTGCGAAATGTAAACACCACTAAACTGGCATCCTCCCTAATTGAGTTATATTAAAAACAATGATTTCTATCAAACACTTAAAGGAACCCAGGACTACCAGTAAGAAGAACTGACATCATATTGACAAAACTGAAAGCCTGTGCAAATGAGTCACGAAGCAGACTATTTTGTGATAAAGGCAAAACCCGTGTGACTTAACTCTCCAGGAAAATATGATCACGTCGTAGCAACTAAGCATGTTCTCTATGTTCGATTTTACAAAGTTCTCTATAGGTAAATGCATCCATGCACTTAGAAAACCTTCCGTTATCACCGAGAATTAAAAGTTAAAACACGCGGCAAGAACTGATCTGGTAGGTACTTATTTCCATGCATTCTTAATGCATAGCTTGCATGTACCGCACGCTTTCGCATGTTCGAATTTTGTTAGCGAACGGGTCTTTGCATGGGAACACCGAGGCCTACAATCCTCGTGTCTAATAACTGCGAAATTTGTAACAGCAAACTGACTATTGACACGAAATGAAACACTCTCACTAAATTCAGGTTCACTTCCTGTGTTTCTGTCGCCAGTCATGGGACTGCAACAAATGCATTCCTTTGTCATTGTTTGTGCCCCGTTACTCGTGGCTGGTCTTGTCAATGGTCGCGTGCTTGCTCCAAAATGATTGGTCTTTTTCCTGTCTCAACTACAATACTGGAAAGGACGTAAATTGCAGGTTATTATGTCCGATCCATGTTCACGTACAAGTTATACACTGTAAAAAATAATGGGTAAAACACTGTTGGGCAATATAATTTTACCCAACATTGGTTTGAAATTACTAAATTTGGGTAAACATTTTCCAACAATTGGGAAAAATTCGCCCTAGAGTTTAACCTGTTGATATGTTGATCAACGTTGGTCTACATATCAACCCACTTTGCCCAACGTGTTTACAGTGTACATCATGAACAAAGCCAACAGACTCAGATGATGCCCCTCCCCGTTCCAATACCTCACTCAACTGGTCCCTCACAATTTTACAAGAACTCGAAGTCGCTCATCAAAACCGTTCCAGTTTCGAAATGGATCGACAGTTTAATCCAGTCAGATTCACTTTGGATTTCACTTATCGCTTTGATGAAGTGGTGACATTGACAAGCCACATGCCAAATTCCTTGAATTTGCTCAGTTTCGCTGGGTGACCGCGTATATTAGCGGCATGCATGACTACTGTGGAGTGGTTCTGCTTTTGCCACGATGGGTCGAAAAATGTAGATCCCCATGGAAACAGGTCCTCGTCTAGTATCGTGATATTCACATGTACGGGTTTATCAGCCGTTAACAGTCCGTTCATTACTCTTTGATCAGGCGGGAATTCTCCCTTTTTCTTGTTGTTATCCATAAGTTCGACCCACGTCCTTACGAACTGGATGGTCGCATTGGTCGGTTTCAGGTAAATGAAGCCAGAGCAGAAATGCGTTTTGCTAATTATCCTTGTTTTAGAGAAGCTTCTGATACTTATGTCAAAGTCTCCCTGAAAGTATGGAAAGGGGTCCCGAAACCAAAACGTGTCCGAGTCGGAAAACAGAACCTCCAGGCCTTGCTCTAATAAAGTCAAAATGTAGGCCTGGCGTTTGTTCATAATCCCGTAGTAGTGACTGCCATGACGACGAGAGGGCTCTATTTCATCCATTTCCCCCGAGTTGGTTTTCTGAACATAAATTGCAGGGTCACCCTTGGCATACTTGAGCAACAGATCGTAAGCCTTCTGATCCTCTGCGATGACTGTGGTGTTGACGCAAACTCCAATCCTCTTGACACTCTCTAGCATGTTCAGCGCGATATCCACGAAGGCGAGATTTGCCGTAGTCAGCATAACCACGCCGGGTCTCTTCTTGATGTCAGCCAATGTGCAATTGGACAGTTGTCCACGGATCGGCATTAGCAGTTCCCCATTCTGGCGAACAAAAGCCGATTTGTTAAATACTTCTCTTGTGCCGGTTGGTTCGCAATCACATTGTTTTTCAGCACTCAACTTCCCGACAGGTTTAAGCACAACGGTGGATATGTGAGAGTAATCTGCAAATTAAAGAATTAAAAAAAATCAAAGAAAGCTTGTTACTCGTATACACGAGTTACAAGCTCAGTGCCCCTGGCCTAAAGTAAGCCCACTAAGTCACATGCATTACTACGGCGCTCCATGAGTGCCATCCACTTCTTTATTTCCTCAAATAATTTATCACGTCATGTTGACATACCGCCGAGAGTAAGGCGACTTAATCACATAATTGTATCGCTAAGTCGACTTACCGAAGTCAACTTGACGACTTGTCCAGATGCATTATCTCTCCAAGTCGACTTCCGTAAGTCGACATGACGACTTGTCCAGATGTATTATTTCGTCAAGTCGACTTTCCGAAGTCGAGATGACGACTTGTCCAGATGTATTAACTCGCCAAGTTGACTTCTCGAAGTCGAGATGACGACTTGTCCAGATGTATTATCTCGCCAAGTTGACTTCTCGAAGTCGAGATGACGATTTGTCCAGATGAAATATCTCGCTAAGTCGACTTCCTGAAGTCGAGATGACAACTTGTCGAGATAAATTATCTTGCCAAGTCGACTTACGATGTGAAGATGATGACATGCAAAAATCTCGTCCTGCATGGATATCCCGTCGTTGAAGCACTGTCGTGGATTCTCTCATGTTCGTCGGTGCATTTGAGGTTTCCCCACCCGTTCTTATATGAACAATAAACTGTCAGATGAACAAGAGATAAACTGTAGGGTATTGACATGATCTGGGTCGAAGTTGATTTGTGTTTTCTTTATTTTCAACTTGCTTTCAATTACTCCCCAAGCTTCGTAGGAAATCACACCTCTGCCTTGTTTTCCCCTATTTATCCCGTTGAAAAGTAATTCACTTCACGTGAAACATTAACAATCATAAATTTACAAAAAATGTCTTTATTGACAGGTTGCCTAAAAATGACACTTACAAATTCAAGATTTGCTTTAAATCATATTGAGATCATATTTAGGATAAAACGACTCTCACGGCTTAAATTGGAATATCGAAAAATTAGCAAAACTCTTGTCTGATATATTTAATAAAAAATCACTATAAAAGCTCTTATTGCCATTATTAAATCTGGGGAATGAAGACAAAGACAAATTTGTGTTAATTTCAATATTTTAAATGGAGAGCGCCGGGGGGGGGGGCATTTGTTGCAGGACATTATATTATTTTACATTTCGTTCGGAAAAGAAAAATCGAAATTTTGAAAAAGCACGTAAATAATTATACCAACAATAACCTTTCAAATTCCCAAAACTATACAATCATGCGTTGTATGTTCGTCAAGCTTAACATCTTTTCCATTGATGATTATACCCAAACGCTTTGCATCAAAGCAACAATACCTTTTCAATAAAAACACTCTTAAGAACATCATTAATCATCCGTCTTTGTGCCGCTTCATGTGTGGAAAGGAAAAAGACGAGCAGACGTTTTGAATTTTTATGAACATCAACAAAAGAGACACAACCATTAGTTGCCTCTGCACGCCGCATTTTGATCAAATTTTCAGTCTCGGTGTCGTCGGGTATTAGTTTCTAGGAATGCTATTTAATAATTAAGAAATATCAAGTCCGTTTGCGAAAATAATTTACACGTTTCAAAATGTACCACAAACGTATTGACACTCAACTTTCCTTAGTTCTAATTTTACATGTCTTTGTGTGTGTTTACTCGACTAAACCACAGATGTCGCCGGTTTGATGCCCCATGAGTTTGTAAGCTGGATAAATACAATCTACAAAGAAATAAATGTCGTCGAATTGTTTGGTTTGTTGTTTTATATTTTGAGAACATCATAATGATGTAAATAATAGTTGAAGACTTATTTTGAGGTAAAATCAAATGTTCTTGTGGCAATAAACAAAAGACAAGTCAAGCCTAGCCAAGCTTTTCCCAAATTATAAAAAAATTATATTCAACTGGTTCCGAATGGCTATTCAATTGAGGCCTTTGGGTGCATCTGTGTACACAATAGACCATTCGTGTGACGTTACGGGGTAATCCTGTACAATAGTACTGCCCAGCGCCCCTACTCCGACACCCCGAGAAATTATACTGGTATTATACGCCTTTCCCCACAATACGGACAGAACCTGCTGGGTTAGGGGGTATTTGTACATCCCGTAACATATTGTTAATAATCGTCGGATTTGAACAGCGACCGCTTTAAAAGTATGGTACGAGCCACCCCCCCCCCCCTATTGATTTTAAGGAGCCAAGTGTCCGGACAAAAAACCCTGTCTACATTTCAGCATTGATTTGCTGATGAACCCCCACCCCCCCCCGACAATTCCTGGTTCCCCCCCCCCCCCCCCCCCCCCCCCCCCCATTGTTGTTGTGCATATACGGCAATTATTATTGTCTACAAGGTGATTCAAAATGCAATCAAATGTGATACACAAATTTGATACAATGAAGTATGTCTAATAAGAGCATGTTCTTCCACTCATCTGAAAAAAGCAGTTACTGATATTGATCTATGCCAACAGACGTTATGCATGTTTTACTTAAAGGAAGCATTTTTATAGCTTTCCTTGGAGTGCCATTGAGCGTAGTGATAATACACACAAGCATTCATTAAAATGAGATATTAATAATTGAAATCAAGACCATTGTTTTTACTGTCAGTTGTAATGGTTTGCATATGAGGAACAAGTCAACTCTTTTTCTTCTGAAACGTTGTTAGCGATATAAAAATCCTTTGCAAGTTCTCGTTCATTCATCGAGGTGGGAAAACGTCCATGTTTCATAATACTCAATGTGTATTAACCAGTTCGTAGAATTATCAGAGGTTGACAGCCGAGTTTTTGTGATTTTTTATTCAACTAGACATAACGTGAGATTTGAAGGTTTGCATGCTGGAAAGATACTAAGACAAGAAAAGTTTGCGGTAGCACCATGTGAATAACATTCTCCTGACGACGGGCAGAGCATACTGTTCGAAACGTTGAGTCCCCGGCTCTTTTCAGAACCACACATACTCACAAAAGAGATTTATTCACATGGTGCTACCGCAAACTTATCTTGTTTTAGACATAACACGGGAATAAAGTATGCAAATGACGTGAAATGTTCACAGTTAAAAGTCAATAAGATGTACTTTATCCTTTTTTTTTCATAATGAAATTGAGCAAGCCGAATATTTTTAAATATTTTCAAATTCAGTCATTTTCTTTTTTGACTCCCCTGCAAGGAGAAGCCGGTAGAAAGCCTTGCGAATCGGTATCGGCTGAGCACCGCATGCATGGTTGTATACACGGTAGCCTCATCAGTATCCTGTACTCTGAAACCGACCACTCGCGGTTTGCATCATGTCCTATTAGCCAATATATTCGGCTTTTCCAAAAGAGAGACTGACAACAACATTCCAAAGGGAAAACGTTTCTTTTGCGCAACTCACAGGCAGGTGTGATAAAAGTATAATATTGTCGAATTAGCCGGTTATGCTGTAAAATATGACCGGCGTTTGCATGGTGATAAAGGAAGGATATTAAAACACATGCTGACATATATTTACAGTTATAATTCTTTTTCATTTCTTGAAAAAAAGGTAAAACATACTGGTACTATCAGTGGCGTAACTGGGTTGTGCGCCCCCCCCCCACAACAAATGTCCGTGCCGTACCCCCCCCCCCCCCCCCGCCCGGCGCTCCCCGTTTAAAATCTTTAAATGAAAAAAAATGTGTCATTTGCCTTCAGTGCCCCCTTAAAAATTGTGTGCACCCATGTGCCCCCCCCCACCCACCCATCGGAATTAGGTTAAACCTCACGCCACTGACTGTTAATACCTATGAACAAAGTACTCTCTTTTAACGTCTTCCACCTGGTGTCTTACGTCAAAGAGGAAAGTATCATTAACTTATTAATAGGGAAATCGTTTAGGTTCTTGGGAATTTGGATTACATATTTGACAAAATATCATTCTTCCCGAGGGATCTTCTCAGCCTTAACGATTTAGGTCGATTTGGGATCTAAAATCGCTTGTAATTTCATACTTCATGACATCAGAATAACGTCACAGTAATATTGAGGCCGATGTCTCATTCAAAAGTGAACAACTTCTATATTGCTAGGAACGGAACTTTATCATAATGTGATGATCACAGTGTGATTTTAGTGTTCTGAGGCTAATCATAAGCTAATGTCCTTTATAAAACATTGATTTAGTGTTGACAATAAGAGTTTTTATAGTGATACCTTTATCAAATCATTTCTCGTAATATACCAGACAAGAGTTTTGCTAAATTTCCGATATTCCAATTTAAGCCATGAGAGTCGTTTTATCTTAAATATGATCTCAATATGATTAAAAACAAATCTTGAATTTGTTAGTGTCATTTAAGAAAGCAACAAGTTTTATGCAACCTGTCAATAAAGACATTTTTGGGAATTTGTGATTGTTAATGTTTCACGTGAAGTGAATTACTTTTCAACGGGATAAATAGGGGAAAACAAGGCAGAGGGTGTGATTTCCTACGAAGCTTGGGGGAGTAATTTAAAACAAGATAAAAATAAAAAAACAAAAATCAACTTCGACCCAGATCAAATCAATACCCTACAGTTTATCTCTTGTTCCTCTGCCAGTTTATTGTTCATATAAGAACGGGTGGGGGAAACCTCAAATGCACCGACGAACAAGAAAGAATCCATGACAATGCTTCAAAAAACGGGATATCCATGCAGAACGAGATTTTTGCATGTCATCATCTCCACATCGTAAGTCGACTTGGCAAGATAATTTATCTCGACAAGTTGTCATCTCGACTTCAGGAAGTCGACTTAGCGAGATATTTCATCTGGACAAGTCGTCATCTCGACTTCGAGAAGTCAACTTGGCGAGATAATACATCTGGACAAGTCGTCATCTCGACTTCGGAAAGTCGACTTGACGAGATAATACATCTGAACAAGTCGTCATGTCGACTTATGGAAGACGACTTGGAGAGATAATGCATCTGGACAAGTCACCAAGTCGACTTCGGTAAGTCGACTGGGCGATACAATTATGTGATTAAATCGCCTTACTCTCGGCGATATGTCAACATGACGTGATGAATTATCTGAGTAAATAAAGAAGTGGATGGCACTCATGGAGCGCCGTACATTGCCACCGCGCAAGTACATAATTTTATCCTCAGCACACTGTAGGTCCCTTTGACGTAAATGTGTAATTTTAGCTCGAGTGCATGTACTCCGTATTTTCCCTGCTTAATTTATTTCGTAAAATTCTGTGCAGTCTCATTACTTTCATGTCCCAAATTCTTCAGCTCTAGTTGCGTTTGTGTCCAGTTTGCATTGGACCGAGACAAGATCGAAAGCTGACTTCAGAGCAAGTCGGGACCGAGGTCTTATTCATCCGTGTCCATTACCAGGACTGTTTCACCCGAGGAATTCAAACGACAGTTTGAATTTATAAAAAAATGCTTTACCGCGAAACTTTTAGATTAATCGCAGTGTGTGGAACAAAAGCTTCTATGCCTCCGCCGAAGGCACAAGTATAGAGATGGACCTTACTGCCACGGCAGAAAAACGCTTTTGAAATTGTGGGGCACGATGTGCGAAGCCAGACATCATTTGAAAAAGCGAAAGAAACATTCTTGAGAACCTATTTGCTTAGAGTGAAACAAATTAGGTTTCAGTCATCAAGTGAAGCGTGAGTCTATAGTCGGAGTTGTAATCGAGACAATCACAAGTCAATCGTGACGGGTTTTTAAAAAAGTTCAAAGCAAGCAAAGTCACAATTCAGTTCAAAGAGGTTGAAACAGGAATACATGTATTTTGATAAGCTTTTTGACTTGGCTTGAGACTGGATGACTTGGGACTGACTTCCGATTGCTTTGTTATGGTGTGATGACCAGAATCCAGCTAGATAGATATCTCCCTTTTGTTCTCTCACTGTTTGTTTGTTTGTTTGTTTTTTTGTTTTTTTGTTTTTTTCCATATGTAGCAACAGGATCAGACTCTGCTCATCAGTTTGATATGTCAGTAAATGTGACATTTAAAAATATTGTATACGTATTAACCTGCTATGTTGACAGCGAGTCAAACAATCAATCTTGTTCCGCTGCCATGCCTTTATAGGCCTTTATACACGGGCTAGTCAACAACAGTCAGATCACATTTCTTGTAAACAATAGTGAAATTCCATCAACAGACAAAAACAGTAAGGCAATTCTGCTGTAGGTAAACAGTATGCTAATGGCCTTTAAAAAACAGTCACCTGATTAATTTCGACTTTTGGAATGGCTTTGTTTGGATTTACCGGCCAGAGAGGGGCATGGGCGTCGCCAGAATTTTTCGGGGGGGGGGGTGTTAAAGCACGTTTTTTCCCAAAATCTTGGTACTTTCTGTAGCATATTCTCAATTTTTTTTTTTTTTTTTTTTTTTTCGAGGGTGGGCGCAGGACATTTACCCACTCCATGCACCCCATTGACATCCCTGCAGACGCGCATATTGATTGTGAATTAAATTAATAGTAACAATTACTTCACACCTCTTCTTTTTTTTTCTTTTTCTTTTTTGCTTTTCCGGGGGGGGGGGGCTTGCCCCATCCTGGCGACGCCCATCGAGAGGCTATTAGGCTACAACTTTTGACTGGCCTATTGATCTCAATATTACAAGAAAAGGGGGTGGCCATTATTTGGGCCTACTTATTATGACTCATTTTTAATTCTATTTTACGTTTTTGTTTCTGTTGTTGTTGTTTTGGTCGTTGTTCCCCTCACAGTAATGACGTTGGTTACAAACGATTACTGAAGGCAAAAGGTAAAGGGAGCAGGAAACTACCACTCTAGTATAATATCATACAAGCAATTTAGAAAGAGTGAAAACAAACTTGAACAACCACAACAGCGTGACAATGGTAATCACGGCTGATTTCCAAACCAGGAGTTGTCGCATCCAAATCTACAGTTTTATGGAGAAACAATTTCCCTTTTACATGTCAGTAATATTGCAAATAATTGTTTTCTTTACATGTCCGTACTTTGATTAATTATTGTAAAAGCACACTTACTGATGATGAATAGTGTGAAGGCCGCAGACTGAATGAAGAACAGGACTTTAAAGACGTGATCGGAAGCCATCTTGACTGACCCGTTCAGATCATAACCAGTGGTGGAACCGCAACTGAATTACCAATGAACGCCAAATGACAAGGAAAAAGCCGTGAGCAGCTGAAGGATTTGCACCCACTAGGTCGGCTTACACGGTGCGAACATACAGCTAAACATGCCTATATTAAGTATTAATATACGTCAACGAGCCTTTTTACACGGATCAATATGAGAAAAAAGCATACAGAAAACGATTTTTATGTATAGGAAACGATAGCGTCGACACTGCTGTTTAGCATTAGAGACTATACGTGTTGTGCTTGTACCACCGTCGTGTACATGACGTCCATGTAGAATGGCAGACAAAAGTATCACACCACCAATATACCTATCCACTGTATTTTACAGGCTCCAGACTCCAGAAAACACGCACAAAAGACCTTTTCACCCGAAACTGAAAAGTATGAACATGGGGGTCGTGAGGCGGAACAAAATCGTCCCATTGAAAATGTACAGGGGTTCAAACCTTCGGGTCGTTTTAAATTCCCTTAAATCTATAGTCCATCATTTGCAGCCATCCGAAAAAGTAACTTGCGTATTATTGTTGAAAAACATACTTGGTTGAAAGATAGTAAGTGGACTAAACTCCCTGTGAAATTAATCTTTCTGGCAAGCTATCATTTTGAAGTAATCAACAAAAGAAGGCCTTTCCAACGGTGACGCACCGTAGGAAAATTTAAATTAGTAGTTCGTTTTGTTATTCGGCGCAGCGCGCGCAAGCATTGGAACGACGCACAGGAGGGCGCGGTTGCTATAATTCGTCGGATCAGTGCGCGACATCGCGTATAGCTGCAATTCAAAACAATTCAAAACATGATTCAGCAACTTTTGATTTGAAATTGAGATCCTAGAATGCTGTTTTTCTCAGAATATACAGCTGAAGCTGAGCTGAAACTTCCTCAGGTTAGTTGTTCAGTATCCTTCATTAGATTTTGAACACTTCTGTTGCTTCAAACGAACAAAATGCACAAATTACAAATGATGGACTTTATCTTTAAAACACCGGTTGAACTCGATTCAGTGTAACGCCTTCTCCGTGGCGCGCTTTTCTATTAAATTTTCCAATTTTCCAAAGTTTTCTGGCCACATGGCCCGAGTTTCACATCGTGCTCACTCGAACTCGCACACACGATGACAAACGTGTACCGTAATTTTCGGAATATAAGCCGCGGCTTATACGTTGATTTTGCCCAAGAAAATGTTTACTGCGGCTTATACACAGGGCGGCTTATACGCCGAGCCTTGAAGAATAAAAATGAAATTCACATGTGTATTTAATGTTCTGGTATAAGAAGAGATATGTTGCTGAAATGAATTAAGAAAGTCATTGAACCGAAACCACGTGCCACGTAAAGGTGCCGAGCGGTAAAAAGTACGGTGAAAGCTGTCTTGATCGACGCTTGCAACAAGCCGTACGTGATTCTAGTGCTGCTGCATGCAGCATGCTTTCCCCAGCGGACCACACCATTTGAGGTAATATAGGGGTGTACTATCTTGGAAACAATAATTACCAATATTTCCGCTGTTTAAAAAAAAGGAAAAAGACGACTAATACTTTTTATGGTGATCGAAACATTTCTGTATTCGATAATCAGTTGTTCAACGTCACAATATAATTTGTGTACTTCGAATGTATTCAAGAAACGATGTAAACCTCAAAACAGGGACTACATCACCCCTAACAAAATTAATGGATTCGTCCATGAAAATGGCAGCATCGTTTTGACTATTTTCGAAGAAAGTTACGATCGAAACTTGAATACTGCTCGTTAGTTATCACAAAAAATTGATAAGTTTTGAGATAAAAACGGACCTGTATATTTTTAGGACAAAACAAATCAGCATCTGTTGCCACAGAGCAAGATTTGTACGTAGCGCTCCAGTCAGACAACACACGCAATGGGGGAAAATCACGGTGGGTTGCATACTCTCTCACGTGCTGCAGGAAAATGTTGTCACAGGCCGGCGCGGCGCAGGCTGCCGCGCCGGGCGATGTATTAACTTTTACGGCCGGGGACCGGACGGTCAGCCGGCAGCAATTCCCGGTGGTTATTTCTCATCATCAATTTCCACATTTTTTTGTGAGAGTATCGATTGTAAATGATTTGACACAACTTTTGGAGGCCTTACAAAATTGAAACCGCTGCCGTCGGTGCGGCTTATACGCCGACTTCAAATCTTAATTTGCAGATTTTTGCGTGCTGCGGCTTATACGCCGCGCGGCTTATATTCCGAAAATTACGGGTAGATGCCAACGCAAAAACCGCAAGCAGGAGCATAACTATCATAATACACTAATGTATTCAACTACCAGGAAAACCTTGGCGTTGATTGGTCAATATTGCAACGTTAATATCACGTGTATTTTCACGATCACGTGCCTGACATGCTGTGCGGGCAAGTTGATGCAGTAAACCGTGAGTGAAATCTGTTCAATGACGTCTCAGTTTCGAACACTGGTTTTCGAACAACTTATCAGAACATTTTTTATGTCTTTTTGCACCACGAAGGTACAGAAAATAGCCCCGAAAATGTAAACAAAAATGGTGAACAAGTAAGGCCGATGTACGATACTTCCAAAAAATGGGGAAATCGCCGCGTTGGACAAGTGACTATCGTCACGCGTCATGTTTACCGGCGTGCCGTGGAACGTGACCGGCCGAGGGTGCCATGTCAAACACGGCATGGCAACACACATATGATCACACGGTAAGGGGCTCAGACCACGTGTAGCGAACTTAAAAATGGGAGAGTGAAGGCTCATTTTAGCGCACGGTTTTTGCCGAGGTGGATGTTCTACGTGACCTTAGAAACTCAGATAAACTACTTCGAGTTGAACTTGCTGCACTTTAAACGATGTCTGGACGCTCGGTAGTTTTAACGACCGTTTTAACTGTTACCGCTTTAGCTAACACGGCCAATTTGTCAATGATTTCTCACTTTGTTCATTTTCAAAAGCATCTAAAATCGTCACAAGTAAATACTATCCGTCACTTTTTTTATGCACAAAATAAAAACTTAAAAATGTTTTGTCCCGTGCGCACGATGTCAAGGCATATTAGCACGGCTCCTTTAGCTTTCCGATTTTCGGAGTGGAAAAAAAAATACCTGTGTTATTCGGGTTACCATCCCAGGCGCGGATCCAGGTGGGGGGTTTTTTGGGTGTCAACCCCCCCCCCCCCCCAAACTCTGTCAAAAAAAATATCATACGAATTCCTAAAAGATAATGCGAAGCCCCCCGCCCCCCCCCCCCCCCCGCCCTGCTGTGCCACCCCAAAAAATTTATACTTGTATAATGTCCGCCTGTTCAAAATACGGTACACAATTTTTTATTCTAGTGTTAATAATCGTCGAATTTGAACAGCGCCCCCTATTGAAATATATGGACCCCGGGGTCTTGCCTAATTAATCAGCAAATCTTTTCACGCGAAATATATTACATAGACTACTTTTCTGGTAGCAGAAAGCAGAAAAGTAGAAAAATGCATTTTAGCAAAACGTTCAATCTGCTTTTCTGCTATTCTGAACCTCCATAACAATAGGTATTGTTTGTTCGTCATGTTTGACTTTCCGGTAGACCCAGACAGAATAAAACGGCGACTCATTCTGAAGTTAAAGTGGAAGTATGCAACGAGGAAAAACCCAGTGCGTCGCCATTTTTACAGTGTAACTATCCTTCAAAGTGTCACATTGACACGTTCACTTGCACGCAGGGCTATAAACAATTGGCTGCATGCAGAAAGGGATCAAAGTGAGCCAAAATAATAAAATTAAAAAATAAAAAAACAACAACAACAACAATAAGTGGTAAAACACATTTCACTATACAAGGTTTTGTAACGATGAAATCTCAAGGTCTATCAGCGAAAGGCTGTTTTGTTTATTATTCCATTTATACGAGTATATTATCGTACATTTGTATAGATGTATTATTGAAAAGCACAATGAAATTGATCTGCCAGTGCCTTAAGTTACAATATTGGTCAAAGCATGCTTTAACTCTTTCAGTGCCCGCGAAATTTGAAAAGTTTAACCCTAAATTGCCCAACTTCGAGGATTTTTTGTAATTGTTCAAAATTCTGTAAAAAAAAAAGTAAACAAGTTTTACTCACTAAATTTTTTTCTTGTTGCTCTCTGGTATATCCTTGGTATATTGGAAAGTCAATGGTAGTCACATACATAGTGATACACCCTGAAACACTGTCCTGCACACAGGGGAATTCCGCACTTTTTGCAGAAAATACGAGTGTCAGTGCTGCGCCCTCTCGCAAGAACTCGAATGAAACAAATAAATACAGGTCGTACCTGAATAAAAATGATATTATTAGAAAGAGCGAGAGCGCCCCTTGTGATAACATTCTTACTCTACCTCGTACGTGTACGAAGTTTGGCGATTTTAAGTACGAAGATTACCTCGTACATGTACGAAGTTGGCAATTTCGAGCTAACAAATATACCTCGTATATGTACGACTTTGGTACTGTCGGATAATGTATGTTTTTAAAAAATGTTTGTAACATTCCTTAAGCTTTGTGATATCATCATAGATGGGTTTTGTACCGATTACCACCAAAAAAACGTCAAATTGAGTTAAGTCACCACGGTATTCAAAGGCAGATTACCCTGACAAAAGCTACTCGTATCAGGTAGACGATATTCAGGTTTCGTTGTTTATTTTCAAATATATTGTGAATACACAGTGCATGTACATAAGTTGTAGGTTTCATTTTGGAAAGTCTGTGACGGTACCCAAAATAGGCAAAAGCTTTATAGTCATTGGCCCTATGTATATATACTAGCATGTGCGGCAAGCAATATCGCCTTTGTAACTTCGAGAGGAATCTAAGGCGTTCATTTTAAGAAAATTTAGAGTGTTTTTCCTCACTGTTTGCCTTATTTTACTGTGGTATTGGGACACGTTACAAATTAAAAACAGACGAAAGCAGATATTTTGAATTGTCCTGACTCCTTGGCGGCGTTTGTTACTGGCCAGTTATAAACTGTTTTCGGCGGTGTTTAAAAGGTGAGTTAAAACAACCACATGACGAGCTCTTGACCAATAGGAATGAAATTGTAATGTATTATTTCTTTGAAGTATGTTCACACTGAATAACGAAATTAGATCTACTGATCATATATAAAGCAACTATCGTTCTGCTTCTGACCCCTACTCTTCCTATAACCTCTAAAATTCTTAATTAACAAGTTACTTTGCGAAATGTAAACACCACTAAACTGGCATCCTCCGTAATTGAGTTATATTAAAAACAATGAGTTCTATCAAACATTTAAAGGAACCCAGGACTACCAGTAAGAAGAACTGACATCATATTGACAAAACTGAAAGCCTGTGCAAATGAGTCACGAAGCAGACTATTTTGTGATAAAGGCAAAAACCGTGTGACTTAACTCTCCAGGAAAATATGATCACGTCGTAGCAACTAAGCATGTTGTCTATGTTCGATTTTACAAAGTTCTCTATAGGTAAATGCATCCATGCACTTAGAAAACCTTCCGTTATCACCGAGAATTAAAAGTTAAAACACGCGGCAAGAACTGATCTGGTAGGTACTTATTTCCATGCATTCTTAATGCATAGCTTGCATGTACCGCACGCTTTCGCATGTTCGAATTTTGTTAGCGAACGGGTCTTTGCATGGGAACACCGAGGCCTACAATCCTCGTGTCTAATAACTGCGAAATTTGTAACAGCAAACTGACTATTGACACGAAATGAAACACTCTCAATAAATTCAGGTTCACTTCCTGTGTTTCTGTCGCCAGTCAAGGGACTGCAACAAATGCATTCCTTTGTCATTGTTTGTGCCCCGTTACTCGTGGCTGGTCTTGTCAATGGTCGAATGCTTGCTCCAAAATGATATTGTGTTTGGTCTTCTTCCTGTCTCAACTACAATACTGGAAATGACGTAAATTGCGGGTTATTAAGTCCGATCCATGTTCACGTACAAGTTATACACTGTAAAAAATAATGGGTAAAACACTGTTGGGCAATATAATTTTACCCAACATTGGTTTGAAATTACTAAATTTGGGTAAACATTTTCCAACAATTGGGAAAAATTCGCCCTAGAGTTTAACCTGTTGATAAGTTGACCAACGTTGGTCTACATATCAACCCACTTTGCCCAACGTGTTTACAGTGTACATCATGAACAAAGCCAACAGACTCAGATGATGCCCCTCCCCGTTCCAATACCTCACTCAACTGGTCCCTCACAATTTTACAAGAACTCGAAGTCGCTCATCAAAACCGTTCCAGTTCCGAAATAGATCGACAGTTTAAGCCAGTCAGATTCACTTTGGATTTCACTTATCGGTTTGATGAAGTGGTGACATTGACAAGCCACATGCCAAATTCCTTGAATTTACTCAGTTTCGCTGGGTGACCGGGTATATTAGCGGCATGCATGACTACTGTGGAGTGGTTCTGCTTTTGCCACGATGGGTCGAAAAATGTTGATCCCCATGGAAACAGGTCCTCGTCTAGTATCGTGATATTCACATGTACGGGTTTATCAGCCGTTAACAGTCCGTTCATTACACTTTGATCAGTCGGGAATTTTCCTTTTTTCTTGTTGTTATCCAAAAGTTCGACCCACGTCCTTACGAACTGGATGGTCGCATTGGTCGGTTTCAGGTAAATGAAGCCAGAGCAGAAATGCGTTTTGCTAATTATCCTTGTTTTAGAGAAGCTTCTGATACTTATGTCAAAGTCTCCCTGAAAGTATGGAAAGGGGTCCCGAAACCAAAACGTGTCCGAGTCGGAAAACAGAACCTCCAGGCCTTGCTCTAATAAAGTCAAAATGTAGGCCTGGCGTTTGTTCATAATCCCGTAGTAGTGACTGCCAAGACGACGAGAGGGCTCTATTTCATCCATTTCCCCCGAGTTGGTTTTCTGAACATAAATTGCAGGGTCACCCTTGGCATACTTGAGCAACAGATCGTAAGCCTTCTGATCCTCTGCGATGACCGTGGTGTTGACGCAAACTCCAATCCTCTTGACGCTCTCCAGCATGTTCAGCGCGATATCCACGAAGGCGAGATTTGCCGTAGTCAGCATAACCACGCCGGGTCTCTTCTTGATGTCAGCCAATGTGCAATTGGATAGTTGTCCGCGGATCGGCATTAGCAGTTCCCCATTCTGGTGAACATAAGCCGATGTGTTAAATACTTCTCTTGTACCAGTTGGTTTGCAATGACAGTGTTTTTCATCGTTCAACTTTCCGACAGGTTTAAGCACAACCGTGGTCATTTGAGAGTAATCTGCAAAAGAATGCAAACAGGCTAACAGACTGAGAGCTGGATGAGTTTAATCAAAATGTTGGGAACAAATCCCCTGATTGTCTTAAAGCATAGTATAATCGAGCAGTTTGAATTGATGCCTTGGCACTTGGAACGTGGAACATGAAAATATTACTTAAGGGGGCTTTTAGGTCAGACTAATTACCTTAAGACCGGCGGGAAAAGCCAGAAAGGGGCGGGGCCTCAACCCCCCTCCGTGCACATTTTGGCTCCTATCGTCGCAAAGCATTTAAATCACGCCAAGTTTCTTTGACAGTTGTTCAGATGCCTTGCGATTATTTTGACACCAGGTTTATGAAAATGTGGCATACCTTCATCGCAAAATGTCCAAATGTTAACTTTTCCCATTGAAAAGTACATGCACATGAAAGCGTGCATCAGAGTGCCGACTAACAGATCGAATAGAAGCTGTGCAAATGTACTTCAAATTAAAAATGGGAAATTGAAACAATTTTTATTGATGCCTTGGCACATATGGAACGTGAAAATATAACCTAAGAGTGACTTTTGATTAGACTAATTATCTTAACAGCGGTGCGAAGAGCGTGGAGGGGGCGGGCCGCAAACCCCCTCCATGTACATTGCACTGATTCAATTCATCCAAGTTTCTCTGACAGTTGTTCCGATGTAAGGGGCCATTCAGAATTTTCAATGTTTTAAAATTTCGATCTAATTTTTTCCAAATTGTGGGTGGGTGGGTCAAGCTAAATAATTGAAAATCGAAATTCACTTTCCATGGAAAAAAAGATAAAAAAACAAAGAAAGATAGATCTTTTGACTTGCCTGAACTACGCGCAAGCGTTCCGATATCGCGATGCGTGTTTCTTTTCCAACTTCGTCCCCTGTATGTACTGTCAGTGGCGTAGCCAGGAATTTTTCAGTGGGGGGAGGGGGGGCGCTGGGGGGAGGGGGGCCGCCTGGGGGGGGAGTTTGGCTGGAACATTTCATGGGGGGGGGGGGCGTCATGTAGATCAATGATAATTTTTTTAGAAACTCAAAATCTCAGTGGGGGAGGCGACTGGGGTGGGGGTGACAAGGTTTTCATGGGGGGGGGGGCTGTCGCCCCCCACGCCCCCCCCCCCCCCCCCCCCCCGTGGATACGCCACTGCAGGTCATACAGTTACAGTTTATGTAAACTTGTATGAAAAGTCAAAGAAAAGTAACTCCCATGATCTATTTGACACCAAGTTTGTGTTAACTTGCCGGTAACGCCCTAAAAAATTATCCAGACAAATATGTTTATTTTGTAACATTTTATGTTCGTCTGTCGGTCTTCTATGCTGTTATGTTTACTTTTAGGTACCTTCAATGGTACTATGTTTACTTAACCTGTTCATTTGTTTAATTAAACTAATAACGCACATATAGTTGCCAAATATGGCACTAACAAGTTTGAGGTCGGCAATTTCGTCTTTAAAAATCTGTGTACGTCGGGTTACCGTACACACAATTGTCCTGGAAACAACAGTACCAAAGTACAGAAAGTCGTACGCAAGAGCTCCCCAGCAAGTATCACTGACGCCATTATGATTCCAAAATTTCTCACTGTGTCACACAGTGAAATAACTAAACAGCGTCGTTGTATTGTGAACACATAAAAGCATTCATCGCGTTCCTGCACACTTTCTGCAAGTCGACATAGATATCCTTGAACCACTGCCCCTGCTTTGCATAACAAGTGCACATGAATGAACGATTCGACTTTTATTCAAAGAAATTTCTATGTACAGTCACCAGACTCTATTCAGTAAAGTCCCCGTCAAAACGAAAGTAAACAATCCACGTGCATAACGCACGACTACACCATCGTACAGTGTGGCAGGGACACCAACAAGTAACCAACAACTAAACATTTTTTTAAAATTGATAAATATTCTGATTGAATTTCGTTAAAAGATACTTGTTGGTGAGGTATCACATATTCTAGCAAATTGATAAAAATGTACAATATTACAATATGCAATTTTGAGAGAAATGGGCAAAATACTGCATAAATAATTTGACAAGCCAGACAGATACAAAAATATAAAAACGAACTAATAAATAAATACTCTTACAACCCAACAAACAAACTAACAAACAAAACAAACAACCAGACTCAATAACGGGAATGAATGACAAACGGGCTAAAAAGATTATTACAAACAAAACAAAACAAAACCGAGAAACAAAAGCAATCCCATTCCCCAGAGAGAAAAATGCAAACCATAAAAACAAACAACCTAGTTGACATACATAGGTCTAGACTCACATTAAAGGGAAAATACAACATTTGCAAACATCAAAAAATAAAACTACCAAATCATTTTGAAATACCTTGCTGGACTGTTAGTGAATGACAGTGTAAAGCATCCTGTAAAATCATGGCACCTGGTATACTGTCATTTTCAAGAAAAGTGATATTTTTGTATCAATTTCCAACGCTGGTCGGCCGACCAGCGTTGGAAAAAACTGGCTTTTTTTTCAAATACTGGCCCCAATTGACCATCGCACTTGTTTGCAATCGATTACACACCTATGAACGGGTACAAGCCAGCTAGACTGGTTCCCTGACCTTACAATTCCCCAATGTATGTAAACTGCTCTGTTTCTAAATTTTTCTTATATGGAGTCAGGGAACCAGACTACAGGAAAATGATTGTTTTTCTTGGTTTTTATAGCATTTTCGAGCCCAAAACCTCAAAAAAGGCAGTGTAACTATATTTGCTATATATTTCCAACCCCCCAATTCCATCCATTTCTGAAAATTACAGCAAAAGCAAATGATGTATATTCCCTTTAAATACACACACTAAAGAAACAACAAGAAAATACCCGGGAACAAAATGAAATAAGACACAATTTTACATTGACGATAAAATAAATATGACTGCAATAATTCCTCCCTCAGTTTTGAAAGAAAAGATTCACAACCGAAACAGTGTATACCCTGTTTATTGATATTTTAAAGATGCATTACCCAAACCCTACTTTTCCACGACCCATATCTAAACTCACGATGTGAATTCTTGCCATTACATGAAGTTTCAAATGTAGGGAAAGTTCATATCTGACCCATGGTGAAGTTTTAAAGGTCAGCGAGCTGTATGCACCCATTTTCCACTATTACTTTAAAATGCCAATTGTTCATGTCCCAAGTCTAAATAATGAATAGAAATTTATTTTTACTCTATTGTTCTATACATGATGTCATGAATTCAGACCCAAAGACGATTTTATTTTCTTCAGAGCATCTGATCCCCATGTCCTCTGTTTTCTTGCCCATGCAGGCGCAACAGAATAGAATTTTAAGAGGCAAGCCAGACAAACTAGTCAACGGTGAACCAGCAAGTTTGGTAAAAGGGTTACAAAATGTTACTGGTTATCGCGAACGAGAAATAATGTTTCATGGTTGGGTAAAGCGCATTGGCTACTTCCATTCCATACAAAGATCATAAATCAGTCACAATCTGTTGCTTTGAATTTAAACACTGCGCCCACATGCACTGCAATAACTAGAAATTCGTCTCATTTATTTTTGTCAAAAATTTTCCGGGCGGCATTCCCCCCCCCCCCATCAAGCAAAACCATAGGCTTATGCCTTTGCTGCTATAGCACTATCTCACACCAAGCTTTGAATTTGGCACCTCGGTCCACAGCCTTCCATCCAGTCGTATCATTGTCGCGGCTGCCCCCTAGAAAAAGTCACAGGGCACCCCATTGTCTTTTGGGTCTGAATGTATAACATGGGTGTAGAATAATAGTTGCAATGGCGTTCTTTTTCATAAAAATTATATTAGCGAGAAGTTAACTAAGGTATACAAAGCAATTTGTCCCAGCAGAGGGCAATGGAGGTCTAAAATGCTCTTTCCATATAGGTCATTATTTTAATGGACACCTGAATATCTGTAGTACATCTGTGAAGTTTCAATTCAACCTGTTAAAACGTTTTGTTATAGTGGTCATATTATATAGTAAGAGTCGGCACTCTCATATGTATGCGCCCTCTGATGTACGTTATACATGCTCTATGTAATGGAAAAGTCAGCATTCAAGCCTATACCTGTTTTGGTATTTGGACATTTTGTGACAAAGGTATGCCCTATTACCATAAACATGGTGTCAAAATAATCGCAAGGCATCTGAACAACTGTCAAAGAAACTTGGCAGGATTTAAGAAATGCTTTGCGTCGATAGGAGCCAAAATGTACATGGAGGGGCTTGCGGCCCCACCCCCTCCGCGCTCTTCGCACCGCTCTTAAGTTAATTAATCTGATCAAAAATCACTCTTAAGTTATATTTTCATGTTCCACATGTGCCAAGGCATCAATACTAATTGTTTTGTTTCCCCATTTTTAATTTGAAGTACATTTGCACAGCTTCTATTCGATCTGTTAGTCGGCACTCTGATGCACGCTTTCATGTGCATGTACTTTTCAATGGGAAAAGTTAACATTTGGACATTTTGTGATGAAGGTTTGCCACATTTTCATAAATCTGGTGTCAAAATAACCGCAAGGCATCTGAACAACTGTCAAAGAAACTTGGCAGGATTTAAGAAATGCTTTGCGACGATAGGAGCCAAAATGTTCACGGAGGGGGGTTAAGGCCCCGCCCCTTTCTGGCTGTTCCCGCCGGTATTAAGGTGATTAGTTTGACTTAAAAGCTCTCTTAAGTAATATTTTCATGTTCCACAAGTGCCAAGGCATCAGTACAAACTGCTTTCATTTTCTCCTCTACCGTTGCGTTGCAACGGTATCAGCGAAAAGGAAAAAGAGGGGGTGACCGCCACGCCTACCCTCCGCGCTTTTCGGGCCGCTCTTAAGTTAATTAGTCTGATCTAAAATCATTCTTAAGTTATATTTCCATAATCTACAAGTTCCAAGCTATCAAATGATACTGGTTTTGTTTTTGTTCTCAACATTTTGATTAAATGCAAAATTGGCCACATTTGGCATGGGGCCAATGGGCCTTTGTCTGATCTAGCGAAACTTAAGACTGGCCATTCTGTGATCAGGGTCGATGATACTATGCTTTAAGACAATCAGGGGATTTTTTTCCCAAAATTTTGATTAAACCCTATCCAGCTCTCAGTCTATAAGTTCCAGACACAAGAACAGGTCCCAAGATATAATGTCTCCGTCGACGAATGTAATAGGTATCGGCATTGTAATGGACCTTATTGCAACGGCAGCAAAACGCTTTTGTAAGCCCAATTCCGTGATTTTTGTCCCCTGAAACATCTTCAGTTTTTTCCTGTCACATCTGATTTACATCTGAAAATATGTCTGAATAGTTTGTTCACTCAATTTTTGTTTTTTCATATGTATAGTAGAAGAGGCACACTCTGCTAATCAGTTTGATATACCACTCAGGTTGACATTTACTATTTCGTAACTGTTGACTGATCCTATGGAATTCGATTTTGCAAGAAAAGGGTGTGGCTGCTGGTGCTTCTTAAACTCAGACTGATAATAGTTTCTGTTTTTGATTTTTTTTTTTTTATGTTGCACGGAATATCAGCTTTTTCCCCCCTTTTTTTTCCTCTTTTTTTTTTTTTTTTTTTTTTTTTTGCTTGTCGGGAGGGGGGACGGGGAAGCACCCCCTTGCTCCCCCCTCGCAACGTCAATGAGTACGAATACTCTTCACAAAAAAGGACTCGAGTGGTACTCGAGTACGAGTACCGAGCACAAGTACTACAACGCTGGACAATAGTATCATGATTGATTTCCACATTAATCCATCGGTGGGTATATATAGGTGTTGTACTAGCAACAAAACCTTCAGTTTAATAAAGAGAAACAACCTTTGATATCCTCTTTACATCGTAAGATTGTAGATTATTGTCCTCCTTGCATGCCCATAAGATTATTTATTGATGTGGAAACGTACTTACGGATGATGAAGAGTGTGAAGGCCGCAGACTGAACGAGGAAGAGGACTTTAAAAACGTGATCGGAAGCCATCTTGAATGACCCGCTTATAACCTGCTGGGCAACCACAACAGAGACAAATAAACGCTATGACAATGAACAAGCCATGACCTAGCAGAACGTGCATACACACACTCGACAGAATATGTCAGTTCAATCACACGTACATGCAACATACAAATTCCTACGAACTAGTAATGTGTAAGTAACCCTAACCACCCCTAAAGCTACAAAATACTACTGAGTAGTAAACCGTAGTATATACATTTCTTTCCATACAAGTGTGCACAACACTATAGCAGGGTTCGACCTTAACGTTTTTGTTCACTAGCCAACCAGTCTACTGAAACAGACTCTTAACTAGCCCGCGGGCATTTTCACTAGCCCACATTTTTTTAAGCTCAAATACAAAATGGCGTATTTTTCAGGCTCAATTCTGGGGCAATTTTATCTGTGTTTTTAATAAACAGATCTAGTAATTGAACCGTTTAAAACAATTCATAAACTTAGACACAAGTTGATGAGGTTTTCTTTCTGAATTTAATGTTTAATTTCTTCCTGTCCGTTCATCTTTGCCGTTTCCAAATAATTTTGTTGACTCGCCAGCCGGGCTGTGGTATTTGGTCCTTGAACCCCAAATTAAGAGCCGTTATGTCTATTGTGCCTTTTTTTTGTCTACGCAGATCAATATGAGAGAAAATATATTTAGGAAACAATTTTGATGTTGGGAAACGACAGCGTCGACACAGCTGCTGTTTAGCATTGTGGAGACCATACGTGTTTTGCTTTCCAGCCTACATATCAAGTACACGCCGGTAGTATATTCGCTTGTGCTAACGGCGTGTACTTGATGTAGGCCTATAAAGGTAGGGCAGACAAAAGTATTGTACTATACCTTAAAATGTCGGGCATTGAGAGAGTACAAAATGCTCACTTCTGTAGTTTTGCATCGCACTTGACATGCAGCTCTAGTATCTAACGCTGGCTGCATGCAGCGCTGTTGGCAACGCTGGCCGATGCGGTCAGAATGGGATCAAAGTGCGCCAAATAAATGCACGTATGTTTCAGCCGCTCATTTAGTTTGCGCGCATGCGCACTTAACCTATGAAATGCCGATAATGAGCAAACATCATGGCTGCCCACTGTCGCAGTTTAACCCTAATAATAATAATAATGATAATAGTGCAGGGTGGATAAAAAAAAACCGAAACCGAGATATTATTGCTAATTGAAACAGAGGTCGGGCACATATGAATCAAAGGGAGATATGCTCTGTATGATATCCTCTTTAAAATGACACCCTGGTCATGGCCCAATTTCATAGCGCTGCTTAACAGCCGACTTTTGCTTACCAAGCCTCCATCTATTTCATAGGAACCGTTAAGCCGCAAAACCACGCTTAACCCCAGAAGAAAACTTTGCCGCAGGCTTAAATCTGTGACGTAACAATATCAATCTCCATGCGCGCGCAACCGTTAGCATGAAATAGTGCTTAAGCAGCATGATTTTCCGCTAAAGTATAAGCACAACTTTTCTGCTTACTGTTAAGCAGCGCTATGAAATTGGTCCCATGTCATTACATTCACGGTTGACTGAGTAGTGACCAACTATTTAGAGAGTTGGGCCACTTTTCAATTGTGGTTTTTGTGGAGTCATTTGTCACAGAGTGAAAGGCTATGGTTGCCAATCGAGGCAGGTGGGGGAAAAAAAAAGAGATTTCAACATAGAAAGTGCACAGTTCTAAATAACCCCTTTTACTGCGCAGTCAACCGTGAATGTAATGACATGATCAGAGTGTCATTTTAAAGAAGAGATTCAACCCCGAACAGAGGATGACTCCCTTTGATTCACATGTGCCCTACTTCTGTTCCAATTAGCAATAATATCTCGGTTTCGTGTTATCCACCATTTATAGCGCTTTATACCAATTAGGTCTCAAAGCACTTCACAATTATTACCCCTGTTCATCAGGCCATGAGACCAGTTTCTGCAGCAGCTCGAGATCAGCGCATTCTGGTCTCTACCCTCACTGGTACCCATTTATACTCCTGGGGGAGAGAGGCAGTTGTAGTAAAGTGTCTTGCCCAAGAACACAAGCACCATGTTCGCCGTCAGGGTTCGAACCCACGGCACGTGAGTCGAACACCATCAAGGGCGGATCCAGGGGGGGGGCCAAAGGGGGCCATGGCCCCCCCCCCAAAAAAAAACGAAACCAATTTTTTTTTTTTTATGTGACATCGCAATAAAGGCAGGCAATGAGTACACCACCATCTTTTCCTCAAAAAACCATTGGTTAAAGTGGTCAGAAATTGCCTCAGATCGCACCACAGAGCATCTAGAATCCAAAAAAATGTCGGGGCCCTTAAGCGGGCCCCGAACTACGCCGTAATTTTTTTGACCCACTTTTTTGGGAGACCAAATTTTTTTTTGGCCCCCCCCAAAAAAATTGTGTTCTGGATCCGCCCTTGAACACCATAACCACTGGACCACATCGGTCCACAGGCCCTCTGAAGTATCCGTCAACATATCACTTTCCAATCAGTTTGTTATTTTTTTACCCACGCCAACAAGAATTTTATGCCCTCAAAATCACTTTTGCCAATCTTTGCGTGAAAAAAAGGAGCAATTTGCTGCCAAATTGTTGTCTGTCCGTATGTCGTGTACCACAAAAGTACGAGGGTCACAATTCGAAACAGGCTTTTTTTTTCAGTTTTGCCAAGTTACTGCAAACTTAACTGACGAATGATAAAGAGTGCCACAAACAATGTGATGAATAAATATCATAGAAGAAACAAATTATTTGAATGAGAAAGGTAAGGTTTCATTTTACACGTTTTTACGTTGAATGTAACGTTATTGTACGTGTAAAGAAAATGCCCGTATATATGTACATGTACATAAACATGGTAGGATGGGTTGCCCTATTATCGCGGTACTTATCACGTTTATCGTTCGGAATAGAGATTGCCCATTATCTCCCCGAATTGTCCAGTCTTTTGTGTAGTATAACTCTTCCTTTTCAAAATTGATATTAAAAAATTTTGACGGTGGTGTGGTTTATTCCGTGTACGATGCCTGTGAAAATAGACATGTTCGGAGTGTGCGAACGGAGGTGGACTCTCTATTATCGCAGTATGCGGGAAGTGGTTCTTATAATGATCTCACCTTTTTTATTCATAGTTAATGTTTGACCAAAACATCCCCTGAATAAAGTCTGATATTTTCCCTGTAAGTTCAAGTTGATTAAAGACTATATGTCTACAGGATGATTTCGTAAGACCCTGCCCTTCCCCCGAAAGGAGAACACAAATCACTGAGGCAAGTCTACTGATTGGCGATTGGGGGCGCCATTCACTTTACATGGTGTGCCGTTTTATTTTTGTTAACGCGATGGGCTTATTTTGATCCCGTAAAAGTTTTTACGATTTCGCGGTGGAAATATCGTCCTCGACTTCATTTTACATTTGCAGCTGAAGAATGGGAACCAGACAATGGAACTTTTATGGAGAAATCACCATTTAAGATTTATGTTCAAATATGGACGGTACCTTTTAGCAGACACGGTAGTATCAAATTGTGTGAGATTATGAAGCTAATACAATGTAATTATAAGAGATATGAAAAATAAAAAAAAAAGTTTTAATCATTTGTAAGATGGACTTTTGCGTCGGAGTGATGTAAATCAAATGAGGTTTTCCCTTCACCGACATATGTTTACACATTCTATACTCAGTGTGTTACCTCCCGAGTGAAAGTTGGAAAACAAATCACTCGGTGGGACTCGAACCCGCGACCTCCTGCTCTCTAGTACAGACTTCTTAGACGTCCTCCTGCTTTCTAGTGCAGGAGGTCGTGGGTTCGAGTCCCACACGAGTGATTTTTTCCAACTTTCACTCGAGAGGTAGCACACTGAGTATATAGTGTTTATACGTCGGTGAAGAGCAAAACCTCATTTGATTTACATCACCCCGACGCAAAGTCCATCTTATGAATAGTTAATGTGGTACCCGCTGCTATGCACATCAGATTCGAACCAGCCAACCGATCCCGTTAGCTCGTATAAGCTCGGCGGTCGAGTGGTAAGACGTCTTCGCTAGAAAGCAGGAGGTCATGGGTTCGAGTCCCACCCGAGTGATTTTTTCCAACTTTCACTCGGGAGGTAACACACTGTTTATACGTCAGTGAAGGGCAAAACCTCATTTGGTTCAATAATTTTATAGTACTGGAGTTCCTGTGATCATGCCGATTTTGTATTGAAAAAGAAAATCTTCATCGTTAATCCTTCTCTCCACAATAGTACAGTGTGTATCAAAAAATGACACCTTTAGAGAAAAATGTGAAATATACTAGCTCCTATCTATACGCTTTAAGAATTATTTCTTCACGCAAATGACGGAGAACAATAAGTAATGTGGCCAACAGGGTGATTGCGGCATGTTAATCTCCTTTTACCCACTTTGCTTCAAATTAGACCACATTGACATAACCGCTTTCAATTAACTGTCCTTATCTATGGATGGAGGTGTCAACATGAGATAGGAAAAACAGCATTGTGTTGAGAAATAATATAGGTTTTCCCGGACAATTTCGGAAAATGTGCGATTGAATTTTAAAACATAAATTCAATTTGGCGCCGAGTTTGAGAACGACGTACATCCTGGTTTCATTTTCGCAATAGCTAGCATTCGATTTCATTTTGCATCGATCAAATGAATGAATGTGCATAACGTTTCATTTAAGGGATTACAAATACGTGATTAGGTTTTCGGTTTGACGTACGCTTTGCCGATTATTACGAATGCTCAATCCAATTCGCAGAAAATCGAATATCTATTGTGACACGGGTTGAATTGAACATTCTTTTCCATTTGTTACAATTTAAATACGCATTTTCTGCATTCCATTTAAATAAATTACACAGGCCTATACAAATCACGATACAACTTTGATTCACTAATTAATGATTCATTCATTAATCAATGTATGCCTTATTGATCATTAATGTGTTTGTTCTTATATACACAAAGGCCTATGTGAAATGTAGGCAAATGGAATGTGAAAATGATATAAATATGACCAATATGAAATTAATCAAAATAATCTTGTAGCCATATTATTGAGACGGTAAAGGGACACATCAAGTGTCATGTTACATGGGATCTGCATGAGGACTTTTTGTTGGTTTTTTACCTTAATTGTATTTTAATTTCTTTATGTATTTCTTAAGGTTCTCTCTCGTTTTATCAGTTCGAATGTCTATCCTTCATTGACCTGTCTACCAAGACATCGAGGGAGATATGTCTGAGAATGGTTGTACCAGGCGGTGTATTTCGCAGGCGTCACCTCTCCAATGTTGAGTGCAGCCACCTCCTGGTGACGGAGGGATCTTCAGACTTGCAGCTTGGACTCTTACGTCTTGGTCTCCAAATCTGTCCTGCCATTCAGGAAACCCCAGCGTGCACTTCACTCCCGCCTTGAAAGCTGAGTGTGCCATTTCCGTTGGATTTAAGAATGGTGAGTATGGGGGCAGCAGCTTGATGGTGAAATTGCCGGCATTAGGGAGTAGTTGGGCTCGGATATGAGGACGAGCGTTGTCATATATCAGATATATGCGTTCACCTGCCGGGAATAACATACCACATTCTTGTACAGTCGTCGCTAAGAACTCCTCAAAAGTCGCTCTCGTCACAGTCTCTGATGATATTCTGTGAGCCACAAGTCCAACCTCACCAGAAATGACAAACGTAATGTTGTCTTGCTTGCCCCTCTGGCCATGGACGACACGCCTTGTTGGCTCTCCACGAGGAGCGCGACCATAAGACCGACGGGTCCATACGTTGTACCCAGTCTCGTCAATGTACACAATGTGGCCAAGGACACCAACCTGAAGAAACCAATTTCCAAATATGACTCGTGCATCTTATATGCGTGGCTCATTCCTCTGTTCTGGAATTTCTTCCGCTAGTTTAAGAGTTATAAGCAACCATCTAGAGTTCTAGCGATGGTTCTAGTGGTCACTAGTAGGGCTTATCGGGAAGATCAGCTCGCAGTTGAGTAGCGTAGCTGCAGTGAGAACGCGTCTCGGACGCTGAATTCAGGCCCAATTAAAAACATGATTCAGCAACTTTTGATTTGAAGCTTCTGAGCTGAAACTTCATCAGGTTAGTTGTTCAGCACCCTTCTTTAGATTTTAAGCACTTTTGTTGCTTCAAACGAACAAAAAATTCACAAATTACAAATGATGGACTATACCTTTAAATCTTCATGTACAAGTGTGTTATCATATTTCTGTGACAAGAAAAGGTAGAATTAATGTTTCATTCTTTCTGTTAGGGTTTAAGCATCCTTGATGCTATTATATATCTCTCACATTGGTCATAAATCATAAGATAAACAGCTTGCAGCTGGATTTGTTTTTGTTTGTTTCTTATTTATAGCACAGGGCTTTTCTTGAAGTCTAATAATGGAAATCTTAAAAGCGCCTACAGTATTTCCCAAAAAAGTGTCCCTCTGACTATTTTTGAAATAATTACAAAACCATGAGGTCAATTTTGAAAATGTTTGGTTGTGCAGATACAACAGATTAAAATCAGATACATCAGAATAAAATCTTAAAAGCGCCAACACTACAGTGTGTCCCAAAAAAGTCCCTCTGACTATTTTTGAAATAACTACAAAACCAGGCCATGAGGTCAATTTTGAAAATGTTTGGTTGTGCAGATACCTAAGCCTTGGCGTCAACCCCAATGAGTCAATTTCAGTCACGCATCACTAGCACAATTATCATTTGATCACAACAACATTTTTGGACACAAGTTCCTTGCCTTATTCAATTTCAGTACTGTGTTAAGTGAGCTGTGTAAAATCCTTCGTGTTGTAAAAAGGGCTGTAGTTAGGATTGGAATCATTTGCCCGGCTATCAGTCGTCATGTATGTTCTGGGATACATGCATTCTTAACGTCATAATCCTGTCAGAGATAGCACGCGGAAGTTCACTCAAACTGCTTGCAAGGTAGCTCCAGATGGCAAATCCAGTGCCAGCGATGCCTCGTTTGACAGAATCATCTGGCAATCCTGACCAATAGAGTGTGCAATGTTGCTCTTGTCTCACACCACACCCCCTAAAAACCATTTCAGAAAGAGAGCAGCGACATCGATGTTGAGACGCTGTAGCTCCAGACTCACAAGGGCAGTCTTCCTCTTTGGAGTTAATGGATTCACATCAAGTAGCGACCTGATATTCCAGCTCGCCAGTGAGAAAGGTGTGCATGTATTCTTGTTGTTTGCCCCACACTAATGGAGTTCCGGTTACCGTGGACAGCCAGCCAGGATGTGTGTGGTTGAGCCTTTTTTACCTCACCTTTCATAGGGGCTTCCCTGAAAAGCCTCCTGGTCATCCAGGACGGACCAGTCCTTGACTAGTCGCATAATTGTCCCGATGGAGGGCGTTCTGTTCCCATCCAAGAACTTGACTCGGTCCCCAGACATATAAGGTTGCAGACCAGTATATCGACCCCAATGATAAATGCCCCCACTTCAGAAATTCAGGAGAATACTCACAACTATCCAAGGTGATCGAGACACACTTCAAATTAAAGCTTATTTCATCATCTTTCATTTTCTTTTCAATATTATTTTTTTCTTGGGGGGGGGGTTAACTGATGACTTTTAGGAGAAATTTCCATCCAAAGATAGTCTCGAAGCCCATCGCCATTTTGAAAACGATGCCTACACTCCATTGCAAAATAGAGTGCTTTTGTGGCCCCAATTGCATCCAAATTGCACAGAACTACAAGCTCACAGTCTTGTGCACGGCTTCCACCCATATTTTGTACAAACCCTCACGTTCATGGCACACAATATGCTCAACTATACCGAGGGCATGCAAATCGTGATTTGGCCGGCGTGGGAAATTTTGGACCGATTTACTGCCTTGCAACCATAACACATAGACCGCCATTCATGAGTGTAAAGCCGTGATTTGGAAAGTATGGGCAACACGTTTGGGAGAAATCTCCATGCAAAGATAATCATTCCCGAAAGTAGTCCTGAAGCCCATCGCCGTTTTGAAAAATGATGCCTAAGCTCCATTCCAAAATCGAGCAATTTTAGGGCCCAATTTTATCCAAATTTCACAGACGTACAAGCTCCCAGTCCTGAGCACGGCTTCCACCCTTCATTTTTACAAACCCTTTAAGTTCGTGGCCCACTAAATGCTCTCGTAGCATGCACAAGTTCGAATTTTGTTAGCGAACGTGTCTGTGCGTGGGAACACTCACAATCTTCACCACTTATATAACTGCGAATTTTGTAACGGCTATAATTTATATTCTCATAATACAAGGTCAGCCTCTAACCTTCATTTCCATAAAGCTAGAACATTATTCTCGTTACTGATCGACTGTCAGAAATCAAGGACGTCTATTGTGGAACCGCCTCAAACCAATGCCTATCTTTAGATTACTGAAACATTTCAAAAACTACCTTAAAACGTTACTATTGACAAATTACAGTGATATTTGTGTTATGTGTATCCACATTAAATACTTTATTGAATGTCATTCCACGGATGGTCGGGGGAGAGAGTGTCATTACTAAATGATTCCTTGGCCACCTTTTGCACCTTTCCTTTTTCTACTTTACATACAATATTATTTCTTTGCACAAATGCGGTTTACAAATATATATATATTTATATACGAAGGTGAATATTTTCTGTTTAATTTCTTTTCATCTCAATTAATATATCCACTTGATTTTACTCAGCCTAGTGTATTTACATGTTAATTTGTAATCTCCCTGTCCAAGGTCTTGTACAAGCTTACGCTTTTCATACCTGGATCCCTCATATCATTACTGTATTTTTTCTTTATATAAATTCTTCTTAATCATGTTTCATGATATGAAAAATAAACTAATAGTTGAAAAGCCAGAATATTACCAAACTGGCGATTGTCACAAAATGGCGCACTCTGAATAAATTAAGATTTACTGATGTTTTCTGTCGCCAAACCTAATTGCTTTCTTTCTCACGAGTGAATTACAAAGTGGTCAGAAATGCGAAAACCAACTGGAAAATAAAGCATGCTTTTGAAAGACTGTGTCAGCCGTTATCCAAGGAGCCAAGTCTCCTGTATAACGTCTGATAATCTAAGCATGCGTGACGTCATTTCATTCCTAAATCAGGACTAAGATTGTAATTGGTCAATTTCGATGCCGCGTTTTGTAATAGGCCTTTAGACCTAATGACGTCACGCTTTGTTTACATGTGCATTTTTCTATGTGGTAGACGGTCCCTACTTCGTCTGGCAACCCGACTTCGCTCCGATAGGAAAGCGAATATGTAAACAAAGCCATAACGTCATTAAGTCTCAGGTCTACACAAAACACGTACAAAATGCTGCTTATCGTGGGCGTGATGTTTACGCACGCGGCGAGCTCAAATTACACGGGGATAGAAGGCGCATGCTGATTGGTCAGTTTCTCGAGGTCATACGCAGTCTAGTTGCATCCTTAATCGCCGAATTTGTTTTCATGTAATAGATCATGGTCGGCATCGCCAGGTCCAGGGTCTATACAGACAAGCACCATAGGGCAAGTTCGCGCAAGAACTATTGTTGACCATTGGTTAGCCATAGTTCGACTAAAGTTAGCCCGAACTCTGTCTAGTCGACGAGGGGTTACTATGCTAGTCGACTATTTGGAACCAACAGTCTGGGTATATGGAGATCAATGGAACCAACCTACTGGGGCTGGATGTATCACTGGTAACCAATAGCCGCGCGCATTTATAACGAACAACAGGGAGCCAGGATCCAGAAGTTATGCGATGACATTTTGACCAGCGTTTGACTAGAGACGTAAGCACGTCGCTATTAGTGCGCAGGCGTAAGTACGTCACAAATCTACCACTAGTCGACTAATGGTCCTCGCCCGAACTTGGCCCTATATGTTCATTGAACAATGATTGTTATATTTATTTGTTTATTTTGTTTGATAGTTATTTTCGTTCAAGTTTCAACTTGTTAGAAGGTTATTTTTCAAACTAAAAAAACTGACATTTTAATGTTTCTCTGATTTAGCTGATTCTGTTTTTGATAATTACCGGAAGAAAGGGTATTGAGCCCTCCCACTTTTCTCCTGTATTTTTTTTACTGCACCAAAGTTACCAACACTATCATGGTTTAGGCCTATGTGTTTAGTGTGCTTTTATCGAATTGTGTATTGTTACTCGAGTAATAAAAGTATTTTCTTTATTATAAGACAATAATAAATTGCCCCTTTTATTTTCTACTTATAAACGAAAAGATTTCTTTGTGAATGCCGGCCATGTCCAAATCTGTAAGTAAATAATAAAAGGTCGTTCAAGGCACATCTGTTAAATTCAATTCAAAGTTGCGTAAATAACAAACCGGGAAAGAACGTAAAATGGGGATGATGTCCGATCCATGTACACACATACTACGTGTTATAAAAATCGTGTCCTACTTTTGATCCTTAATAACTGTGTTGTTTACGAATGGAATTAAACCAAAATTTCAGAGCATGTAAGCAAGTCATGCCAATTTTTATGGAGCTAGTTTCAGCAGCGTTGTGCAAGAGGGTGATATTTAAACGCCATACGAAAACAATACTCAATTTCAGAATGTCGATAAAGCGCTGGATATGAGGGCAGAAGGCGCGTGCTGCAGCCGAAAGCTTCAGGCAGAGCGTGGAACTGATGTACATAATTAAATGGTGGTGGGTTTAAAGTATTAATATTTAGGAATTAAAACGAATCCAGAATTTTTGTAAGTAGGCATTTGGAATTTAATTAAATTATTTATATTTTCATTGCAAACTCTTGGTGTCATAACAGAGTAATTTGTTCTATCGTGGTATCACCCCAGTCAGAACTATCCACTGTGATGTCCGCATTGGGAAAAACAGACCCATGGTGTGACACGATGAAACTCGCTCCATAAAATTTGGCATGTATTGTTTTATTGATTGGAAATTATGGTTTAATTCTATTGGTAAACAATAGAGTTATTCAGGATCAAAGTAGGACGTTGAACAACGCGAATGGTGCAACCCCGCGTCCTGCTGCAGTTCCAATTTCACACGCTACTGAAATTAGACAAGAAATCGAACCTGCTTAACAAAACCAGTTCCAGTTCTGAATCAGGTTCCATTTGGGTTTCAATCATGAGCCTGGTGAAGTGGTGACATTGACAAGCCACATGCCAAATTCGTTGAATTTGCTCAGTTTCGCTGGGTGACCGCGTATACTAGCGGCATGCATAACTACTGTAGAGTGGTTCTGCTTTTGCCATGATGGGTCAAAAAATGTTGGCCCCCACGGAAACAGGTCCGCGTCCAGCATTCTGACATTCACGTGTCCGGGCTTATCAGCCCTCAGTAGTCCGTTCATCACCGTTTGATCAGGCGTGAATGATCCCTTTTTCTTGTTGTTATCCATAAGTTCGACCCACGTCCTTACGAACTGGATGGTTGCCTTGGTCGGTTTCAGGTAAATGAAACCAGCGCAGAAATTAGTTTTGCTAACTATTCTGGTTTTAGTGAAGCCCCTGAGACTTATGTCAAAGTCTCCTTGAAAGTATGGAAAGGGATCGCGAAACCAAAACGTGTCCGAGTCGGAAAACAGAACCTCCAGGCCTTGCTCTAATAAAGTCAAAATGTAGGCCTGGCGTTTGTTCATTATCCCGTAGTAGTGACTGCCAAGACGACGAGAGGGCTCTATTGCATCCATTTCCCCTGAGTTGGTTTTCTGAACATAAATTGCTGGGTCACCCTTGGCATACTTGAGCAACAGATCGTAAGCCTTCTGATCCTCTGCGATGACTGTTGTGTTGACGCAAACTCCAATCCTCTTGACGCTCTCCAGCATGTTCAGCGCGACGTCCGCGTAAGCGAGATTTGCCGTAGTCAGCATAACCACGCCGGGTCTCTTCTTGATGTCAGCCAATGTGCAATTGGATAGTTGTCCACGGACCTGCATTGGCGGTTGCCCGTTCGGGCAAACATATGTCGATATGTTAAATACTTCTCTTGTACCAATTGGTTTGCAATCACAGGTTTTTTTAGCGCTCAACCTCCCAACAGGTGTAACCACAACCGTGGACATTTGAAAGTAATCTGGAAAACAAAGCAAACAGGTTCGTGGAAAGTGAATAAGAGTGGATATGGGGGTGTTTCTTTTATATATTTTCCAGGCTGTTTTAAAGCGTTTTTCATTCGAATCACAACTCTAACATTCAATTTCGTGAGAAAAAAATCTCACACGCTTTTACCAAAACCAATTTAGTCATGTACCATCCAATTGCAAAGTTTGGTCAACCTCTTAAACACCGGATCGAGAATATTCGTCTTTTGTTTTACTCGACTACACTAAACTAAACAGTGATCGAATTCGTCTTATCAATCCATTTGAAACTTAAATTAGTCTGATATGTATGTGCTCGAGCATTTTCCATGTGTCGTTAAGTAAAGTTCAGCATATTCGCTTGCATGATTTTATCGGACCTGGTAAAATTCTAGACTTTAAGTACAGTTACCAAGACAAGGGTAAAGATTGCCGAGATCGACAAACCAAAATAACTAATAAACGAAAAGAGTAAGTGTTAAAATAAAAGAGAAGTTGTCAAAAACCACGATTTCACAACCCTTAAATCCCCGTGTAATGTGCTTACAATAATTGAGTCTTAATATAATAGCAACAGAAACAAGTCACCTGACCCTCGTAATTTTACCGCACTCTGATTTGTGTGCGTTAAATAAAAGAATTCATTCTAACCCAGCATATATGGAATGGTTTTTCAATGACATATTCTGCCTTATTTCGTGAGTTTCCCGGAAATGCCGCCTGCAGCCCTACATCCGAATATATGTGACCTAAATCAATCTGTAGGATATTTTTGTTCACTTTGGTTTTTCATGTGCAGAGCCAGCACACATGCTCATTGGATTGATGTATCAGTCCTTTTGACATGTACAAATACAGTGAAATCTCGAGAAGTCAAACCTCAAGGGAACAGGTTCAAAATTTGACTTAAGCAGAGTTTTGAGTTAAGCAGGGTTGTATAGGGAATGGATTCTGTGTTTGACGTAACAGTTGTTTTGAGTTATCAGAGTTTGACTTATCGATATTTCACTGAATTCGTGTTATTTTGTGGTTTTAAAATTCTGACAGATTGATTTTGGGCCCCAAAATACTTCTGCTTCCGATTACATGGCATTTGAAAATAGGTTTGGACGGTAGGGAGTTGGGGGAGGGGGGATTGGCATTGTTTTGTGTATGATCATTATGGAGGTGTCTGCGTGTAGTCAAGGGTAAAAGGTAGTAATTGATGGTTTTCCCAATTTTTCCTCATTTATCCCCAAAACCCATTAGGGTAGGGGCTGTAAAAATATAATAAGGTAGGTAGGGTAACCGGAAGCGGAACTTTTTTCTTTTTGCCATGGTTATGTAAGGTTTGAAGAAAGGGGCGGTTGTCACACCCCCAGACTGTCACTCCCCATAAACAGGGTAGTGCAACGGAAGGAAACCCATATTTGACAGGAATTTAACCTTTTTGAACTGTTTTTTTGTATAATGCAGTGAAGTATAGCTCATTAACCATACGTGGTGAAACAAAATGTTTTTTCAACTGATGCTCCAATTTGCCAAATTTATTCAGTACACATTTTGTTTGCAATTGGTTTCACATCCGTGAACGGGTGTGAGCCAGCTAGACTGATTTCCTGACCTTATACAATTCCACGAAGTCTATCAATTGTTCTGTTTCATTAAGTGGGGTCAGGGAACCAGACTACAGGAACACGATTCTTTTCTTGTTTTTTCTAGCATCTACAAACAAATATACTAACCCCCAAATCCATCCATTTCTGAAAATTACAACAAAAGCAAATGTTGTATTCCTTTTAAATAGGCTATATAATAAACAACGTATGATTTTCCTAAGATATCCGTGAATACTATGACTTTTGTTGTGGAAACACACTTACTGATGATGAATAGGATAAAGGCTGCAGACTGCATGAAGAACAGGACTTTATAAGCGTGCTCGGTGGCCATCTTGACTGAACCATTAACAACCTGCGGGGGAAACACAACGGAATACAATGCTTTACATGACAATAAGCGCTCGAGCTAGCTGTGCATACAGCGGGTGGGCACTCTACAATGCATGATAAGTGCTGTACTTTGGCCAAACACTACACGTCATCACCTCAATTCCATAGGCGGCCAAATTAAATGCCTACGTCTATTGAGTGTTATGCACCCGTGTCTTTTGTACCGTTTTGTACTTTATTTACTGACCTATGCCGATCCATATGACAGACAATCGTGTCAGTTTCAAAGGGCCATCAGAGCCCAAAAGCACATTTGTTTTATTTGTCTTTTTTTTTGGTCATCACGTGTACATTCATCATCGTATTTAAAGTGTAAAGAATATCTGTAGAAAAGTTTTATTACACCAAGGTGAAACGTATATAAGTACATGTAGTTTGTATAACCGTTTCAATTTTTTATATATTTAATCGGTTTTTTTTTATAATGAACTGTCGAACCATATGCTATTGCCTTTTTAAGGATAAATAAAGCAATTTGAATTGAATTGGATTGAATTGAATGGATACAAATTGGAGTTTTGCCTTTAAGAGGTAATCCAATTGCTACATATTAATATGTTCCACACGAACCACTGCAAAAGATGTGGTACAATATCCAATCCTTTCTTAAATTAGGACAAAACTATTGAAACGCCCACTAAATGTTTGCTGAAGGACTGTGAAATTCATCCCTTTTGGTTAAATAACAATATAATTCATGCAATTGAGCAGATGATTCAACAGGATTTTTTTCGTCATGTTCTCCATAAATTTAGTGGGTTTTCTGTTTGCAGTTCATGCGACCCAGCGCTTGTGGCGAGGACGTAGGCTTGGTTTTAGACCAATTTGGGAGGATAAAGAAACTATGGTGCATGGGGAACGATTTTTGAGAACTAAATTTCTGGAATGTTCAACTGCTACTGAAACAAAATCGGGTAGCTGTCACCTAGGTGATACAAAATCCCAAACTATATGCAGAACATTCAATAAGAACCGATATGCCAGAAATGAGGTGTAGTCTGCGAGTGGAGCATTCATGTGCCTTGGAAATATTGGTGACATACGCAGGTAAACAAAAACAAGAATTCTGTTTCGAGCCAGTTTTTTGTTTGTTTCTCAACCACATTTGGGGAATTGTATCGGTCTTCTCTGTGTCAAAATGCGAACCAAACCTGCAATTTATAAATAAATATTGTAATGGAATGTAGGGACTATGACTTTATTTTTTAAAAACACGGCAAGTTTAAACTTATGTGATCCCCCTGCCTGGCATGGTGCCACGGTGGCAGTATTTATACAGTAAGATAGTTAGTACACTTTTCTGTTGACAAATCAAAATCAACATTTCCCTCATTTGACCCCTAGATGAGGTTTGACCTCAAATGTCTCAATTCATCTTAAGTCCCAAAGATTATTGTCACCAAGTTTGGTTGCGACTGACGTCTAACTTTTTCATATTATACAGCACTAAACAGTTAACCTAAAATGGCCAACTTTCACTTGCACTACAGAAAGAATACACTATTGCAATATCCCCCTTTTGGCTTAAAAGCCGGCGGGGTAAAAAATAAAGCATATTTATTCACTGCGCCAAGGATTATCGATCTGTCACCATGACAATGGCGCCATAGACTCCGGCAAATTCACCAGCCTACATCAACATAATATCACTTCCCGTTTTACCGTTTCTTATCTCACCACTCCGGTCACCATAACCCTACGTATTTTCACGCTCATAATTTGACGTTTCTCTTGAGTTAATTGATGTCGATGCCATATGAAAATCTGACTCCTATGAAAATCGGACTCCTTTTCCCTATATAGTATTATTGGTTGATCCCTCGCTGGTGACAGGCAGGCTCCCCATGGAGGTAGGAAACACCTCCATGCTCTCCCATATATGATCCTTAAAATAGCACATGATCGCACTTACGCATGCGCAATACTTCCAATGAGTCCATATTTCATGGAGTCGGATATTCGTGCACGCTACACCGAAACCAAATTTCGAATTTTCAAAAATGTTTGCAACACCATGAAGGGAAATGACAGGCAATGGAAGGCAATTTCTCGCAGGTTTTTCCTATACACGACTAGGTGCCTAGAAAGGTTAAATAAATAACATTTCAACCAGAAAACTAAAAGATGGTGACTCGATGCGAAGTGGTGACTCGATATTGGTGATTGCAAGATTGTCCTTCAGCGTCGTTTCAAAGAAACCACCCAAGCGTCGACCCAACACCACTAAACACAGCTCAATGAATACATAATGCATATAACGGCAGTAAATTCACTATACCACGTTAGCTGAACCACGTCAATATGACTCCTATTTCACGGGTCGATGGATGAGTCAATTACTAAGGCATACTCCATCGATTTCACGAAGATCAGAATCCCCTAAACACGTAACAGACTGTGGCTTTTTACTCTACTCATCACAATTATGCCAGTGTACATGTATGTTCATAATTATTTACCACTGGCGGAAGCAAATCGAAAAACGTATGGTTATTTTGATTTCTCACCAAAATATATTGCTATCGAATCAATATTGTCAAGGGCTCTCATTTCCCACCGACCCTTCTGGGTTTGTTTGCTACGAAATGAAAAAAAGACTAAACCGCAAACAGTCTGGAACCATGGAGGAACAAATAGTCGTACCTGTTTACCAGAATTGTGAATGAAAATGCTAGATGTAGCAAGCCAACATGGTGTTCTTGTCGTTGTGTACGTCTGGTAACTCCATCATGCGAACAGCAAGTGTAGCGCTAGCGGTACAGATCAGAAGAATGACCTCGTGTCATAGTCATACATCCACGTACCCACAATAAAGGTCTAAGGCCGTGTGTACAATGCACATTGCGAACAACTCGACTTGTTCCAGTCCACCTTTCCAGCGGGCATGGCAGCAAGTGTTATGTATACCCTCCGTTCGCTGATTCGCAATGGCTCCGGTTGATTCCATAAGATTGTCACTCAGCTGCGCTGATGTCCGATCCGGCAGCACCAATCTTGATCGGACCATGGAGCGAGTCTATGATCTAACGTGCATGCACATACGTTTGCTGACCGACTGTTTTTTCGTGCACAAAACAGTACGGTATTTGCCACAAAATATGCACGAACGGCCTCATTGAATTATGCATTATGCACAGAGCATGCTACAACTGGATCTCCATAATATACATTACCAGTCGGCGCATAAATAATTTCAACTGCAAGGGCACAGATAATTATTATGACTGACCGGCGATTTTTTTTCCATAACACTAATTCGCCATGGGCGTATAATGAAGCACTTTGAGTTGCAAGTCAGGTTCTCGGACTTGAAAAAAAATCAGTAAAAGAAAAATGTTCCCAAATGACTAACAAATCCTTTTGAAGTAAAGAAGAAGAAACAAAAAGAAAGAAATCCAATGGGACCATATCGGATATATAATCCAATGACGCGATCGAAATATAGTTTAAACATACATGTATATTAGTGCATGTATAGCGCCCTCCAGCACAACTCTAAAAAATAGTAGCGATATGTGGTAAGGAAAAAATAAATCGCGGCCCGGCTTCCACATCTGTCAGTACAGACACACGCGCAAATAGTGCACTGTACATACGTCCATGGAACCAGTTATACCCTCAAAATATTCTATATTAGAGAGTTTGAGAGCCATAAAATTGGGGAATTGAAGAGATATGGTAATGAACCTCTGGCCCGGACTTGGGGCTTCCAATTTTGAGCATTTTGGATGCTATTGAGCTCGAAAGTGACGCTATTTTGCCACGTTGTGGATGGATCGTTTTTCAAGATGGTTATTTTCCGCTTTGGGGAAAATAGGGGTCGTCTTCTTTGGGTGAGAATATCTCGAAAAGTCAATGGTCAACCTACCAAAAAATGAAAAGAAAATGAAAGAAGACACATTGATAATCATTTTTTTCTGTGCAGCTTGAATATATACCTGTGAGAGTTCTGAGTATTTTAAAAAGAATTTTGAAGTATGCGCATTTAGTACTAGTGTCTATGGAAATGTTTTTGCAGCCATAAGCCTCTGTACTGATGACGTCACACTTTTGTTTACGTGTGTACCTTCCTATGGTGCTCAGTGGACCGTGGGCCCCCACTAGCTCCATAGGAAAGTGCACACGTAAACAATGTGTGACGTCATCAGTACAGAGGCTTATTAAATGATACGAGTACAGGTATCGTATATTGTACAATAGAGATCAGTGGTACGTATGCAGCTCGGAAAAAAAGTTGCTTATAAAAATCAATTAGGATTTGTGGGTATGATGAGAGAATCATATTCAATCATCACAGCCGCATAAGCGCCCATCAATTCCATTGGCAGACAGGGGGCGGAGGCCAACGGAATGGGGACACCTTTTTGTCTTAAAACTTTCAGGAAGTACATTAAAACGTTGCGTATCTCCCTTGCAAGCCTTTATTTTTAACTTGATAATATAGCACACAATAGTATGTTTACTTAATCCCCTACCTCTTTTTGGAGAAAAAACTCGCTCCATCTTGCACCCCCCCACCCCCCCCCCCCCCAGAATGTGGTTCTGGATTCACCCTTGATTAATTCTAATTATGCATAATTATCCGTATGATCTTTTACGTCTGCATGTTTTTAAGCTCTGGCAGGAGCTTCACATGACACTTGGTGGTCGGTCGGTCTGTCCCCGAAAATTGACCGGAATGATGGTGTCCCATAATTATGTGCCTTCGGCCGTGAAAACTGACTTTTCGCATATACGTCGTGTACACAGAGCAGAATTGCCATTCGTACATATGAATAATTAATTAACCATAATTCCAGAACCCTTTGACCTATAGTCATGAAATTTCTTGGGTATGTTTAGGAAGAGTTGCTCTATGCATGTACTGAGTTTCAAAATTGTTCGTCACTCGATGGCCGAGATCTTAGGGGGGGCGGAATGAATGCACATTTGCCGTCTGTTTCTCAAAACCGAATGCACGGACAATGAAAACGATTGAACTTTCGTTTAATTGAAATGGATTAAAGGCGTGCATTCAAATTCAGACGAAAATGCATGACCGATTTTCAGAAGTGCATGAACATTTCAGGAAATAAAACGGGAAAACCTATAGCATGTCACGTTGGTTGGGCTACTTTTTCAAATATACTGATGCTCTTGAACCAACAAAGAATGTTCTTTGAATGTATAAGCATATCGTCAGGTCAGGGAACTAGACCAGATTTTGTTGTCATGTGGTCGGCCGGCTTTACTGTCGACTCCTGCATTGTCCTGAATGTAATCATCCGTCACTAAAGCCTAGTGAATAATCTCGCAAGTTACGATTAAACAAACACCAACTGTAATTTCGCTTTATGTTTTAATTTGGTCAGAATACAAATACATCTATAAAAAAAATAATGCAATAATGATCTGTACATTATACAAGTATTGACATTGATAAGAAAGTAAGATAAAGTTTATAGGCCTACGTACATTTAGGGTTGGACGGTATAAAGAATAAACGCTTATTGCATTACTAACTTCCCAACAGAACACGTGGTAGAAAAAGAATTGTAGGTTCTTATACACTCTGACATATAATATCAAACAAGAAATTTACACATCATGCATTTTCTTCTGGAAAGTTTTTTCTAATGTGAATCCACTAAAGCATCTATGTTGTGCCTGAACGCACTCGGGCATCCCTTGACAAAGGGCATTGCGAATTACCGATAAAATGGAACAAGGAGAACACACTCAATGTACATGCGAGTCTTTTACATAAAGGGTTAGTAATTAAGTAAACTAATAATCAACTAGTAAAACATTCAAACACGTATTTTTTTTTAGACATGTGACAAAACATTTAGACACAACAAAACCAAGGAGTTCTAGCCAAGATTGTTACAGTGATAACAACTAAAATTTGCTTTAATACATTCGCTATTTTTTTTATTAAATTATTTAAAATAACAAGTCAAGAGTTTTGTTTTTTAAGATTAACTTAATTTACATGCTTAAAACTATCTTACAGAATGTTGGAAGAATTTATTATTTTGTCGGCAATCACTCACTACTCTGAATTTCAAAAGTTCTTTTGGGTAACTTTTTTTATGTGTGTAATAAATGTACTGGAAAGAAAATAATGGACACCATGTATACGCGCACGAATTTCGCCACAAAAACAATTCATCTTTCCCCAAAAAAATGTACATTACTCGCTGACTTTTTGTTGATGAAGTCGAGGTTGCAAGCTTTTTGTTGTATTTACACGGCATTCAATGCTCTGTATGGGTAGTTTTCTAATGCATGTATTTTTTGGAACAGATTCGTCCAGCCACAAGTTTACGACCTCGTTTATCCGATTTCACTTCAAGAACGACACACATCGCCTTTTTTTTTCTAGAAGTTACATTCAAATTCACGGCTCATTATAACAGGATTATATTCTAACGGTTCAAATGGGCCAATGTAGAACGACATCGTTATCAATCTCAATGATGCAAAATTGGTATTATGCTTTTCAGGATCGTTTCGCAAACATCGGCTTCGGCTCCGGCAGATTTTATCCCCACCCCCTCCTCGTTCTACTTTTTTGGGGGGCAACACGATCATCAACTGCTGTAATAACGAGCCAAAGTTTAGACATCTCCATTTGGTTTGAACAGTTATTTAGGGTATATATATACAAGTGTTTCTAGAAAGAAAACCGATGTTAGTTTGAATCCGAGATTTCAGGAATGACCATTACAGATATGCGTTTATTTAAAAATGTACTCTTAACTCGATCATATTCACAGTGCATGATTTCACCTTCTTTGCATACTCATAACTATTGCGCCTTAACCAATTACACGTCGTGTGTTCGGTCGGTAGGCCTAATGTCTATTTCTTCGGCATCTGCAAAGCTTTAAAAATGCTTTTTGCGTTTGCGTACAAAGATACGCCTGAATTATTGTCCGGCCGCCTAATCATTCCATTACTAAAGGGATTTTTTTCATTCGATGTTTCACTCAACTGTGAATAACTTTTGTACTGCTGAAGAAAAGGCAATTTCGCAAAATAGCAAAAACAAGAGCCCAATTTTTTTTCAACTGTTAACCCGTTAACAGCACGGACAATTATACGTATTTAGTCTGAAAAGAAAGCATTTGATGCGAAAATGGCTGCCCTAGTCTCTTCCTTTCAACGTATTCACTTTTTTAACTTTTAAACATTGATCATGACGGGGTTTTCTCCGTCGTGGTATTGACGAGCCAGATATTACATTTGTCAAAAACCTTTCTCTTGTCGACGTGAAGGGGTGTAAATGCAGCGTGGAAAAGGGTTGTTTTGTCGGTGACGTTTCTGCACACTTCATTATCTGAGTCGTATAAATTCTTGCAAGTCGGGAAAGTTTGGAACCCCAACGACCTGATCTTGAGGTCTGGACTTAATTTGGATGAAAGGACATAGCTCACGACGCGCTGGTCTTGCCTCAGCTTTGGCTGTGTGTCCAAGACCCAAACCCAGACTCGTAAGAAGTAGTCGGTGCTGTTTGTTGGTCGGTAGAACCCCACTCCATCACTGAATGTTTTGCGGTAATCCCTCATGAAAGCAACGTCAAAACTTCCACCTTGGAAGTACGGATAGGGGTCCTGAAACCAAAAGGTGTCTGAATCGACGAAAAGCACCTCGTAGCCTTGCTTGATGAACTCGCGCACGTAGGCTGGCCTACGAATTGTGAATTTCTGGTGGTCTGGAACGCCAAAGTCAATGGCCTCGGGAAGTTTGTTGAAATCAGGAGGTTTCAGTACGTGGAGTCCATACTTGTGGTCAAGCAGGGCCTTGTAGGATCCTCGGTCCTCGGCGATGACTACTACTTCAGGATGGATGCCAACCCTGTCTATACTTAGCAGCATGTTCTCGGTGAAATCCAGGTATCCCATATTGGTTGTGGTCAGGACAATGTTCAGTTCGGGCAAGGTGTTGGTCAAAGCCCGAACCTCGGCAGCAAATAGCCTGGCGTAAGAGGAGTTGGGACGCATCGAGTAGTCTTGCGTCGAGTCGTCTTTGCCCTGTGCCTCAGTCTCAGATCTCTTACGTCCTTTGTGTCCCACTTCTAGGACTCCTGACACCTCTTGATTTACATCGAACGGTGTGCCGTGAACCCAAAAGCCAACTGTGTGTAAAAATAAAGTACAAAAACAAAATCGTGAATATATCAAGCAATACAAACCACTTAGTGCTCCAAGTATTTGTCTCGGAGTTGCGCATGCGTGCATAAATAAGTTTACCACAAAATTAAAGGGTCATTATCATGCAGGAGGATATACTTGGCCGCACGGGCTTACACTTGACTTCCAGCTCTCAAGCCCACATTCCTTCAACATAGCTCGTGCAAACTTTTGACTTTTTACCGTCGAGATTATCGGGTTTGATAAAATATGGCCTTTAACATTCTGTCTCTCATTTTCAATTCACGTTTTGGTCCACAGCGACACACGGGGCGGATAGTAAGTTACGCTAAGTTGCGGGGAACTTGAAGCAAAGTCCCTTGGAACTTTTGCCATCGCAGAATCCTTCCTAGATGTCCGATATTGGTACTTACCACCAGCAAAAGCGGCCAAAAGTAGAATTCCCAGGAGGAGCCGACATGACGACCTTGGTTTCAAAAGTTGCATCAGGGAACCAAACAGGCAGCGCTGAATGTGAATGAATAATAAAAAAAATAGTGATTTTTTGCTGGTACATGTACATGTATTTCTTATTCGCATTTGACAACATTTATAATGTATCAAACTGGGAGTAATATCGCATGGCACGTTTAACCAGATGCATCGATCAATGCCCTAAATAGAATATATCTTCCTATAACAAGCAGCTTACTGGGGAGTCAGGTTGGCGTCGGGGAGTCAGGTTGGCGTCGGGAAGTCAGGTTGGCGTCGGGGAGTCAGGTTGGCGTAGTGGTGCTTTCCTCGCCTTTCACCACTGTGACCAGGCTTCGAATCCCGCCTGGGCCAATATGTGGATTGGGTTTTCAGTCCGTGGGTTCTCCCCAGAATATTCTGTAAAACTGTAATTGCTTCTCACTGTCTTCTCTCTACATGTTTCTCCAGGCTTGCGAGCTACAGTGCCTAGGCGCTTTTGAGGAATCATTGGTTTCATTACCAGAAATAATAATAAATAATAATAACTGGCTCAAAATGTCATGACTTTGTCAACCTACTAAATGTCGACACCCGAATTATTTATTTTTTACGAAATGTTTAATGCTTAAAAGTGTGTGCTATGGTTGCGAAACATGGACTGTAACTCCCACGATGGAGAAGTCGTTCAATGGATGCTACATACGCGCATGCTCCGAGTGGCGCTCAATGTATCCTGGGAGGACCACGTAACCAATGACGTAATATGGCGACCACCCTAGGGTCGGAGACAAAATCGCAGCCCGTCGGATGCAGTTAGCAGGCCACTGTTACCGGTGTAGCATGAATTTAGGTTTTATGAAATACGGACTCATTGGTGGTATTGCGCATGCTCATGCAATTAGGAGAGGGACTGGTCACGTGAGAGGGTTTATCCAATAAAAGGGAAAAAGAGTCCGATTTTCATACGAGTCCGATTTTCATATGACACCGGCACCCGGAGCTGGAGGCAAACAAAGTCATTCTCTGGAAACCAACCCACGGACACAGGAGGCGAGAAAGACCGAAAATGTCTTACACCGGGGTGCTGCAAAAGGACACTGGTGTAGTATCGACAGACGAACTGGCCTCCCTCATTACTTGGAAAAGCCATACTCAAGATACTTAAGCTTGTTTGTGGGCGAATGAGTGAGTGAGTGAGTGAAGGGCATGCCTAGTTCTCATGAAGAAGGGGGGGGGGGTGTTGTGATATAAGGGAGGGGGTTGAGTATAAGGCGTGCCGACTGTACACCATGCTGGAGGGGGGGGGGCATGCCACCGGAAAAAGTTTGAAATCTACGATACTTTCTCCTCCATTCTAAGGCAATTAGAGAATAATTTTTGGAACTTAAGCATTCCATTGATTATTTTTGGACCCATTTTACCAGTACAGTCCTTCTCTACAGCTCTGGATAGCGAACCCCATGCAGGCTGCTGTAGGCTCGACTAATACACGAATTCAGGTGAAATGGGTAGATAGCGACTATTATTTTAATTTTGAATATATGCGACGCCAAAAGTGCCCATGCCTAGTTCCGGATAGGTTCAAACAGTTCCGGATCTGGTATAAAAAAAATGCTTCGCACGTAAAATAATAATCACTCGGAAAATCAGGTTTTCAGCCAGACCCACCCCGAATCAAGCAACATTTCTGACAAAGTATAATACATTTTTTTTTAAATTAAGTTAAATCGAGATAATTACAGTGAATTTGAAAAAGAGAACTTAGGCCTACGCAAATAAACTTTCGTCTACAGCGCGACAGACACGCACAGACCCATGCATCACGTACATAACACGTCACATGTCACACTTAAAATATTTCCGTGTGTGCATAGTTGGGTCCATACGGACACACGGAACTATAGCAAAAACAAACGCTTATTCGTTGGCGAATTTTCAAATATGAAAAACCCTTCAAAATATATTGATTCAACAAACACTCGATGTAAATACGACTGAAAAGTACGTTCTAAGTGACGTGACAGACAGGAAATTTATCATCGATTCACGGCTGTCGTGATTTTCTACAAACCGTCCAAACATGTCAAAGTTCGACTCGGAAGTCTGGCCAAAATTCCTTTTCTTGAGATTTTATCGAATAGGTATTTGTGCATCAAGAAGATTACTTTTTGTTCTTTTCACATGAACTTCGTCGGAAAAAAATAGTACTTATATAATTATGGTCTTTATAAGTTTTCATTTGAAGCGATCCGGAGCTAGGAAATACCCGGAACTAAGAAAACGACTGTATATCATTAGTATTAAAACATTAGCGGCTGAAATGAGCGGGGCGGTTGCTACTCCCGGAACTCCGGAATGGGGGTATAAACTCAAAATTTCATGGGCCATATACATGTATTCCATATTTCAGTCATTAAGTCCTTACCATTGGACTGTTTCGAGAACCGGTGTAATTGGAGAAAATCTCGTGATGTGCTGTCATGGTGTCACGTATACATTTATACTGTCATCTGCCTGAAAAGGGCGGAAGAAAAAAAAGGCAATTTTATCACCATTTGGCCAAAAAAAAATCCCATTTTTTTCCCGACGAAATAATATCTAAGGTTTTATGTAAGCCCTAAAGGCATCCACGTTGGAGGTTTCAATCTAAATGCTAATGGTTTTATACCAGAAGCCATTTAAATCGGAAGCATAATCATACGGATTCGACATGCTCAACTTTTATGGACCATATGGCCTAGTGGCAGAACGTGCGGGTAAAGAACATATGGTGCCAAATAATAGTTTCTGATAATACACATCGACAATAAAGAACCCTACATTTTTTAAGATATTGCTTGATTTTAAACACTGCAATGCCATGAAAAGCCGACAGTGGAGAGTATTGATTCCGGACATTTTACTACAGTAGGGCCTAATAGGTATCGATGTTTAGAAGCGATTAAATCATGCATTTTTTTCGAATACCAAAGGAATCACCTGGTCAATATTATGTGACCTAATCAAAATACCGCGTGCGCCGAAATTTAGCTAATGTGAATCCAACGAACAAAAACAAGTGATCCGCGGATCGCAAGTTTCGCCTTTTTCCGCGGTAACCCCTATACATGTATATGATTTGTGTTCGTATTCTTGTTTCAAAAGTCCGACCTGTAATGACCCCTTCATGACCTTTGACCTCAGTAATCCGATGAAGAATTGTGTTTTCCCACTCAAGGGTTAATGTATGCAAGTTTCAACAAAATCCATGAAAGCATGAAAGTTACATATTTGTGATACGATCAAGCTACGTGAGTCGTTTGTCGACCCGTGTCAACTTGTTTTATTACAGATTTGAAAAGAGCACAATCTCAGCATTACTGCGGTGGAAACTGCATGCTGATACCATCTTTAGTTTAAAAAAATATGGAAGTTGGAACACCACGAGATGTGATGAAGTGACCCTATTTTGGCCTTTATCTCCAAAGAAGAATTCCCGACATCACATTTGTTTTCAAAAACTTTACCTAAACTTTAACATACGGTCATACGGAGATTTGCGGTCATATATCATACAGAATTTTGGACTGGTAGGTGTCACCCATAAAACTTCGTATAGGCGACACAAGACAACGAAGCTCTTTTATCCCTTGAAAGGTAGATTGTTGGCTTCACTTCGGGTGCATTATGTTCCCCAATACCTATGTTCCCAATACCGATGTTCCCCAATCCCAACCCTAACCCTACGAATTTCGGGGAACATCGGTATTGGGGAAGATAGGACCATAGACCCCCTTCACTTCTAAAAATCTCGGAGCTCGTATAAAGTTAAATCTTGAGAAAAAGAGTAATCGGCGAAACCAACTGATTACGAATAGACTACAGAAATGTATATACATGTATACCAAATACGGACATCATTATGGAGTCTTCATATTTAATGCCATTGAATATAATCAAATGATTCTGATGTCGTGCGTGAGATTTGAAGGTTTGCTAGTGAAAGGGTAAGGCATTTTTATGATCTTATAGACACATGTTTATTTGTAGTTGTGGTTTTTACTATCCCCTGAAGGTTTATTTTAGCACTTATTTCCCATTCTTTATTTGTCTTTAGGAGTTAAGTTTTGGTGTATGTCTCTTTTAACAAACATTTTATTGTATAAGTGGTCACAGCTGGTCTGTTTTACATTTACTTACCTTTGTATTTTAAAATATTGTATATTTCTATATTTGCTTGTCATTTTTTGTTTGTAATTTCATGCTGATTTTAAACTGATTTTTACATTTTTCTTGTTAATTCTAATAATTACTTTGAGTTTAAAGGGATTTTCTATGTGTTACTCTGTAAGCGCCCTGGAGCATTGTTTTTTCGATGGATTGGGCGCTATATAAATCTTTGCTTATTATTATTATTATTATTATTATTATACATATATAAGATAAGTTGTTGCGGTAGCGTGACAAAATCTCTTTTGTGTGTTCTGATGCTCTGTATGCTGAGTATGCTCTGCCCGTCGTCACGACTGACACTGAGGGATTCCAACGGTAAAATTAGTGGGATTATGCATCATGTTATGTAGCGAAATGCTCAACTGACGTCCAAATTGGACGGCAGATCCAATGGATACAGATGTACACGTCAATAGGCCCAACTATATATATACAGGTTGGAATTTACAACAAGACCGGTACAACAATAAATGTACATGCCTGAATGCACATGAGGCTAACTCCTTCAATAAATCGATCATCGGCAAACATTAGGGATTCTTTTGGGATTCTATTCACTAAAGAGTGAGTCAAGTTGGCCTGATCTTTGTTTGCATCGTTTTGAGCACTTCAGGTCCCAGTCTGGACTTGCGTATGACTTGGGGAAGAAAACGTAACATTTTGATTCCCACAAGGAACCGTTCCTACGACCTGATGATCCAAAGATACCACCGCTATCCACCAGACAACCGAAGCGCTTCTTTTCAATAGCTCCCGAAGAAAAGATTCCCATATCTGGTCATCACTTGTCACCCTGTGTGTATACAAACCCTATAAGACTGGTCTGAAAATTTGTGTTTTCTCAGAACATACTTCAATAGTTTCCCTGCTAAATTTGACTTTTTAGGACATATTATTACTTTCTGATGGCTGATAAGTCACTGATGGGAAAATTAACGCTGGCCAGATATGTGAATCTTTCCCTACTGTACAGTTTTAAACGTTATTCTAAATGACATCAAGATCTTACGCATTATTGCTACTGGTTGTGCGTAGCCTCGCGAATCCGGAAACCGATACGGGTTCGATCAGTAGCCACTTCCTAAATAAAAAGTTTACGAATTCGAATCCTATCTTGAAAAAGTCTGGTTTGAAAATTCGACCTATATATGCAAGCCACGTATCTCCGTAGTAACAAGGCAGCCTACAGCATAACACATACATGCCAAGGATCAGTTTCACCATGGTCTGACATCCGATTTCCCTAGTGTTTTGGGTGTGTCTTTTCATGTAGTTCAGATCATATCAGAATATAATTGCCAAACACTTGCAATCTTGCTAATTATATACGTCACTTTGATACAAAATGTATTGGAAAGAATGTTGCAACTTGACGCTCATTATTTCTTCATATATCATCTCAATGAAGGTCAGTCATTGCAAGAATGATAAGACATCAATCGGGGACCATGGTGGGACTGAGAAACATTTCCAATTTTGTTAGGAAATACTTAGAAAACCGTCCTGACTCTCCATACTTTGTACACAACCGCTGATGAAGTAGCGTCAAGTTGCCACATTCTTTCCAGTATCTTACCTGTAAGATATCATACGATGATTTCTTTATCAAAATTGTAGTCAACGGTTGCCGTAGTAAATGAATCCAAACACGAACAAACACAATACGCTGTTTCCTTGCCTTATGGCGCAGATGTGATGACCCTTTTCAGCAAGTTGACGCGCTACTTGCACACGTGAAAGAGAAGGTCAAACGCCATTGTAGTACAATAATGCCTTCGCCGAGCCGGCCTCAGTTGGAGACCTTTGTCACTATATTATTTGTGGAGATGAGTCTTTGTCGTGTTATGTAATCACGAAGACAGAAAAGGTAAATCGCGGCGAGGTGTTAAACAACGGGAATGAAAGTGGGCGCATACATGTACGTGTTTACTGAACAAAGGCGAGCTACGTCGTGTAATATGTTTTGCCACACCCAATAAGGGTATTTAAAATATGTGAAGGGTTTTCTTTTGGAGGCAAATTGGATCATTTGCTTTTCATGTATTTTGTTTGATTCTAAAAAAAAAAAAAAGAATAATAAAAAACACTACTCAAAATCCAAAGAAGAATGTTCCAAACCTAACCCAGCTGTTGAAGTTCAGGTGATCAGTGGATATTGCACTTAAGTTTTTCACTGTTTTCTCGGAAAGTGCACTTTCCGAGAAAACATGAAAACCATGCACAACCTTTTGATCACGAAATACGATCTCGTCAAAAGCACTCTATATATTTCTGAAAAATCAGTCAAATGACTGATCGTTGGAAAACATCTTTAAGTTTCTTGATTTCTTCTTATAAATGACAGCAAGCCAGATGGCATAAATGCACGGGGTTCCATTTTTAATCCAAGTAAGCTTTTTGACAATGATTCGGTAGCTGTAAGGTTACTTTGGGGATAAATGCAAATGATCGTATATGCTTTTCGATGCGTGTTTAAAGAGTTTTTGGTAGCTTTTGCCCACTGTTGGGAATATTAATAATAACTTGGACATTAATAAATGAGAATGGTATAAAATGGGGATAGACAAGGAGAAAACATGTAATGATCCCTAAACCTTTCCAGCGGAGATGCACCGAGAAAAAAATGACATAGGAACAGTAAACGCAAGAGGTTGTGGGGCATGGGAGCACATGGACAGTACCGTGGTTGGAGCTGGTGACCATTGATCGGGGATCTGGGATTCGAAACGATCAGTTGGCAATACACAATGTATCGTGTTGTGTCCTTGGGCAAGCCACTTCACACCGCTTGCCCCTCTATGTCATATAGACCAACCTCTTAACATATAGACCAATCCGAGCACGTTATCAATTCTATCACGAAGGCACCCTTCAATGGCGAAAGCCATGGCATTGTGCTGATGGTTATTTAGATGGGGCCGTATCATAAGTCCGACGCCTCAAAGGTCCAGACGCCTCATAAGTCCGAAATTCCGCCTCATATAGGTCCGACGCCTCATAAGTCCGACGCCTCATGAAGTCCGACAATGGACAAACGCTGTTTCGGACTTAGTGGGGCGTCGGAGCTATGATGAGGCGTCGGACTTATGCGACGTCGGACCTATGAGGCGAAATAAATAAAATTGTATGCCTAATAAGTCGGACGCCTCATAGGTCCGACGCCTCATAAGTCCGAAATTCCGCTTCATATAGGTCCGACGCCTCATAAGTCCGACGCCTCATTAAGTCCGACAATTTACAAACGATGTTTCGGACTTATTATATGAGGCGTCGGAGCAATGAGGCGTCGGAGCTATGAGGCGTCGGAGCTATGAGGCGTCGGACCTATATGAGGCGTCGGACCTATATGAGACGTCGGACTTATGATATGAGCGGACCCCATTCAGATAATCCGTCACGGGGCAGTCGCTTTGTACAATAGCGTGCACAATGGTTTCTCCACCGAATCAAGGGCGGACCCATGCCCCCCCCCCAAAAAAAAGTACCACCATCTTTTCCTCAAAAAAGTGTCGAAGTGGTCACAAATTGCCTCAGATCGCACCACGGATCAGATCATCTAAAATCCCCCTCCCCCCCCCCCCCCCCCCCAAAAAAGGGGGCCCTTAAGCGGGCCCCGAACCCCACGCCGTAATTTTTGGACCCTCTTTTTGGGGACGAACATTTTTGGGCCTCCCCAAAAAAAGTTGTGTTCTGGATCCGCAATTGACCTTTCACGGTAGAATCGCGTTAGAATGGCGTCAACTTCGCAGCTAGTGAAGTATTGTCCAATTACATGATATACATGGACGCATGAACGCGCAAAATCTGAGACAAACAAAACTTAGTGTACACAAATCCCATAGGTTGTCTAAGGGGCGTGGCTAACTTGCAAACAGTGATAGGTCAATTGCACTGAATTGGGCCTCGGGAATGTAACTTGCCTGCCAAGCTATGCACTTGCATAGCTAGCTTGCCTCTCTCAATTCCTATAAATTATATGAACCGGTGTAGCGCAAATATCCGTCTCCATGAAATGTTGACTCATTGGTAGGCTTGTAAAGCGCATGCGTAAGTATGATGATATGCTATATTTAGGATCATTATGGGAGAGTGACCTAGCTGTCACGTGCGAGGAATTAACCAATAATAGGGAAAAGGGGTCCGATTTTCATAGGAGTCAGATTTTCATATGACTACGGCACTAGTTACCCGGATGGACAATCTCATTTAGGGAATCCGGTCTCTGATATAAAGGACAGTATACTGTGCAGCACGATTTGAAACAGAGGGTATCCCCTTAACCCCCCCCCCCCCCCCCATAAGCGTAGCCGGGGGGGGGGAAGTTGGGTATTTACCCGCCCCCCCCCCCCCCAATATTTTGTAAAGAATGCCTTTTTCCATTGAAATGCCAATTTTTTTCAACGGGCTTACCCCCCCCCCCAATAATTTGTAGAGAGTGCCCTTTTTTTACGAAGTGCCTTTTTTTCTGATCAAGTGCCCTTTTCAAAAAGAAGTGGTGCCCTTTTTTGTGGCACCTGCCGTTTTGGGTGCCTTTTTCAGCATTTCGCACATGTACCGCCCCGAAAAGCACCATACTGATATTGGCCCTTTGTGTGCATAATTGTCGGTTTTGAACAGCGCCCCCATCGACAGATGTTACAGGCCCCCCCCCCCCCCCCCCCCCCCCCCCCCCCACCCCGCTTTTTGATTTTACGGAGGCCAAGTGTCCGGAGAAAAAACACCTGTCTACATTTCACAACGGATGTGCAAGTGCCCTTTTCAAAAATTTGTAACCCCCCCCCCCCAATAAAAATGACCGTGCTACGCCAATGCACCCCCCCCCCTCCGTGTCCTATACCCAATGGATACTCAAGACTGTCGTTACCTCACCCCCCCCCCCCCCTAAATATCACTAAAGGAGATGATTCCGGGAACTTTTTGATGACCGACACGGTGGGTTGGGGTCCTCTCCGTCGCCTATATCTTGCCGGAGGTCAAAGGAATGAACAAGAAATGTCATAAACTACAGGGAAGGTGATAGAAATATAAAAAAATAAGCACGATTTTGTTCTTATATTTCTAAATTCAGGCAATAATTATCTTTTCCCCATTAACTCAACATTTAAAAGAGTAGTCTATTGGAGTGCATGTCATCAGAAGCATTTCTATTCAGTATTTTGGATGATCTCCAAAATAATACACAGGTGGCATCCAACAACATGAAAAACGAAGCTGAACTCAAACCGTTGAGCATATGGTTGTTTTTTATGAATGCATGGGACTATTGAGAAGTGAAGCAAGCTGTGCTAGCTTTAGCTTTCACTAAATTTATTTTTGAACCAATATACATATAAACAACGTATTATTTTCAACCTCCGGGACTGATCGATCGGGGTAGGAAATGGTGCAGATACCATTGATATTCGGTTGCACCTGTGAATGTTTTGATGGGACCCGTGTGAAGTGAAACAAACTGTGGCGGCTTTAGTTTTCACTCGATTTATTTTTGGAAGAAAAAGGGGAAAAAACAGGTATTTTTCATCACTCGACATTTTCAACCTTTGGAACTGATCGATATCGGGTACATATCAGTGATATTCGGTGGCACCTGTTAATGTTCTATGGGACCGTGGAGAAGTGAAACAGAATGTGGCATCTTTAGCTTTCACTCATTTTTTTTATGAACAAAAGATGTAAAGATCGACCACGTTGTTATTTCATCCTCGTTTTTCAACTGTGAATGTAAGGACATGATCAAGGTGTCATTTTAGAGGAGATTCCACCCTAACAGAGGATATCTCCCTTTTGATTCACAAGTGCCCTACTTCTGTTCTAATAAGCAATATCTCGGTTTCGTTTTCATGATCCACCCTGTCAGTATTTGCAGTATGAAAGTAAGTAAGTACAAAATACACAAGTTACGGAACAGGAGAAATATAACGGACACGCAAACGAACAAACAAGCACCCCAATAGCCCAACAAACACTCAAACAAAACAACAAACAAACAGGCGGACAAAAGGACGAATAAATGGTAATGGGTAGTATGATATAATAAAGGAAAGATTATGTATGAATGACGCATACGGTTTTATTTGGAGTAATACAAGGAGGTATGGGTAGACGGAGGGAGAAATGCACACAGGTAGGTATCAGGTGAAAAAAAAATTCAAAATAAAACAAATTTGCAATTAGGAAAATTACAACAAAACTAAAGAATAAGTGGAGAAAAAACTATGCTACATATATCGCCTTTGTGAAGGTCAGTCATTGCAAATATGATTAAGACATGAATCTGGGACTGAAAAACATTTCCAATTTTGTTAGGATACTTAATTAGAAAGTGTTCATGACTCTTTATAGACTTGCACATAACCGCTGAAGTGGTGTCATCAGGAGTTGCAACATTCTTGTCAGAGACTGAGGGCGCTCTTACATGAATAATGGTTCTGAAATCTCGAGTCTCCATCTATTGAGGGCGCTGTACATGTATCTAAACACAACGTGTTCGAGCTCGAGCAACTTAATTCTTAAAACTTAGCACTTTTCTTCCGGATCGTAAGTAAACTTCAGTACAACCATCTTAATCATCGATGTCTACTTGTTCCTCAGGTGGCATATCTAGTAATTTGGAGGCCGTTTTGAAGGTGAAATCTGATGTTTTTTTGTTGGAAAATGTTGTTTTTTGGGACAGTGACAGGATTATGTTGTCCAGCTCGCACTAGTAGTACTAGCATGGAGCTATAAACACAGCTCCATGGTATTAGCTTGGACC